CCATTGTTAGTGGCCATCATCTTATTTTGTGGCAGGATTTTCCATCCACACTACCAACAGGGGCCCTGCATTAAATGCTGCGTTTTGGAGGATTCAAAAATCCACTCCACTGCCTGCTCTCCACTTAAGTCTTTCTTTTTCATTTTCTAAGGCTTGTCATATCTCCAGTTTTTTTTGGCTGAGTTTTACCTGGATTCCCGGCAAGCGATTTGGCACTCATTTGGACCCACATCTGGCTAAGACTCCATGCTTTCATTTTTTTAAAAAGATGTCTTTGTGTGAGCTGAGATATGGGGCAAAATGTAGAGGAACTCTTCAGTCAAGTTGTTCTGCAAGAAGTAGGCCTACCCTTGCCTTTCAGGCATGAGAAAAATGAAAGTAAGCAGGTAGTGTAAAGCAAGAGGCAAAGGGAAGCATAATGAGAGCCAGAGGTGAGGCAAGGGAGAGAGGAGGAAGAAAGGTGAGTGAGTGAGTGAGTGAGTGAGTGAGTGGTGTGTGACTAGTGGGACCAAAAGTGTGCTCGAAGTAACTAACACATCGAAAGAGCAGAAGATGAAACATAGGAGAATAGGAGCGTGAGCCATGCATTCTTCTCTGAGTCTCAGTTCTGGGACAAAAGTGGGATGATGATGTTGATAATGTGCAAGAAGGGAGAGACAATGAATTCCACCCATAGGAGAAAAAGCAAATTAAAATAATAATAATAACAATAAGAGGGTTCAAGGTGAGGTGAGAGGGGGAATAGAAGGGAAACTGAGTAGTGTACGCAACAGAATGCAAGGGACAAGGAGGTCACATTATGATGGCATGCAATGAAGGACGGAATAGGAGGAAGACACAGTGAGTAAAGTGTGCAATGGAATGCAAGAAGGAAGAGGAGAATGCATTCCAAGAGCATGAGATGAGAGAGGAAAACAGAGTGAAAGGTACAAATGGGGAGTGCAAGAATCAACTGGACTGTCAGGCGGATTTCCTGAAAGATAGCGGTGTCCCAAAGTCACATAGGAAACTCCACAATTACAGAACGTTTGAAATGTTTTTGAAATCCAACACTTTAAACATCACTGTGCACTGGTTTCTCAGATGAGAGGTAACTGTAAAAATGGTAGGGTGGTTGAAACACAGTGGAAGGAAAAAGTAAATTTGCTGGAATTGGAAAATTAGAATTTATTATTTGAATAATTTGCATGATATGCAAATTAAATACTAAGTGCATATATCTGGTTTCAATCCCATCTACAATAAACATTTGATTTTTTTTCTTTGATATCTATGGACAGTGATTTTTTTCTGTTCCTGCTGTCATTTAAAAATAACTTTCTCTTGCCAAGTGTTTTCCACTCTTACCTAATTATCTATGTTTGCTTACCCACCCCATCCCTCTTTCTATATATGTGCATTAACTCTCATGGTCCTGCCTCGTGTTCCAGGCATTCCTTTCTGCTGCCAGTATTGCTAAGTTGCCTGCTTTTCCTCTTTACTCACTTAATATTCCATGTTAATAAATTATTATGGGTTTGCTGTGGTTTCTCCCAGATCCTTTAAGAATCTTCGCCTCAAAGATTTATGTATTCTGCAAGCCTCTTGCCAAGGCTATTAAGAGAAAAATATGATAATATGATTCAGACTTTTTTATTCAATTTCATTCAATTATTTAACCTTCCAACTCTAACTGTCCTTCCTGTTATGTTGAGTTAATTAGATATTTTTCTGTCAGACTAACAAAACTGGACTTCTGTTCTCAAGAGAAACAATTAGAAGAAATAACTGTATCTCAGATGAGAAGGAGCTTAATGGGAGAGCAATTCTGGTTAGGGAAAAATCCTCTTGTGTTGCTTATGGGAACATTTCACAGTATTAATGGAATACACAGCAATTAATAATATAAACAGCCCAAAGGCATTATGGATGAAGTAATAAATATAGTCTAAATTCAAAAGTCTTACTTAGTGATGTTTGAAAATGCTGACAAAAAGGCAGTATTAAAAATGTGTTACAAAACAGGGGGAAAGGGGCAAAGATTAATCTAGCAACCCCTTTTAGTGATAGCAGTCTACTTCTTTAGATACACTGACAGACTGATACTAGAACCATAGGTTTTAAGCAGAGTTAGGTAGTTTTAAGCACAGTTAGGTGGTTTTAAGCAGAGTTAGATGTCCCCACATGGAAAGGTGGCGGCTGAACTGCTGACCTGAAGGTCGGCGGTTCAAATCTGCAAGATGGGCTGAGCTCCACCTTCCCATGTGAGGACATGAAAGAAGCCTCCCACAGAACTGTTCACATCCGGGCGTCCCCTGGGCAACGTCCTTACAGTTTCTCAAGTCGCTTCTGACACGAAAAAAGCAGAGTGAGATAATTGTAGAATGTAGTAAGAAACAGAAACATGAAAATGGTGACACTGCCCATAAAGCTTCAAAGCAGCAGGGAGTATTCTTTCAAGCATTCTATCAGTTTCATAGGAATGAAAAACTTTTCTTGCTGTGATTCCTTCCTGGATATACAATATGAAACTTTCAAGTAGCAGTTCCCAGAGGGGGGAAAAAATCACAATTCCAATCCATTACAGAGATATTAACATTTCTTTTTTTCTTTTTTTATGAAGCAAGACTAATAATAATAATAATAATAATAATAATAATAATAATAAACCTTTATTTGTATCCCGCTACCATTTCTCAAAGGACTCGGTGCGGCTTACAAGAGGCCGAGCCCAAATACAACAATAAAACAGCAGCAACAACAACACAATAACTCAAAAAACAAAGCAATAACAATTAACAACACCCGATGACGCAATTCAAAACAATGGCTGGGCCAATTGTAACAATTAAAATTAAAAAGTGCTGGGCATGACAAGGTGGGGTGTTTGGAGAGGGATGGGTATGCAGATATCCTGAATCTCTGATAAAGTGCGTTGGGATATAATGCTTGGAATTTCCTCATTCTGGAAAGGCACACTGGAACAACCACGTTTTCAAGCTCCTCCTAAAGATTGCTAGCGACGGGGCCTGCCTGATGTCCTTAGGGAGAGAGTTCCAGAGTCGAGGGGCCACCACAGAGAAAGCCCTATCCCTCATCCCCACCAATCGCGCTTGTGATGCAGGTGGGATCGTGAGCAGGGCCTCTCCAGATGAACGAAGAGATCGTGTGGGTTCATACACAGAGATGCAGTCACATAGGTAGGCGGGTCCCAAACTGTTTAGGGCTTTGTAGCTAAGCACCTGCACCTTGAATTGGGACTGGAAAATGAATGGCAGCCAGTGGAGCTCCTTAAACAGAAGGGTTGACCTCTCTCTGTAAGGGGCACCAGTTAACAACCTGGCCGCCGCAAATGGACCAATTGAAATTTCCGGGCCGATTTCAAGGGCAGCCCCACGTAGAGTGCATCACAGTAGTCCAATCTGGAAGTGACTTAGGCACTTCCAGATTGGACTAACATGCTATTATTTTTGAAAACAATAGTAGAAAAAATATTTCAAAGAGAAAGAAGTGTCCAGGTCATTATTTGAACTTTGAAAAGGTGAACACCCCGTTGTTTAAAAGTTCTGATGAAGAAAAATAATAATGATAATGCAGACTAAATTGAGACACCAGGTATGTTCTTTAACAAGACATTCATGATTCTCAAAGAACACTGCTAAGCATCAAACAGTTTCTCCGATTTCTTTTCCAAGCTTTCTCTGCATGTATCTGTCCTTCAGAATTTTAGTGTGTTTACAGTTGAGTGTGTGTCTGTGTAAGCACCAGAAAAACTGCTCTTTGGAGAATTGTTATGTTTTGTAAGTATATGCAAAATTCATATAATTATTTACTTTTTAAAATACAACTATATATAAATAATGTTAAAACACTGATACAATTTTGGAACCCACAACAAACACAATTACTTTCTCTGGAAATCATTATTAGACATCCTGGTTAAAATAAATAGCTTCCAGTTTGCTTCAACTCCTCAAGCTTGTGAAGTTAGCCATAAGGAGCAATTGCAGCTTGATTAACCCAAACAGTTGACACGTCCCTTCTTGTACAGAAGTGACATGGTTTTGGCAATGTAAATAAAAACTTAAATCAATGTGAAAAGTAAAAGTAAAGATTTCCCCTTGACATTAAGTCTAGTTATGTCTGACTCTGGGGGGTGGTGCTCATCTCCATTTCTAAGCCAAACAGCCACCATTGTCGACATGACTGCATGGAGCGCTATTATCTTCCCACCAAGGTGGTATCTATTGATCTACTCATATATGCATGTTTTCGAACTGCTAGGTTGGCAGAAGCTGGGACTAACAGCGGGGGCTCACCCCAAAAGTCGAACCGACTTTTCGGTCAGCAAATTCAGCAGCTCAGCAGTTTAACCCGCTGCACCACTGGGGGCTCCAATGTGATAATTGTGCATATACTGTCCTGAAACAATGGCCACCCAATTGAATGATCCTGAATTCTGCCAATGAGAAGAAGAAATATTTCTCTTTTTGTTTCCTTGCACCTGTTATTGTTTTTATAAATCAATGACTTGTTAACCATTAAACATATTTTCTCCAAAACTGCAGAATGGCAGCAGTTCAAATCATTCTTTATTGAAGATGCTTCAGTCTCATGCTCACTTTTGATGGTTCTTTTCTATACCTTTTCTCAACTTTGGGACATGTAAAAAGGTAAACAAAAAAAGAAAGGCAAATACGCCCCTTATTTTGAATCTTCAAAATTAAGCCCTCCAATAAACCAGTGGAATTTGCCTTTAACAAGAAAAACTCCTGCAACTAAAAAACAAGCAGCCTGAAAAGCTCTAGACTATAAGCACATCCTAGCTTTCTAGCAGCATAGGTGCCCCTTGACTACTACGTCGAGAGCACATAGTAGTTTTGTCATTTGGAACCAAAATGCTATACAGATAAACTGAGATACTTGAATGATATTTCAAGCATTTTAACTATTGTAGAAGCAAGTCTAGCAAACATGATTATGCTTGACAAAGATCACTACAATGATAATGACATACAAACCTTCATCCACTGAAAACTGGCAGCTCTTATCATTGTAGAAAAGAATTTTTTTCTTATCAGGCCGTGTAACAAAGATGATTTGGTCCCCTAAAGCCTCAAATGAAACACAGAAAAAACACAGTGTTAACTCTTGGTATTTTGAGATTCTCTATAAGTGAATTTGCAAGGGAAACACAGAAGATGTTCAACACTTTTTGGAATCTAAGTGAATGGCTCCTGCTAACAAATAATACACCCTGCACAATCTGCAAATGTTCTGTGAATGATCAGATAAGGAATCTTGAAGTGTAATATAATTTTGAATTACTTTTGCTTAACCATTTCTCCATTATCTCATTGTTGCGAGTAAGAGGAAAGTAAACAGTCTTAGTGGGTTGCTGTGAGGTCATGTTTCAGAAGCATTCTCTCTTGATGTTTCACCCATATCTATGGCAGGCATCCTCATTTGCCTAGTTTCCAATAGACCTCACACCTCTGAGGATGCCTGCCACAGATGTGGGTGAAATATCAGGAGAGAATGCTTCTGGAACATGGCCATACTGCCCAGAAAACTCACTGACTTTTCCCTCCCATATCCCTTAATACTAGGATCCCAAATCATCCAACCAAGTTTAGCTGTGGGAGATTCAGGACAGATGATAGGAAGTATGTCTTCACACAGCACAAAGCTGAATGATGGCATTGGCTATTGGGAACCCATACACATGCATACACACACTCCTTGGTATTGCCAAGAAACGAAGCCGAGATAACACACTCTAAGAGGGGGGAAAAACAAGGCTGCGAGTTACAATCATCTGATACAATACACTATGTTCAATAAAAGTCTTACTCTTACTTATTTTTTAGAAATTATTTCCAGGCAGCAAAAATACTGATTCTAAAAAAAACCAATATTGAAGGAAATATGAGTTTCCCCCTATTTTTTCAAATTTTATACGCCTTCGTGTGTCTAGTCTTTGTAAAGGTAAAGGTTTTCCATGACACTAAGTCATGTCTGACTCTGAGGGGAACGGTACCTATCGATCTACTCACATTTGAATGCTTTCACACTGCTAGGTTGGCAGAAGCTGGGCCTAACAGCGGGAGCTTCCCCCAGGATTCGAACTGACAACCTTTCAGTCAGCAAGTTCAGCAGCTCAGTGGTTTAACCCGCTGTGCCACCAGGGGGCTCCATCTAGCTTTTGTACTACCAAACAATTTCTAACTCAAAATGCCATGTATGCAAAAGAATGCTTTTGTGGAGGATATAAGGAGAACAATTTCCCATATATTATGAAGTTGCTTACCTTTATGGCTTTCTGTGCATTGGGCAGTCCTTCCTCAATGTCTTCCAAAAGTATTCCTCCCAAGCCTCGCTGGTCATGTTTATCCAAGAGTCTGAGTAGAGCTTTTTTATCTTTCAAATTGTATTTAGGCTTGAAAGCATATTTCCCATCTACAACTTCTATTTTGGGATTGTTGACAAGGGCCTACAACATACGTGTAAGTTGTCAGATAACACGCCATAGAATAAATTCTAAAACCACAAAAAATTAAACCCTCAAAGAAAGAACTGCCAGCATGATTCATTCTGATCAGACTCTCCAAACCTGAGTTCTGCAAACCACACATCACAAAAACGGATGATTGCACCCTTTTTGAGGCAGAGATATAACACAATTACCTGCCTTCAAATGAGGTTGTCTACTGTGTTCCTGCCTGAGCATCACTGCTCAAAGCTTTCTTTTTCTGATCATAAAGCAGCAGAGAGGCAGAACAGAATTGTGAAATATGAGGTGAGGGAGAAATCAGTTAAATTTGTAATGAGGTGTAGAAAATGTAGCCTATGAGCAGTATGTGCCCCCCCCCCCAACCCCAGACTGCTTTTCAGATCTCCAGACCATTAGTCCCCAGATTATGTGTTAGTATTTATTTTAAGCAATGCCCCAGATCCTAATCAACTTCCAGTTTACTTCCCAGCTCAACAAAGTCTTCTTAATAAAAGGACTAAAAAGAGCCAGAGAGCATTAATAATAATAATAATAATAATAATAATAATAATAATAATAATACACTTTATTTATATTCCGCTCTTCTCCCCTAAAGGACTCAGAGCGGATTATAGCATTTACAGCAGACATAAGCAAACATTCAATGCTTTACAGTCAGATACATTGAGACACACAAACACAGACAAGGAAAAGGCTTCTCCTTTATTTTGCGTGGCGAGGGTGAAGCCCTCTGAGGTCCTGCAGTGACTCTGATAGTTAGCCTACAATTGGTCCAAAAAGCTTCTGAAATAGGGTTTTGCTAAAATACACATGTAAGTGTATTTGCTTCTTCCATACTACTGGTCTGCCATAATCTCCATCACAGTGTAGAACTCCAACATTTTATTTATATGTTATTTACAAGGTTAGAAATTAAACAGATCAATATGTTCTTCACATTGATGCTCTTGGAGAAAGACGCTATAAGGCCATTTGTCAGACTGCCTTTCAAAATATAAACCACTGCTATTGTTAAGGTAATCAGAGGAAGTCTTGACAGTTCTTATACTATCTACAGATTGGCATCTTGGAAGCAACCCAGAAGAAAGCTGCAACTCAGCACTGAAAGTCTGTGTTTTTTCCGTCCTCCTTCACTATCTTTCCAATGCTGACGTTGCTAAAAAATATTCCAGCAAGACAGAAAATCAAGAGGAAAGGGAGCTGGGCAGGCATAACGTGTTTATAAACAGCAGCTTTACTGTCTTAGAATTTGTCCACTAAACTATTTTGGTATCTAGTCAACTTGTGATAAATATATTTATTGAAATTGGTATCATATACATTATCCATTGCTGTTGTTACCTCACTCATCAGCCATTGTTTTTGCTTTAGTCCGATGTCTAGATGTTGAGTTTCATCCAGTATTTCTTCTAGAGTTAGTGGGTGTGTATCACCACGCTGATGCCTTGTCTGGGAAACAGATTAAATTTGTTGTTGTTTACTTATAACATAAACAGTGTATGAGTGACATACTGAAACTTGGGAGTAATGTAAACATACACAATTCATTACAGTTAAGTGTCTGAAACATAGTGTACCCAATTAAATACATTATCCTTCTTTATGTTTACACTTGTATGTATGTGTATACACACACACACAATAAATGTATGTGTGTATGTGCCTGAGGTGTCCACTTACACAGACAAGCTCCTGCCTCTACAAACAGCTATAGCTCCCACTGCTAAGGAGACACTCTATACACATAATAAAAGTGGAAATATGTATGTGTGTGGGTAGGTGGAGTGTCCACTTACACATACACACTCCTGCCTCTACAAACAGCTATAGCTCCCACTACTCAGGAGACACTAATGGCCCTCCCTCCCTCCAATGACATTGCAGGTTATAGTGAGTGCCATGAACATGTACAAAAGCCCTGCAAATGTCCTTCACAAATGCCATACTTCCCTCCACTCAAGTGAAGGCTTTCATTCGGGGACAATTTCCTCTTAGATTTTATGTGTTTCCTCCACCACAGACATCCCAGTGTTTCTCTCTCTCCATTGGTTTGGATTTTGCATGACCCCGCGCACTGCCCCTTCCTGAACCCTTTCCTATTCTTTTCTGAATGGTTTGTTGACTGAAATAAAGGCTACTGACTGACTGACTGACCATAGTGGGAGTTGTAGTTTACCCTACAGACAGAGAACAAACTGAACCCCAACGATGACGCATCTAGAGCAAACTTGCCCAACATATGAAACTTTAAGTACTGATGGAGTTTCCCAGGGTTAACCCAGAATGATGTCAGTTGTAATTAATTGCATGTTGTACAATTAAAATATTGACTTTTACAAATAACCCAGGCAACGCTGGGCACCCAAGCGAGTTGATGATAAAAAATAAATCTTAGAAATAGGTCTTAAATCCTATATATACTGATTATATATACCAATCAGGTCTATACATTTGTCGATGTTGCATTCTACATGTATTACAGAAGCATTTCAGCAATTGCTAGGATTTGGGTATCTATAGATGGCATACTATCTCTTCCACAATTTCAAATCGTATCTAGGAATAAAGCCCACTTTCTAGTAAAATGGATGGGAGAAATCCCTAGATCAAGGGTACCTAACAGCATTGTGTCTGGCACACAAACCAATAAAGGTTCTCCCCCATGTAACATAGGTACAGCTTTCTCTTAAAAACAATCTGATTGGCCAATAACAATCAGACTGCATCCAAGGTATCCCATACATTGCAACTTAGGCAATGTTTCCTTCCACTAGTATACAGGACTGAAGTTTGTCCCTTTTCTCCACCATAACTATATTTCTTCTTTAAACTCACAGAAGATTCCTCTTCTCCCAATTTTTTTTAAAAAACGTGTTTCAACCAAGGTGTTTGTGTATCTAAATTGTTTTGTTTATGCAAACCATTCTGATTTCAAGCCAAGTGCAATCGTCTGCGTCAACATCTTTATATGTTAAAAACAATGCAACCACAGAGGAATAATGGATGTTTTAAAGTGCTTTAGTTACATTAGTACCTTAAGTTATACTCATAAATACTGGATGCTTTGCAATGGAAAATATCCTGACTCAATACCTCTCAGATTCAGAGCTGACACTGTTGGCATTAAACATTTTAAACAGGCTCATCTGCATTTAAGCCAACTCATTCTCCATTAAATCAAGGCCCACAAACAGGATCTCTTGTTTGTAAAGTGATTACAACAAAACCAAAAAATTCTCCCAAGGCACTGTCATTGGAATTGGGTGCCTACTGATTGTTATAATTGATAGTTAATATTTTATTTTATCTCATTTTATTTATACCCTGCCTTTTCCCCAATGTGGTACCCGAAACATTTTACAGTGCAGAATGAAAGAAACTATACCTAAAACAATACATCCTATGGAAGTTTAAAAAAACATTAAAAAGATATGATAAGATGTCTGCTTTTCATGCTCTGTCAGAGGGCTTCAAGGCAGAGCTGAAGTAAAGCATGACTCTTCCACTGCTGACTGGACTAAAACAATGGAAATTCTGGCTGACAAAAAAGAATGTTCCAATTAGTCCATGAGGACCTGAAATGTATGCCATTGTTTGAATTTTCCTGCTGCAATTTGTGCAACAAAAATACAAATATAATTCCTATAAATTCTTGAAATATAATGATCATACCTTCATATAGTTCACTATCTTTGCCAGAACACCAAACTTGTAACCAGAGCCACCAGAAAGGGCTTTCAAGTTAAAAGATCCATTGCTGTGTTCTGTGAAGAAAAAAAACAACGTTCATTTTGAATTACAGGCACCAGATAAATACATCTAGCTGTTACCATAGTCACAAAGAAAGGCTTCAACAGTCTTAGCATTCATTATGTTGTCTTCATAAAAACGGGCATTTTGCATGTTCACATCTGAGATATGCTCTGTATGCAAGACACAATAACCACACAGACACCTGGAGAAAAAAAGGTCACAACTTTATTTGGTTACAGCTGTAAATAAAGATTGGTCCACACATGGGACCACACATCCAGGCATTGACCACCCCACACTTACAGCCCAGTTATCTTGAGATGTCATGAGAGCTATGTGCTGGGCTGCTCCAGCTCTGGCGGTGGTTCTCAACCTTTGATCCTCCAGATGTTTTGGATTTCAACTCCCAGAAATCCCAAGAATTGTGGGAGCTGAAGTCCAAAACATTTGGAAGACCAACAGTTGGGAACCACTGAGTTATGGTCTCTCAGCCACCAGGAGGCTATGGTAAGTACCCATGCCGCACTGACTGACTCCAGATCACACACCTAAGTCCCCCAACAGGACCTCCTACACAACTAATACCTGGGAGGTAAACTGACCACCCAATATAAATGCCAACCATCCCACAAAGTAGTGACAAATTAAAATACATCAATCACCCCACAAGTCATAGTGAGGACAGGTGGGATAATAATAATAAATAATAAACTTTATTTATACCCCGCCAACAAACATAATGGAAAATAGAACACGGTGGGCGGGCCAAATGCATGACATACAATGATAAAACACTGGATGAGATAGCAACGAAAAGGTACATTTGTGGGGATGAAACTTGGAGCAAACTGAGGAGAGCTTGTTCCAGCGCTGTGGTGTCAAATTCATTTTCACTGTGTTGCCTTCAAAGGGCAGTTGAATCCATGGATGGTTTTTCCTTACCTCCCTCACAGCCCAGATCCTTTCCCCATGGCCTTCCTTGCTTCCAACCATAGTTTTTTTTACATAGTGGTTGGTAGTAATTAGTTTTTGCCCAGTTTGGGTCCCCAGATGTTACTGAATAGCAGCTCCTATCACTATGGATTATCCACCCTGCAGACTGTGGATTATGGGAATTGTAGCCCAATAGCACTTGTGACTATTGTGAGGTTAAGGATAGGTTAAAGGGATTTTGAAGTCAAATGTCATATCTACAAGCTGTGTATCTAAATTCAAACCCCTCTCCTTATTAAACAGAACAAGTTGCAGCCTTCTGATGTTACTGTAACACAACTCCCCTCTGCTCTAGTCATGTCTAAAGATGAAGAATACAAGAATTTTAGTTCAGCACCCGAAGGGCTACATAAAATGGCACAACAGGGCTGGATTTGGCCTGCGGGTCTTCAGTTTGACATGCTCTCCAGCAACTATTCTTATTAGTCACCCGGCCAGAATGGAAACCACATCTGGGCCACTCCGGCTGGGTGAGTGTGTTGGCACCGCAGCAGCCAAATTGGGTCCACGCCACTCTGAACTGTAACCTGGCTGCCCAGTGAGTTGGGATTTGGTTTTATCAAAATAATAGTACAATACGATCTCTGTAGCCTTGAGTTCAGTATCTGCTTTTCATTTATCCAGCTCTGACAAAATATGTCTTCTCTAGTACTTTTCTGGGTCCTCCAGCAAGATTCTATAGCAGTGGTTCTCAAAGTGTGCTCTGCAGAGCCCTCCTTCCCTTCCCCCTCCAAGCTATCCCTCCTCTTTCCTGCTTCTCCCCCTCCTGCCTCCCTCACATCCAAATGCCTTTTTCCTCACTTCCCTCCCCCCAAAATCTGTTTTTCCTTACCTCCCTCACAGCCCAGATCCTTTCCCCCTGCCCTTCCTTGCCTCCAAAAGCCTATTTCCCTCCTACCGCTCAGGGGGGTAATTTGAGTGTGATTTTCCTGCATAGCAGAAGAGAGTTTGACTGGAGGGCACCTGCGGTTTCTGCTGCTGCTGCTGTTGTTGTTGTTGTTGTTACAAAGGATGAATCGCCATTTGTTGGTGGTGCTTTGATTGTGCTTTTCCTGCATGGCAGAAGGGAGTTGGACTGGATAGCCCCTGGGGTCTTCTACTGAAATACTGTTAAGTTTATTTTGGCCAAAATTTTTGCCCATGACTTATATATAAACATTATATATAATATAACATATAAACATTTTTCGGGATTCCATGAGAACCTTTTCCTTCAAAAAGGGCTCTGTGGTTGAAAAAGTTCTATAGTGTTGTTGGGACAGAACTCCTTCATTTCAATAGGGCTTTCTATTAGCTATGGTTTCATGTATCCCTAAGTCCAAGAATGTATCCCACGTGGATACAGAGACCAAATAGTACTGAAAATATCATAATAGATCTGTAAACTAAGAGGACAACAAAACAGTCGACCAGGATTATCTCCACGGGGAGGCTCTTGCATTCTTGAACACCATAACTAAGCAATCTCAAGACAGGAAAAGGATATTAAGAAGGGCCTGCAAAATGTAACAGAGGTTTGCACAGATCAGTGGTCTCCAGGTCAAGTGAGAGCTAGTATAGCACCAGAGGTTGGTAAATGGCATTTCTCCCTGCTCCCTCTATTGAGACATCCAAGAAAAATGCCATATTCAGGACTATTCCCACGGTGCAGAGCTATAGCTTCAAGAGGGGCCACAACTGCGTCTAGGAGAAGCTCACACTATAATTCAGTATTTCAGATCCCCTAGTATTCAGTATTTCAGATCCCCTAACAGAGAACATCTTCATCTTGTTTGAATCAAGCTTCCCTTCCTTCACCCTGAATTAATCCAAAACAGGCTTCAAACGACAATAAATAATTTCCAAAAGCCGTCCAATAACAAATGATAGAAAAGATGACTGAAAGGTGTTGATATTTTGATGATGCCTCAAGCCTAACTTCAGATGACTATGGAAATTAAATAGGCCCCTTGGAATAGGGCTTTAAAATTCCCTTTCCTAAAATAAAAAGGGCAATATTTACTTATAGTGAGAAAGTTAAAAGAGTAGAGAAACTGCAACAATCTGAAGACTGCATTTGCTTTATTTAAGATTGGCTTTCATTATTTCAAATAAAATGATACTGGAATTTGGTGCCCCATCATAAAAACTTTATTTTGTTCAAAGTAAAATTTACTTCGATGTGGACTTCATATGAAGGTTGTCAAATCAATGTACATACATTTGTCAAATTCACAACGAATGTTACTTTCTTGCTTAATTAATCAGTATAATCTTATTGAAGAAAATATTGCTTTCTCCCAAAATGCTTGAGTAAAGAATATTCCCGCTCCCGAAGAATATTCTGTTTGCCATGTTTTCAACTGTGAGAAAAGCAGTCTATAGCAATCTAAATACATAATCAAAACCAATGTGGTCAAAATTTCACAAAATAAAAATCTACTGAACTACTAAAACTACTAAAATTACAGAAAGGAGCCTGGGAAGAGAAATCTCCTAGAGGTGATTTACAAGCTACTGTTGTAATCTCAAAGATTTAAAAGGACCATATCATAAACAGAGATTAAAGAATACCAGGAAGACAAAAGATGCTTACATCTTTAACAACAGTCTATGTGAATGTCTAGAATCCAGTTAAGGCCCTGCCTAGTTATGGATGGCTCATGCTACCTTAATATGCTATTAGAGAGGAAATAAATGTGAAGGCATTAACACAATAAATGCCGTGTTCTGATGAAAACAAAGACACAAAAGGCTACATTAATAATGAATGCATTTCATTTTTAAAGGAGCTAGGGATATGTGAAAGGAGAAGGCATCTGATCTGACATCTTATATATTTCAGATTTATGAATGATTTCCTCCTCGGGTAGGGGTCTGATGCAAATGAGCATAAAGGAAGTTGTCAGCTGCATTCTGCTTCAGCCAATAGTAGCAGAGCTCCATCTTAGCTATACCAGAGGCTGTATTAAACAGCAGATCAGCACTGCTCCAGCATCCTTTCTGAAAAGAGGTAGGTCTATGCCTTTTTAAAAATTGCCTTGCACTTCCTGGGGGGAAAAAAACTGCTTTAAAAAATAGAACATACAAGGCCCTTATATCTTTAAAAATTAGAACGTTTAAAACAATTGTTTCCCTCAAATATGAAAGCTTGATTGCTCGCTGCTTAAAGGCAGAGATGCTTTTCTTGTACTAATAGAGAATCTTGCCATCTGTGCATTCATGAAGAATTGATGACCATCCATCTTACACAGAGCTCAACACACCCAGATGATATTTCGTGCGCCAATCTTTTTAGGGCTTTGTATGACCTGCTAATCAATTTTGTTATGCAAAAACTAACAAAAAAGACAGCATTTTTAATTATAGACGCCTCATCACGCCTGTTTTGTTTCCCAAATTAAACATCCATTAAGCTGCACAAGAAAAATGCCACTAAGCAAACACATTATATTCCTCTCTTAAACTAGCATTAGCTTTTAACATTTGACTACTATGTTGGATTAACATAGCATCAAGTAGTCAAGGGATTCTGGCAGTTTAAATGTCAAATGATAATTGCCCTAGGCTGCAATTCTACACACCTTTTCCTGGGAGTAAAACCCACCAGAGCTAGCTGGCTGCTTAACAGTATAATCCTATTCACACCTACTTAGAAGTGAATCCCATAGAGTTCAATTGGTTTTTATACCCACATGAGGGAACAGAAGATTTCAACCTAAATCTATTAAAAGATTCCAGATCTTACTCAAAACTGAGTTGTCTTACAATTCTTTACAGAATTTATTTAATCCAGGAAACCTAAGCTTTTACACTTCGTCACACAACTAAATAAATTTCATTGAGTTATTAAGGATGAAGCACTTCATTAAAACTGACATGTAAACATTAAATATTTAAATGCTATATGACTGTATGAATCTATAATGAAATGCAGAAATACTAACTTTACTATGACAACACTTTCCCCTCACATTTTTAATTTCATGTTACCAGTGTCACTCCTTTCCAAAGTATAAACTTTGAAATACATACATATACACGCACATTTTTAAACAATATATATGAGAAAGAAATCTAACCAGTTTTAACAGTTATGTTTGCTAGCTAAATAAATATAAATAGATCTCAGTGTCGCATGTGTATTCCTACTGGCACATTTATTTTTCAAACTCGTCATCAATGACTTTTTAAAAATGTCTTGAATAAATAATGCATCCTGTTCCTAAATTCTCTGCAATTTATTCTATGTTCATATTCATATATTCATCTATGTTGGTCTAATTCAAACAAGTAAAAACCAATAATGAAAATTCAGCCATTTCATTTAAATCATGTAGTTTCAATCATATCCTTGAACAACTTTTGAGTCCTTGATGTTTCTCAACTATCAGGCATTTCTTTCCCAGAAAAGCATTCAATTGTAAACATTTCTATATTTATGCAAATTGAAGCTTTTGATACTAATTTACATTTTAAATACATTTTCTTTGTCTCTCATTACAACAAAATGCTATTTTAAATATATTTCAAACAATTTTACATGTTTCAGTGGAGTTGGCAACTGTAGGGGGGATGCATTTGTACTGATTTTCTGCCAAAACCGCCACCCATGAGTTTGTTTACTTTCAGTTTGCATTTCCTGTTTTAAGCCTTTATCCCCCACCCACCCCTGGAATTACTAGCGGGTTAATGTGAAATAGTAAGATTTGCAAAAAAAGGACAAAAGATTTGCTTCATTTTTGTGTGATTCCAAAACATTTTGGGTTAAGTTAAGTTCCCTCATCCCCTAATCAAATTCTTCCAGGAGTAAGGGGCTTGGAAGTTCAATATTAAGGAGGCTGGGGACACAAGTAGATTGTAGCCCATAGCTTCTCCAACTGTGTATTTCAGCATTCATTGTTGTCCTTATGAACATTTTGCAGTGCTAAATACATACTGGACCTACATTCATTTTTTAATACACGAAAGCCTCAGGAAATGTCAAAACAAATCAATCAATTCTCTTTTATTGCATTCTGGGGCAACCAATTGGCCACAACACACAAGTATATTTTGTGAAGTTGGTTCTCTGATTTCCCCCCCCCCCCTCCTCTTCTGTCCCATTGAAACTGTAAAGCAGGGGTCCTCAAACTTTTTAAACAGAGGGCCAGGTCACCGTCCCTCAAACTGTTAGGAGGGCCGGATTATAATTTGAAAAAAAAATGAATGAATTCCTATGGACACTGCACATATCTTATTTGTAGTGCAAAAATAATTTAAAACAATACAATAATTAAAATGAAGAACAATTTTAACAAATATAAACTTATTAGTATTTCATTGGGAAGTGTGGACCTGCTTTTGGCTGAGATAGGATTATTGTTGTTATTATTGTGTGCTTTCAAGTCGGTTCAGACTTAGGTTGACCCTGAGGGCCAGGTAAATTACCTTGGAGGGCCATATCCGGCCCCCGGGCCTTAGTTTGAGTACCCCTGCTGTAAAGCATAGCGTAGACGAACTTTTTTTAAAAAAATTAAATGCTTAGATTAAGATGGTGTTGATTCTTCCCAGGACTCTCACTTAAACTAAGCTTATTAGCTATGTATTCATAGTTTCAAAGGAACATTGGAAAAGGTTACACCTTCTAGAATATTAACCAAGACAAACTATTTACATCGCTAAATGAAGTCCAATAATTTAATAATTCCTGCATGGCAGAGGGTTGGATTAGATGAGCTATGGGGTTTCTTCCAACTCTATGATTCTATTCTCAGAGTGGCCTCTTCTCAGATCTATCACAGTACAATCCAGAAAGATTATTTTTCAGGATATTATGTAAACTAAAAAAGAGATGCCTAGACACCAAAGGATGTTAATCATATTACTGGGGTAATCAAGTGTTGAGAAGCCTCCCACTCAATCTTCAAACAGCATGTTGCCAGTTTCTTAGTTTCCAGTGTAAGACTTGGCCCAACAAAAATGGTCAAAACATATATATGAGAAAACCAAGGATCACAGGATATGGGTACCACAAGATACCCCAAACTAAGGCCAGATGCAACTCTCTAAGGTAATTTACCCACACCCTTCCCTAAACTGTTAAGTTCCTGAAATGACTTGAAGGTCCATAACAACAACAGTCCTAATTAACTTGACTGTCTCATCAGACAAAAACCAGGCCACACTTCCCATTGAAATACTGGTATGTTTATGTTGGTTAAAATTGTTCTTCATTTTAGATATTGTACTATATTGTTCTTTCATTTATTATTTTCTTTTTTTGCATTACCAATAAGATATGTAGACTGTGCATAGGAATTTGTTCATTATTTTCTAACTATAGTCTGCCCACCCCACCCCCCACCAGTCTGAGGAACCGTGAACCAGCCCTCGGCTTAAAAAATTTGAGGACTCCTGGCCTAGATGTGCCTAGATTTGGCACATATCTGGTCTAATAGGAACAGAGGTAGGCAGTGATATCTAGGCAGGCTGCTTGTATGGACTCCTATTTCTGTTCCTCCTAGTTTTAACTTCATATTTTTGACAGCTATTTGCTGGTGGGAAAAGTGAGTAAATTCTTTTTCACTTTCTAAAGACATAGTGTTGTAATAAAGATCCACTGTTCATTTTCCTATATCCACTACCTTGCAAGTGAGAGGATACTACATTCAAGAGTCTCTTTCATATAATCAATTTATAAATGTAATAGTCTAGGGTGCCTTTGTGGCTGAGCGATACTGTTCCATAGGTCTGCCAACTGTTTTTGATCACCTTTGACTGTATGTCTGTAGTCATAACAAAGATAATAATCTTCCAAAGACTTCATAAAAAATAAAGATTGCTCTCAGCATCTGTTTGTTACATTTAGAAATTTAGTTTCTTGGGGTGGCTTAGTTCTGAGGACACAAGGGAATGCGCCTGCTTAGAAAGTGTCTTTACTTCTTTCTTTGTGATTGTTTACCATAATTTTTCTCTTGACTTTCATTTCCACTAAAAATTGCTTCAAAAATAAGAAAGGAACACAAGTTTAATTTTCCTTGGCTTTGATATCCAGGTTTTTTTTTTCTTGATAACTGCAATGGAGCTGGACTCTACTTGTTAAGCATATTGAGAGGCTTATGGTTTGCTGATCCAAGTCACATCCTTTATTTCAGGGAAATGTTGCAAAGACAGGACCACAGGGGGAAGTATTGAAATATTTGTAGAGGATTGTCCTGAATACCCATAGATAATGCTTAGCACGTAAAAAAGGCAAGGACTTTGAAATAAAAGCTGTAGCCAAATGCTGTATGATATCATCAGGCAGCAGACAACACTTTGGACAGCTTCTGCCATTACTTTGTAGAGGAATTAAAAGGGGGGAAACTATGGGAAAATAACAGGAGAAGTGGGTGATGCTGTAAGACCCAGGTGACTCTTGAAGATTTAGACAGCTTAATATTCATGTTTCCTCTTAATTTCAATTTCTCTAGCTCCTCCTCCTAGAAAGAAAAGCTGTTCTTTGTAGGTATCTTGCACATCTTCTCACACAAATAACATTTTCTATTTTTTTAAAGAAAGCATTAAGAACCAGGAATGAGCCCATAAAGGGAACCTACATTGTAGTGAGTTGTGAAAGGAATAGCTAAAATCTAGATCTGAAGTGGATTTTGTGGGACTTTTCCCTGAGGTTAATTAGAAGACCTGCCTGAGAAGTGGAATTGCTCCTCTAGGCTCATTATGATCCAACTATCTTCAGAGGTGTGGTATACTGTAATCTCTCTGGTAGTTACATCTAGAGAAATGATATAAATAACTGTATGGATTACTGCAATCCTGTGATTTGCAATCCATGCTTAGATCTCCAAATGCATGACAGTATATATTTTGACTTTTTCTATAAAAGTGTATGATCTATCAAAGTTTGTCAGTCTATTGTGGAAGACTGTATGTCCTATATGTTACTTTCTCTGAGAAATGTCATTTCTCTAAAGCTCCCCCGTGAGATATGAAAATGGAGTTGTGAATGTAGAATGTCTGATTGACAACAGTGACTCAAACTGCAGTCCACCATTACCTTAATGAAACCCATGACAGCAGAGAGTGTTTGGCCTTTTTATCTACCCACCCCTCAAGCAGTAGTATCAGGCTCTTCTAGCTCTGAATAAGCAACTAAAAAAATGGCTCAGAGCTCTATTGAAAGTGCTATGAAATTTCCTGTATTTCTGGGATTAATGTTCCTGAAGAGTCCATGATGGTGAAAACATTTCCTGGCTTGTCTTCTGACCCTTGTTGAGTCTAATAAAGTGTTCATGTTTCCTACCTGATCAGGGCAAAGGTAACACAGCACACATGAAACAGTTCCGGAGATAGACCTTGTATAATGGCAAATTCAGTAGCCTCTTCTAGATCCTCTCCATTGGGCACAACAGCCTTGGGATACGTGTGCCTGTGGACGATGTAACACAAACTGGATTTTCCAGTCCATTCTCCTATATTGCTCTTTCTCTTGATGTCTTGGTCATGTGTATACAATTGTAGAGTACAATGACAGCCTCGCTCCCACAACAAAGGTATGGTTTCTTCCAGAGACTGCGAGGAGAAACCTCTTCTTGAGAATTATACTATATTCAGACATTACTCATCATACTTCCTTGAGCATGGGGAGTGCCTAGTCCTACCCACTCTGCCATCACTTTCCTCACAAAGAGAAAGACGTGTCCGAAGAGTTTTTATTCACATGAGCAAGATCCCCATAGTTCTAGATCACAAGGAGTTTGAATCTCTTCTCTTCAGACATGTGGTTTTCCTTGTGAAGAATGTGGTGGCTGCAGTGCCCCTCTTATCTTGGAAGCCTAGCAGCCCAAGAAAATAATTTTGCCTATATATCCTATGATACTGCAGTCCCCCGGGAGCCAGTTTCCAGAGACTTCCAAAGGAAAAAGGAGTTCTGTCACACTCTCAATGAGAGCGGCAGCACTGTGTTATCAGTATCATAGGATACATAAGCAAAATTATTTTCTTGGGGTGCATCTCTGCCAACGGTAAAGCTCACTGCCTGGCATGTACATTATTTTTTCTTGTTTTTCTGTAGAAGCCAGGATGTTGATGCTGATGGCTCCTGAAGAACTACCTACCACTATCACAGTACAACTGCTTTTAGAATCCGATTTACTTTTACTTACTGAAACTACTTTGCTAATTCATCCATTATAATGCTATATAAGCATTTTATGTTGTTTTATTTTTACCATATTAACCATGACGCTCCAGGATAGAAACAGAAGAGCAACTTTCAGTGTATCACTCACATTTACATTCTTAAAAGTTATAATCAATTAGAACTTTTAAAAGTTACGGTAAACTCATTCACAGTAATTGTTAAAAAAATTACTTTGGCAGTTAGAATAACTATAAGCAATACTTGTTGATAGCTCCAACGGAGATTACATTCAAAGTATACACACAACATTTGACAGTTAAATCTTCTACTTTGCAAATGACAGCACCCTAGTCTTGCAATGCAATAAGAAAAAACACGCCAAATTAAGTGCTGGAACCCAACTTTTGTTTTATTTAAATTAAAACTGAAAAGACAGTCAATGCAGACACAGCTTAATGCTTTAGTACTGACACTACTTGTAACAAGAAGCACCCATTAACAACCAAAAACACAATCTGTTTCAGATCTACTTTGTCAGTAAGGGAGGATAAAACATAGGTAATCCACTAATTATGTCTTCTGTTTGTATATTTCAACATATAGAGCAACTGCAGAGAAAGGGCCCAGAGGACTATCCAAACATGGCAACATTCAACATTAGCCGTCTGAATGAAACTACATCCCTCAATCACAACGTTGGTTTCCAAGTGCAGAAAATTTATCCCTTCCATGACAACTGGAACACTGCCTGCTTTGTCATTCTGCTCGTATTTATATTTACTGTAATATGTCTGGTGGTGCTAGCTTTCCTATATGAGCTGCTTGACTGTTGCTGCTGTGTGAAAAACAAAACCGTGAAGGATTTAGAGAATGAACCCAATCCCGTTAGATCTATGATGGACAACTTCAGGAAACGAGAAACAGAAGTGGTGTAGTGGTGGACAGATCACTAACACCTGCATCAAAACAGATATTCAGCATCATAATGAAGCCTCCCGCATCTTAGGACCAAGCAAGTCAGAGTCTGCTTAGCCTTAAATGTAATTATTAGCACCGTTTCTGTTTATTGGTGGATATGAACCTGAACTGTTCACAAAAATGCTTTTAATAATGGATGATCAGTCACAGTGTCATGTGGAAATGGGTATTTTTTTCATTTTGTTTTATAATGAACTTGTCTTGAATGGAATTAATGATTTGAGTAAAATCTGGTTCATCTGACTTATTTATTTATTAGTTTATTTAAGTATTAAAATTTATCTTATTGCTGTGTGACTTTAAGTAGTTTCTGACTAATAGCGACTCAGGAAAAATAATAATGGCGTGTTCTTCACAGGATTTGCATTTGCCTTCCTCTTAGACTGAGAGTATATGCCTTGACCAAGATCACCCAGTAATTTCCATAGTCAGGGTGGTGTTATTAAAATCCTACCATCTGATTATTTCTACATGCAGGAAATCAACAAATCCAAGCTCAAAATGAAAATGAAGAAATACGTTTTACTAAAATAGCAAGGCATTAAAATATATCATGAGCAAGAACACCTTATGTGAATAATTTATTTTAAAATGTTGTAACAGTTTGATAGACGGGCCATTGTAATGGCAATATAGAACATTTTTAATACCAGAAAATATCTGTATTGTAAATAAGAGTTGTTATTAGTTGCAGATAATTTTTTACATATTTCAAACCTTTACTATATATTATCTCAGAGCCCAGACAATCTCTTTTTGACTCTCAGTATTCCCAATAGTTTACATTAGAGAGCTGTCAATATCACTGCATCGGTACAAGGCTAAAACTCAACTCTGTTAACAAGAGACATTCAGCATTGTGTGCTTTTGTTTCTTAGATGAAGACTATTCTTTCCATCTTTAAAACAGATGGGGATGAAGCTCTACCCATATGAAATTAACCCTATTTCCTTGACCAATTCTGAACAGTGATATTAACAGATCTGTCATTCAAGATAGCAAGCTGTATTTAGACAACCATCTCACCTACTGCAAAATTTGTGGCATGTAGTATGAGCATCTTCTCATACTATTTTATGATGGGTTTCCTCACTCCCACCACAAGGGAACACAGCACAGTGACATCGGCATATGGAATTTTTGATGCAGTCAATTAGAATTTTAATTCTGACCTCTAGCTTGCAAGGTGATTGGATGGAACAAAAATGAGCTGTCTGTCTCTGTAGGTAGCAGTGTTCTGCTAACCACAGTCAAGCAGATGGAAACCCAACCTGGGGAAAGCAGCTGTAAAGCTCCTCAGCTACACTCAAAAGCTTCTCTGCCAATTGCATTACTTTCTTTACAATGCCCTGTAATGATGAAATTGCATTGCATCACTGCAGTGAAAAAAGATGAAAGATAAAGGCAGTTACAAAGGAGGGAATAACTGAATGCTGGTACTTGCTTCACAATAGTGTTACTCTGTTTTTCTATACAAGTGTCCAGGGGAATTCTCCTCTTGCCTGCATAAGTACCTATAGCCAACTACCAAAATGTTTCCCAGCCTCCAACTAGAGTTCTTGAGGCTAGTAGATGGAGCCAAGAAAAAGCAGAGATGCATCTGCAGAAAGCACTTTTTTCCTAGTGGCTCTTTTTACTTTTTATTTCTTGGTGTAATTTAGTACAATTGTATAAAATTCAGAAAAATGAGTGTTGACCTCTTACGGAGGAAACATTCTCTTCTAAGTATAGTAAAGGTAAAGATTTCCCTTGACATTAAGTCTAGTTGTGTCTGATTCTGGGGGATGGTGTTCATCTCCATTTCTAAGCCGAAGACCCGGCGTTGTCCGTAGTAACTTCCTAGCTCATGTGGCCAGCATGACTGCATGGAGCACTGTTACTTTCCCACAGAAGCAGCACCTATTGATCTACTCACATTTACATGTTTTTGAACTCACCCCACTCCCCGGATTCAAACTGCCAATTTTTCGGTCAGCAAGTTCAGCACCTCAGCGGTTTAACCCCCTGCACCACCAGGGACATGCCTATATTTCTAAGTATTAAATTGTTTAATACATAAGATTTGTGTTTTCATTGCAGAGCCACACAGGCAGGCCCTAGCAGGTATCTATGCCAACAGAGAAACACCTTATTATGCTTAGTATGCTTTCATGTATTGCTATGTAACAGATGAGTGCTCCTACAAAGGGAGACTGAGACTCTCCACTCCCAACATATATGTTTCATGAAAATTCAGAAAATAATAGCTTTATCCAGGAGGATCTGGGATAGAAACCACTATCACACGACAGAGGAACAGTGATTAGTTTATGTTAATACTACTAAATTTCTATATATTAATTTTACAGAAAAACCATCACATCAATGTCATCCTAAGAAAGCTAAGATTAAAAAACCACTCAGAAAAAAAAATTAGAGTGAAAATCTTAGGGGGAAACTACACATCAAACCTCTGACTAAATGTCTCACAATTTCACTTCTTGATTGAAAGCAGAATTTAGGTCATGGAAAAGATGTCTTCTTGTTTGGTAATCTAAATGATTCCTCCCTAATATAGAACTGTTATATACATCACAATGAAAACCATAAAAGATCCCTGTGAAGTTACTTATGAAGGTAAGTGAAGGCTCCACTTTGAAAAGGTTTAACATGAATGGGGAAATTGAAGACCATTTGCATAAAGCCCAGATAAAATCTCTGCCATCTACAAACCTGCATTTTGCTTTGAACTTGATGATCCTCCCTGTTCTACTTTTGTTTTCTTCTTCTTTGATGATGACGACTCAGAAGAGGCTGCTGGGCGTTTTTCTACAGCAGGAGTACAGAGTGCTCGTTTCTTGAACAGCTCTCGTTCACGAAGCAAGTTCGGATCCATAATTCTGTTAAGTTAAAAACACGTGGCATATACAAATTAAAAGTCTGCATGACTACTCAGAGTGCCCCTCAAAACATTTGAACTAAATGGATACCAGATTCCTAAAGGCTAGAATGTTATTTATTGAATATGTTGTAATTCAGGGCAAAATAATTTGGTTCATTTCTTATCTACACTGGACTATATTTGCAAAAGTAGTATTACGTAATACGTATACTTCCTCTTCAGACTCTCATCATTCTCCAACCAGAATTGCACAGATTACCAAGTTTCCGGTATTTTATTGCTTTATCAGTCAGGGCTAGAATACACACACAAAAATCCCCACACAGCTTGAGTGAAGTCCCTGAAAATCCCCTGTGTACAAAACACACTGCAGTATACACGATACAATATAGTTGACACTCATATCACTGTACGTTTCAAATGCCTGTGACCTATGACAGCAAATTATAGCAGTCCATGAAAGAGTAACTGCTTTAAAGTGCAGCTGAAAAATTGTTCTAGATCATTACTCATTATTATCTAGAAAGGGTTTCCTAAAAAGCAGTACTGCAGTGCCTGCCTAGCTGCTTTTAGAGGCCCAACTAAAGTCAACCAGAAATGTGTAAGAGCCGTCGCAAACTCTGTTCCTGCGGGAGCAAACCTTGCTAGCACGTCCCTGATGTCATGAGCCTGCGCCTCTCTCCCCGCCCCTTTCTCCGCCCCTTTCTCTTTGCCAGCGTGGTTTTTCCTTTGCTAGGGCAGCATTGCCCGCATTTTCTCTCAGTTGAATTCTGCTAACTGAGAGAGTATGCTGGCAATGCTGCCCTAGCAAAGGAAAAACCACTCTCGCAAGGAGAAAGAGGTGGAGAAAGGGGTGGGGCAAGAGGCGGAGTCTCATGACATCAGGGACGTGCTAGCAAGGTTTGCTCCCGCAGGAACAGAGTTTGCGACGGGTCTAACTATCAAACATAAATGTACCAAGCAGTTACCTATACTGAGTATCAGGGGGGATACTCTAATTAAATTAAAACTTCTAATTAAAACTTCAATTGGGAGTGATGGAAGTTGTCACCCAGTACACTGAAAAGCTACAGTTGACACTCACTTCACATTATGTCCCAGGTTGGGAAAAGCTGAGCTAAATTGTAATGTAATCTTACAGGAGAACTTGTGTGCAGTTCTCTTCTCCTCCAGCATGCACATGTGATGAGAAGCTGATGCTTCTATTTTCAACTAACCACATTTATTTATTGAATTTGACTCTACACAAATTGTTGTGTCAATTCTTGTATTAGGGAAACAAGCTAAATTCAAACTTAACAGAAACCAAACATGCTATTATAGAAAGTTTAGATATAACAAGTAATTACAGTTATTAGAAAATAGAAGCAACATATATCAATCTCCTTCTTGCAAGTATGATATAGTAAGCAGTTTCACCGGTATTATGTTTAAGCTATTGTTTATGGAGCCAGCATGATGTAGTGTCTTGAAAACCGGGCTAGGAATAGACCACAATTTAATCTCCACCTCACCATGGAAACACATTGCATGACAAGCCACACTCTCTCAGCCTCAGAGAAGGTCAAAGGTAAACCACCTTTGAATAAATTGTGCCGTGACAGTTTCATTTTAGAATTGCCATAAGTTGAATAAGAGCTAAGCTTTTAGCAAAGTGGAAAAGGTATAAGAAGGGGATTGGACCAAAAATTCCGTTATGGCTGTGCCCATTGGAAGCAGCATTGAGACTAAATAATAGTAATAATAATAACAACTTTATTTATAACCCGCCCTATTTCTAAGGGGGGACTCAGGGCGTACTCACGTAAAATCAAGTACCTATAGGGAGTACCTAACCAAAGAAAAGGAGCAATGGAAACTTAAAAAAATAGAGGAGTTAGGGATAAATGCCTGATTTTGCTTCTATCAATTACATGATAGATTTACAAAAGATGAGAGAGTAGAGGTTTCAACTAGAAAATTTAAATTAGAGAATATTTTCGAATAGGGTAACGAAGGCCTAATCTCCAGACTGTACAAATATATTCTAGAATATAACTTAGAGGACAATCAGATAAACATGGAGATGATTTTATGGGCTAAAGATTTAGGGAGAAATTTTGATTTGGAAGATTGGAAACATCTCAGGAAAACGAGGTTTAAATTTAAGATAGCTAGTTCAATTAGAGAAAATACGTATAAAATGTTTACAGAAGCTATATAACCCCAGAGCTAATGGTCAAAATAGATAAAACTTGTCAAGGGGAAAGCCAGAGGTGCAGGATGCAGAAAGGCTCTTTTTTCATGGTCCTGCAACATAATACAAATTTTTTGGGAAAAGGTGGTTATAGAAACAAATAACATGATCACCAAAAAGGTTAAGAAAAACCAGGAAAGGTGCCTTTTAGGATTCTGACAGACCAATTAGGAAGTGACCTTTATAACCTAGGGACAAATGCCACTTCCTAATTGGTTCTGTCATAAAAACCATGGGGAATGACTCCAAAAACTATCTCCTGGGAGCATGGCAACAGTCTGCAGTTATCTGTGACCTGTTAGCGGATTATTCCAAAAATATAACATTAAAGGTTGCCACATTTGCAATCGCAGCCCAAAAAATCCAAGCTAAATTTGTAAAGTCCACAGCAGAGGCTAGAAATGGAAACGGAAACAGTTTGGGACAATATAAACCAGATATTGTTATTGCTATCATGCCTGCAGGGATTGTCATTGCTACTGTCATTTGAAAGAGCTAGTTTACAGAATAAGTTTTAACGTTTATATTGGAAAGTGCGTACTGTACTTTTAAAAGTTGTGTATTATTTGATGTCATTGCCTATGGCTAGTAAAATAAACAACTCATTCAACCCAGGGACAAAAATCGTGTTACAAGGTGTAATCTAAATTATTAATTCAATCTACATTATTAATGCACAACAACCTACATTTATTCAAATAATTATAATTTATATTATTATTTAAGTATTATTTATATTGAATTATATATAGAGGGGGGATTATAATTTTAGGTAGTGATTTTATTGATTAGCCCTTAGGCCTCATTTATGGCATGGGAAGGAGGAATAACCAGCGAAAAAGGGGGAAATGGTTTTTCTCCTTCAACTCCCCCATCCCTTGTAAAATGGACTATCCATTTTATCTAGTGCCCCCTTTTGGCCTTTGCCAAAAACTATTCTGGCCCAGCTTACCTCTGAACATATCTCTGAACATGTGTAACAGTATATGTAATGTAATGTGTAACAGTATATGTAATGTATATGTATTGTATTGATATGCCATTGTTTTATGATTTTCATGTCCAGGGTGAGGCAGCATAACTTTCTTTTTTTAAAAGCACGCCATTCAGTCGGTTGAAGGCGTAGTGGAGTGCTAGTGGTCTCGTTTGAGAAATGGGAGTATAAAGTTTTGTCCTGACACAGTTCAGTCGCCATCATGCATTGGAACAGTGAGGAGCATGCTTTTGCCATTGAGGCCTACTTTTTGAGTGGATTTGGAGTGGCCGGTCTGCTCTCCAGATTTTGCCCCTTGTGATTTTTTTCTATGGGGTTTTTGGAAATCCTGTGTTTATGTGAACCGTCCAAGGACCCTACAAGATTTGAAGACCAACATGCAGGAAGAAATTGCCAACATAACGCCTGCTATGCTGGCAAGAGTCATGACAAATGCCAGAAATCGGTTTACTCAGTGTATGGAGAATGGGGGACGTCGCCTACCTAATTTGATCTTCAAAACTACGTAAAACAAAACTTTAGGTATGTGCTACATTAAAAAAATTAAAATTTCTGATTCATACAGTGGGTTTTATTAAGTTTTGAAAAAAGGAAGTTATGCTGCCTCACCCTGTATATTGTATTCTGTATTTGTAAGTTTTTAGGTTTAATGCGGCACTGAATATTGCTAATTTGGAAGCCACTCTTGAGTGGGGACTAAATCCCAGGGTTGAGACAGAGCAGTGTAAAAATGCAATAAATAAATAAGCCGTGCAACGTAAACACATCCATCTGGCTGCCGAGCTTGACTGGGGCTTGTTTTTGTGGTAGGGCTTATATTACCAGCACTCTGAAAAGTCAAGATAGTGCCTATTTTAGTGCCCCATCTCTACCTGAAAACTCTATCCCAGTTATGTCCTACCTTGTACATGTCCAGCATTATTTTTTAAATTTTAAATTATTGCATTTGGCCCAGCCATAGGTTTTAAATGCTTGTTGTTATTGTTACTATTTACTTTTGGGTATGAGATTTATTTTAACTGTTGTATTGATTGTATTTTATTGCTTTTACTGTTGATGTACTTTGGGCTCGGCCTCATGTAAGCCGCACCGAGTCCCTTGAGGAGATGGTGGTGGGGTATATATAAGGTTTATTATTATCGTTATTTATATTATTTTCCGGTTCTAATTTCGGGAGAACAGAGTATGCCACCTCCTATAAGCAAACTTTCCTGTGGCAGCTTGGAAAGAGATCTTCTAACACAGGCATGGGCAAACTTGGGCCCTCTGGGTGTTTTGGACTTCAACTCCCACCATTCCTAACAGCCTACCGGCTGTTAGGAATGGTGGGAGTTGAAGTCCAAAACACCCAGAGGGCCCAAATTTGCCCATGGCTATTCTAACAGCTGTTTGGGCCTCCAACACCTTGATACCCTTTTCCAGCTCATTCAATGATCAGGGATTCTGGGAGTTGGAAGCCCAAATAGTTGGAAAGTCGCAGTTGGAGGAGGCCTATTTATAGGGAAGTGGCTACTGTCCCACAAAAAGACACAACTCTTCTGCCTCCCCTTTTAGTGGAAGACAATCCTCAACACAAACTTCCTCAAGTTTCTCATGTTTTTAAACTAGCAGGGCTCTCCCCTGAAGGGAATCCTGGGAGTTGTAGTTCGGTGAAGCCTCCGACCCTTTCGCCGCATCCCTGGAGGGAGCTTTTCTCTCGCTGTGGGTCTCCTCGGGGTTCTGGTTCTGAGGGCAGAGGTCCCTGAAGGGCGCCCCTCTCCCTCCTCCCTCTTCCTCCCCCGCCAATCCCGTCCCAGGCCCGTGCGCGCGCCAGCCCACTCACCTCAGCGCCGAGAGAACCTAGAGTTGGTGGCAAGACCACGGAGGGCGCCCGCAGGCTTCCCGCTTCCCTATTGGCTCAGGAGGCGCCTACCGGGAGGCTTCCGCCACATTTCCCATCCTTCCCGTCGCTTCGTCGACGACCTATTACGTCAGGGCTTAGGAAAAGGAAGTACAAGTTCCCGTTGCCACGGCAACAGCAAACGGATGAGGCGGGGCAGGAGTTGGAACTGTCCCCTGATAGGAGGATGAACTGAGGCAGCTGATTGGTCGCGCTTTACCCTTAGAGCCGCCCAGTAGCAGAATCTCATTGGCTGGGATTTAGAGTAGTGGTAAAATGCCGGCTGAGAGGAGGGAATTAATGGAAACCTTCCACACATCTGAATAAGATCCTACATTATCTGCTTTGAACTGGGTTATATGACAGTGTGGACTCGGATAACCTGTTCAAAGCAGATATTGTGGGATTTTCTGCCTTGATATTCTGGGATATAGGGCTGTGGGGAAGGGCCCTCAGTCTCCTCAAAATGGCATGCAGCACTAGCACAAAGTTCAATACAGCAAGCCTCAAACTATGATCAGAGGTGACCTACCCCCCTCCCCAAGACTCTGTAAAAGATAGTTCAAAATCAGGGAATTCATAGGGTTGTTGTAGGTTTTTTCAGGCTATATGGCCATGTTCTAGAGGCATTCTCTCCTGACGTTTTGCCTGCATCTATGGCAAGCATCCTCACATCCTCATGCTTGCCACTGATGCAGGCGAAACGTCAGGAGATAATGCGTCTAGAACATGGCCATATAGCCCAAAAAAAACTACAACCCCCCAGTGATTCCGGCCATGAAAGCCTTTGACAATACAGGGAATTCATCGTTTTGCCAAAGTCACCAGGCTGGAATGGTCCCATAATCCCCTATTTCTCCTCCTGTTTTTATGAATGGACTTTGGCTACACAGTGCTCCCCATAACTTCCATGAACCACCCATGAACTCATGAGTTCTTAGGAATTTTATAGGCACTTTTATAAATTCCTGTCAAACTTTATGAACTTTTATGGACTTTGGGGGGGGGGGGGGGGTGACGTGACTTCTCCTTAAACTTTGCATGATTCCCTCTTTTCCTATGAATTCTGTGTATGCTCCTCTGCCCCATTTCTCATTCCCTATATGTATGTATGTCTATATAAGAAAATATGAAGCAAAGCTGCCTTTTCATGAACCAGCAACTCATGGCTCTTGGAGTTTCCAAGCTTCCTGAGCCAATAATCCCCTAAAAAAGAACTCAACCAGATCCATTTGCATGGACAATAACTAAATGGCTCTACTTGCCCGGACCTCGGAGGGTTGATAGCCAGGACATCCAGAATAATGGAGTCTATGGACATATTGAATCACTCAACACAAAGGACATTTCCGGAACTGGGGATTTGTCACTGCCTCTCTGCTGTGCCACATCCTGACCTCCAGAACCTATCTCTATTTCATCAATGGACTCCATATTGCAGGATAGTAAGACAAAAGGACCTGGCCTCTTGGGACCAGACAAAAAGGTTAATTCAAGGGACAAAACAATAACACAGACCAAGCTTGAGTGCTGAAGCTATCACCTGGTCAGTTGGCAAACACTGGTCATTTTAATCCAGTCAACTACATTCCTCCATTGTTTCCCTGTTGCCTGCCTCCCTTCCACCTCATTGGCTGGGCGGCCAAAAAAAGGGCCAGGACCCTCATTGGATCTCCTCCTGGCTTGCTGATGTCACAGCCAATCATAACAAAGCCAGCTTAGGGCGGGTGGGCATGGGAACTTTTGAATCTGAAGGATATATATTTTGTATTTACCTGCCTAGCAGGCATGTCGATTTGTTGGCAGATTACAGCAATCATCATTATTTCCAGCTGGAATGAAATAAAACCCCAGTGGCTTTCCTTCCAACTTGATGAGACTTTATTTGGGAAAATTAGGGGAAAATATTTTAGGCGCTTGCTATCTCGCCAGGTGTTCCAGATCCTCCTTTTGGGTCTGGCTGGTCTCTGCCTAGGCAGGGCATCCCAAATTCAAGTTCAGCATCAAAACTGCACGCCTTCCATCTCTTTGGGCCACCAACTCCCACAATTCCTGACCATTTAACAAGTTGGCTAGGGCTTCTGAGGCTAGGGCTTTCCTCTGAGGCTGAGAGTGTGACTTGGCTAAGGTAACCCAATGGGTTTCTCCAGAGTCACAGTCTAACACTCAAACCACACCACAACTCTTGGCTCTTGTTGTAGCTACTCCTCCTTTGTTGAACTTACTGGAACTTAAAGCAATATGGAACGGGCATGGAACAAATCTGACCACCTTCAACTGCTGTCAGAATAAACATCCCATCGTACAGAGCCATCAAAACATTTGCTGTTTCCATTAATGCCCTCCTTTCCTAAATCTGGATTTAGGGAGTATCTAAGTAAATGCACAAAGTGCTTAGATACTATTCAGCTAACACAAATTATACAGGGTGTTTCAAGATAATGGACTCAGTTTAAAAGCAGTCCATTTCGCAATGGCAACATGTTATAATTATCTAAAAACGTACAAAGCGTGTAATGAGTTCTCAGGTTAGCACGGTTTACTAACAATTTAGCACTAGAAATAAAGTGAAAAATTAACTCCACAAAGGGGAATATGTTGCAGTGTCGCCATCTTGCGAATGGCTGAGGCCAGCAGCTGTTTGTGTTCTGGGAGAGGCATAAAGCAGTAATCCTTGGAAACTCTAATGCTGAGAAATAGCAATTTCAAATCAGGTCCACCTTTTTGACATTTAGCACATTGGATACCTGTATATTCATAATGTATCTATTGCACCTATATTCTTGTCATTCCCACCTGCTAACACACTGGAAAGTTACCTTGGAGGAAGCTTGTGTCCCATCCTTTTGCAAAGCCTTTGGAAAGTCACCCAAAATGGTGGCTTTGCAAATTGTTCAAATTGTTCTCTGACAATTGATCTTGACTGCCCACATTTGATGGTTCCGAAATATGGTCCTGGAAGTAGTCCATAATCTTTTCCAGCATCAACATTTATTCCTTCAAAACTGAACGTATCTGAACTTATAATGACACCATTTGGCAACCTTCCATAGATATGACCACAAAGAATTGTTTTAACTAAATTGGCAGATACTTGAGGATTTTATCTGATCTTGGGTATTACCCGATCTTGGGTATCTCTAATGCAATATCTCTAAAGAAATGTGACTGCACTGCCATAAACTCAGCAAATTTTCCAAGGAAGAAAAATTAACCCCTTGGTTCCTAGCTTGGGGCACAGGCCCCACAAGGGGGCAATTTGATTTTTAAAGTGAGGCAATTTGAGAATGAATTATTAACAGTAAATGTTTTGTATTCTTTATCATTCTAGGAGCCTTGGGTTAATTTATGCCACTGGATGAGACCCTCATTCTGTGAAGACTGTGTGTTGATCAGTTATGCAGTGACATCCATGCATAAATCAAATTCACACACAGGTGCCTTCCAAGAAAAATTAAACCAAACCAAAATAAAACCAAACTAAAATAAACCAAAAGTCCCATGGCGATCAGCAAGTGGCAATGGGAGCAGCACTGTGAAATCTGGAAGCTCCTAGTGGTGGATATGGATTCAGTCGCTCTACCTCATGGTCTGAGGGAGTTTAGTAGTTTGGCATCTGTATGCATGACTGAGCAGCCCCTTTTAGGTGACTGTAGAGACCTATTCTTGATCTGTATGTTCTTTCGCAGTAAGGACATTGATTTCCAGATAGAAGGCAGTCCCAACAAGGGTTGGCTTGACTCCCCTTACTCTTGACACATTTCCCCTTTTGTCCTCTATTTCTGCCTCTTTGAGTTCCACTGCACTGTTGGTAACAGCTGATCTCCAGTTAGAGTGCTTGAGGGCCAGGGCTTCCCAGTTCTCGGAGTCTACGCCCAGTTAGGTTTCAGCCCATTTTTAAGTCTCCTGTTCACCAACATTCCACTTTCCATTCTTGCGTTGAGAATAAAGTAACTGCTTTGGAAGATGGTGATCAAGCATTTGGACAACATGGCCAGTCCAGTGGAAATGATGGCGAAGGATCATCACTTCAATGCTGGTGGTCTTTGCTTCTTCCAGAATGCTGATATTTGTCAGCCTATCTTCCCAAGAGATTTGCAGGATTTTTCAGAGGCAACGCTGATGGAGTTGGTTCACGTTTTGAAGGCGTATAACAGGGTTGGGAGGACAATAGCTTTATAAACAAGCATGGCTTACCAATGTCCCAATCCTCAAACACTCTCTGGTTCACTAAAAAAAATGCTGCACTTGCAGAGCTCAGACAGTGTTGTATTTCAATGACAATGTTGACTTTTGTGAAGAGGTAGTTGCCATTTTCTAAAGTTACACCATTAAGCTGTATTTTTGGCATTGCAGAGGAATTGGCTGGTGCCTGCTGATTTGAAATATAATAGGAATGAAATTGTTCTTATTAGGAGAGAAGATGAAATAAATTCTTCTTAAGGAAAGAATCAAGCTTCAAATTTTAAAACAATTTTAAAAATATTTGTAGTAGATTTTTAAAACTTTGACTTCTCATTATAAATCTAACCATGGTATTAATAACTACACAGAACTGAAGCATATTATTTAACACATTTTATTTCTTATAAGAAACTTCCAACCAGTAATTGAAAAAAAAAAACAATTAGTTAACAATTTTAAAAATAAATGGAATAATGCTTTAGTTACATATATGCCACAAAATTTTGCTGTGGACTACTTTCTATACAAATACTTTCCTTTAAAATAAAAAGGAACATATATCAAAGAAGTGGGATTTTCCGCTTCATATTACTGTCATTCTTCCATAGCTTCCCATTCATGAAGGCAAGGAATGTATGTATTCAAACAATGTTCTTTCTCATATGTTGGTAGACAGAAACCATTCAACACATCAAAATTCATTTCATACATTTAAAGTAATAAGCATTGTATGCATTGTATTGTTTGCCACAATTGGTTGCGTCTTTTTCTTCTCCTGTTTTCCGTCATGGGCTCAGGCTTTTATACTACATTTGTGGAAACAATTTTGAAAGAGGAATGAACGTAGACTTAATTAAGTGAATGACTGAAATACAAATGTTCAAGACAAGTATTCTGTATCAGTGTGTTATTTAGAAGTTCAACCAAAAAGACCTTTGCTTCCTCCTCCCTTGGATTTCTTTGATGTAGTAACACCTGTAACAGATCCCTTAGAAGTTCCAAACCACTCTGGTAACTTCCTCTTTGAAGGCTGATTTAATGTCTAGGGAGAAAAAAACAATAAATCCATTATTTTACTATCACAAATTGTTTACTCACATTATCATCTATTTGGTAGTCTACCAACCTGTTCTAGGAACTGAGGGTTATGCCATCAAGCAACAATGACTTACTCAGATACCTAACAAACTACATGGCACAATGGAAATAAACACTGGCAGTTATTTGTCCCTTATGTAGGTGACAAGATGGTACCTTTTAACCGGAATGCTAATGTAAGACATGTGAAAAGTTGGTTCCCCCTTCTTTCTTGGTATAAAAGCTTACAGTATTGGGAGTTCAACTGTTCGTCAACACTGGCAATAGAGAGCATCCTCCGGTATACTTGGGAGTAGACAGCCAGGCACACAGCTCTATCCCGCTCAGTACTTTGCAGCTGCTGCCTCCCTGCACCTAATTGCTGGCAATTTATCAAAGACTTCACTCACACATCATTGCACCCCACTTTCTGTGGAAAGGGTTTAATGAGTTTGAAACATGGGCTCTGATTTAGCAGTTTCCCCTCAAATTCATTTGTAGTCCAGTAGGACTTTCCACATAAACACAGAAAAAGGGAGCTTCACTGGAGCTTTTCATACAATAATAATAATATAAAGGAGCCAAAGGAGAGGCTACAACACATGATTGTGGATTTTTTTTCTCTGCACAGCTAAAATCATGGGTTGGGTTAGCTTGCTAGAGGAAGAACCTATAGACTTTTTAATAACCAATCTAAAAATCCAAGTGCCCCACCAATGAATATTTGTGAAAAACAAAGCAAAGAATCTTTGTTGAATTTTATTTAAGAACCACCATTACCTGTGTCTGGGAATCAGTAAAGAGATCTTCTTCTTCAGCGCTGAGAGATGGCTGATTCCATGAGGCCAGTTTGATGGAACCCTGAGATCTGTGGGCATCCTGTTTGGTGCCAAGGGACCCCTGTTCACCACTGCCTTTGGCCTTTGAAAGAAGGAATATCCAAAGTTAACGATGCAAAAAGATTTTCTGAGCTGGAAAAGACTTGGATTCTGCTCTAGATAATCCTATTGTAGCTGTCTGTGCCTGCCCAGAATAGTTGAAGTAAACAGCATACATGAGCAGCTGAACAAGAAGAGGAAAGTAGAGAAGCTTCTCTTCCCAGCTACTCCCAGCATATTAAGAAAGCATAAATTTGACTGCTAAAATGGACATCATAAAAAAGTAAAGGCTGGAGAAAGGAAAAGTTATCCATGGGAGCATTTTGGGAGAAGCATTCCAATGTCCTCAAGAAAGTTCAATATGTTTTGGTTTACTTCTGCAAAGCTTATCTGATCTGGTTGTTTCATTTTGCATTTTCATACTGTTAGTCTAGACTGAAACATGTCATCTGGGAACTTATCCCTATTCTTTACCTGTTATTTCTGCCTCTTATACCAAATTTTCTGTTATGACCAGAAACATATCTGTTTTAGTAACTGAAGTACAATCTGTACCACCAAACACCAAACTTAGAATTTCACTGGCAATGACAAGAGGTAATTATAATACTCTCACCGCTAGGTGCTGCACTTGAGCTTTGCTTCTAAAAGAAAATGGATATTTAATTAATTCCTCCTCTAAGGGCCTTAGGAATGAATGAAGCTCTCCTTCATTTTTACATCAGATGATGCTGTAGATAACCTGCTGTCCTTGCGGGAGACTATTGTTATCTCGAGGAAGCAAGCCAGGTGGTGTACATAGTTGCCTCATTTGTCTATGCCTATTGCCCTTTTTTCTGTCTATACCCCCTAAAAAGTTAACAGGTTGTTTCCTTGGAATGCAGGAGGAGGTCTTGATCCTGATGGCCTATCCTTACCAACATTCTGTTACCGGATAAAACTATGGGGAGATATTTGCCTTGGGCAAAACACCTGTAGATATACTCAAGCAAGAAGGCAGTGTTAGGGAAAACTACCCTAAAATATAGCAGAGCATCCAAAAATAAATAGGATACTAAAAGTTGAGCATCAGCTCACAGAAAGCAAAGCGTGAAGTGCCATGTGATGCAGCTGTAAAGAATTTAGAGCTTAGGCAGGCAAAAATGCAGAAACCTCTCTTTAAAATCACCAAAGGTTTATTTACATCGAAAGACCTACATTTCTTAATAGTAAAGACCTGGGTCTGAGCTACTCTAACACCCACCTGTTCTAAGGTTTCAAGAGAGGGGAAAAAAACCACCAATCACTACTTCTCTCTGATACACAAGCAGAGAGAGATCTCAAAGCACACAGCACACACACTAAGATGTAAGAAACAGAAGTGAAAGTAAAGGCTTTCAGTAAACAAGTATTCATTCTACAAAACCAATCAGAATGAGAACAGAAACAGAGGAGATAATAAATTAGATACATTCCAACTGTCATACAGGAGGCGTGTGGCAAGGGAAAGCCTTTGTCAATTCTAAACTGAGTTTCTCATTGAGGACTTGAGACTTGGGCAGAGTGGGGTTGAATTTCAACAGGCAGGACATACACTTCTCCAAACAAAACAAATATTACTCAGTCCAATAGCAGTATTAGTATTAGGATTGATAGTATTTATACCCTCATTTTTCTCTGCCAAAGGAGATTCAAAGCAGCTAACATTAAAAACCATCACAATCTGTGAATTAAAACCTCACACATATAAACATTAAAATAGAATTAAACATAGAAATATGAAAAATACATAGTTAAAACCAATAAAAACATTAAACAAATTCATTAAACTACATAAAACACAACACCCCTGCTCGTTTTATATCATTATAACTCAGGGAAATCAGTTAAACAATTAGTGTTAAAAACAGAGAAAGCTAGCAGACTCATCAAACAGTTAAACTAAATACATTCCTGCTTATATGGAATGGGAATAAAAACATTAAAGATGTCTTTGCTTCTCCCAAGAAAAGGCTCTGACTTGTGTTTATTAAATTATCAATACTTCCTTCCATACATTTACTGCTGAAGGTACAGTAGTGAATTATACTAAACTGTTTTAATTGCTTATTTTTGAATGGACATGTCTTCTCAAGTGTGGTTAAATCATTTTCATATTGTGAAGAGTTTAATTCAATTTCAATGGTCACTTTTTTGTATGCTTTTAACTGTATTGCTTGTGGGTTTTTTTCCCCAAGTGTAAGCTGCCTTGAGTCTAAATTTTTGGGAGAAAGGACTTTTTTATTAGTTTCAGAGCTGGGTCAGTTTTTTGGTGGAAAAAACATCACTTCAACCAAGTTTTGATTTTATGTTTTGTGGAATAAATGAAGTAAGCGTTGATTACAAGATACTTCCCAAAACAAAAGTTAAGTGGGTTTTTTCCCCCTCAGTGAACATAATGGAATGTTCTGTCAAACTTTGTGCCTCCCTGAGGGGAAATTTGTATTCTTTTGGCATTATGAAGCATCTGAAAGCACAGCTAGCCCCTAAAGCATAATGGAAAAACATAGAAGGCTACAGATCAAAGAGCTATAAAGAACACTGGAAAAACCACTTTCAGATTTTATTTCTTGCTGCATTAGTTTGTCCCTTTTGATAGTTCTGCTTACAAACCTTAGCTTCAATCCACAGAATTTTCTCCTCCTTCTTTTGTGAGGATCCTGCACTTGACTGTAGACACCCAAAGTCTTGAGGTGACATTTGGCTCTCTGGATCGTTCTGCTGGTTCAGCGGCTGATTTCTACATTGCTTCTCCAACAGCACCACTGTCATTCTTATAAGGTACATTTCAACATGTGCCGGGACTAGTGTTCGAATGGCTTTCATTTGTGTCACATCTTTGAAGAAGAAAAAACACTGACGTCAGAACTGTTTTCTGAAAAAGGAGGCCCACTTTGATGATTCAGTCTATAAATAGGTGTGCTACTTCAACCTACACACTTTATTTATTAAAAATGAACCATGAGAGCTTTGAATAAAACAATAAAGGGTAATAGAGACCGTACCTCGAGAAGCCTGATTTGGCCACAATGGTCCATGCCTGGTTACATCCAGATTGGATTACTGCAATGAACTCTACTTGAGGCTGCCTTTGAAGACAGACCAGAAACTGCAACTGGCCCAAAGGTCGGCAGCTATTATTTATTTATTTTATTTACTGCATTTGTTGACCGCCGCTCTCAGCCCTAGGGCGACTCGCGGCGGTGTACAACAGCTAGGCTTCTAATTGGAGCTAATTATAGGGAGCGCACAACGCCCCTATTAAATCAGCTTCACTGGTTGCCAATAAGTTTCCAGTCCCAATTCAAAGTGCAAGTTATGACCTACAAAGCCATAAACTGATCTGGTCCTGCCTATCTTCGTGACCACATCCCCCCCTATGAACCACTGTGGATTCGATGATCCTCCACGAAGGCTTTCCTCTTGCTCCCGCCACTGTCATAAGCACAGTTGGTGAAGACAAGGGAGAGGGCCATATCAGTGGTGGCCCACCCCCCGACTTTGGAACTCCATCCCCAGGGAGATTAGGCAAGCCCCTACACCAGTGGATCTCAACCTGTGGGTCCCCAAGATATTTTGGTCTTCAACTCCCAAAAATCCTAACAGCTGGTAAACTGGCTGGGATTTCTGGGAGTTGTAGGCCAAAACACTTGGGGACCCACAGGTTGAGAACCACTGCCCTACACTGTCATCCTTTGGCAGGAATTTGAAAACCTGTATGTTTCAGTTAGCATTTGAGAATGACTAGTCCCTGGTTATAAATGCCCAGTTCCTAAGTCACCTGATAATATTTCGTTCTCTGCACTTCACCCAATACCCGGCCCTATAGTACACTGATTTGCACTATCCCATGCCCAGTCCTTTTATAGCCTGGTCATGTCCATTGCATTACTGGTTTTGGTTTTGTTGAGCATTGTTTCGAGTTTCAACGATGCTGTTTTATATACTTATGTTTTATTTAATCTGTAGTTTCTACAGATAAGCAAATCTCTGTCTTATTTACATTCAAATCAGTTTTGCTAAAAGGGTTAAACTTGATTAAACATTCTATTACATTTTTGATCAGAAATGGAGGCCCTTCAAGTGGTATTGATTTATTATAACTGTATTTCAATAACTCAGTCTATTGTAGCAAACAGATTTGGGCTAAATTTCTCACCTGAGTTGATGGGAGGGTTTTGGATGATTTTAGTAATCATCTCTTGTAGCTCAGGATTCAAACCGGCACGTTCTAAATCAACTGGATAGTCAGCTTTCAAGGCCTGGGATAAATGTGTGCCAACCACTGTAAGAGGTAAAGATCGACTCTCACATACACCTCTCTGGGAACACAAGAGGAAAAATCAGAAGGTAACAATAAGCCTAAAGAGATGCAAACTTTATATGTAAAAACTTGATTCTGCCAAAACAATGTTTAACAATCTCAAGATGCCTCATACATTTCTTTAAAACACTTAAAAACACAATGTGCTCATTTGGAGGAATGGGACTCATATATCAAACAGCTATAGAACCCACACTGACAAACTATGGTGCAAGGAATGAAATAAAAAAAAGGGGGGGGGGATAAATAAAGCAAAACATGACGAATTAAAAATGAATTCATGTTAAAGGTTAGTGGTCTGAAACAGCAGGAACCATTAAATTGTGCCATGCAAGTCTCTTTTCTGGTCATTCTTCTGAGCAAATAACTGCCTCAGATTAATAAAACCCTGGGTATGTTCCCAGGCTTCAAGTGACAATATATAATCAAAATAATATATAATCAAAATTTCCACATGTTTCATGTTGGTTACACACTTTTAGATATGCATCATTTCATGGCACAGTAATTCAGTTTTATTAGCAAACAACAGATTAAACCGACTCCTTATAAATGATATGGACACATACATAAATTGCAATAATGAAATCAAATGTATGGAGACACTAACTATCTCATGAAATCCTTTCATTTATATTTCTAATAATATAGGATTTGTAAGATTGTAATATAAATTTCCAATATTTTTGTCATTTCTCCTTACATTCATGCAACACACTAAGGTGTTGCGACACACAGTTTGGAAAGCTCTGCCCTAGATCTTATGGGCAGAACTATATGTTATAGTACATTTGGACTGTTTAACAAGGACTACACTATGATATTCTCCATATGGAATGTGCAATAAAATCTTCCTGTTCCCTCGCAATGGTATGCTATGTACTTCTCCTCTTTCACTACATAAGACTGGACGCAAGTGGCAGAACAGTACACAGCATGGAGTTTGCACACAAGTACAGTACAACCCTATGACCCATGGGTTCACCTATCTCCACCTGATTCCTCTCTAGGAATCTTCTAGGTCCTTCAACTTATTCTGCCTTATGCTCCTGCCAGAACTAACCATATGGTCACCCTGAGGAACCTAGAACATTCCTAGAGAGAGAGTCATTCATTTCAAAAGGTTTCACTATTACCCACAGTAAGTTCAGGAACGTATTTCTTGTGGATACAGGGATCATGCGGTAAGTGTTATTACACTTTTTGTGGACAAGTTTTCAACACAAAATTCCCATTTTGGCCACAGCCTCGCGTTACTGTAACATATTGTTTCATTCAAGATAACTGCCCAGTAATCACTGACAATAAGTTAAGAATTTCATTATAATATTGGGATAAAAGGACAAATAATAGTTAACGGAGATTGAATATATTAGGTGTGTGATCCAGTAAACTAAACACAGCACAGCAGCCATGTGTTGTGGTCTCTCCCAGATGTTTAATAACTCCTCTATTTTATAGTTCTTGGCCAATTGGAAAAAAACATATCCATCACAATTCATGACTGACTAGATGCATATAGCCTTGTGGGTTACAAGCTGTACGGGTCTAGAAAATATACTATTGTTTGAATCTAACAATTTCTTAAGGCTTAAGAATAAAAAAACTGAAATGCCAAATGTATTGGTGTAACTCTGTGTGGAAGTTCACACTTATTCAAAAAGTGTATGAGCTTTGAATGAAATGATATATGATTACTATAGTTACTACATATAGTCACATTTGGTTCTTCTAACATTTTAATTAAATGTAGCAAACAGCTTCCTAAAAATGATCTATGTACACTTGGACAATAATTTTCTTCCCATAAAGACAATGGCTGTATGTTATGTTTGCTGACTTTCTCCCAGACAGTAGGCACCAGGGTGTATGCTCTAATCAATAGTTATTTGATACAAGGCATCAAATTACCTAGTACAAATTATATTATTGCTCCGTGTTAATTAGTCCTTGGACATTTCTAATTTGTTGGCTATCTAACAAGGTTCCTTGGAGGGAGTAGCTGAGCAGGAATCAAACACACTATCATTTTAAAGAATATCTCTGTGACAAAATAAGTGCAATGAAAATAAAGTATAAAGTTGCCAAATGGAGAGGAGGTTATTTCATGAAAACTTTTGGCCTTCCTAAACAATAACCCTCTACTTTGGGAGGAAATTTTAGGAAACTCTTCTCAAAAAGAGATAAAGATTTTGTTTGGTTTCATCTAGATCAGTGTTTCTCAACCTGAGGTCCCCAGATGTTTTTGGCCTACAACTCCCAGAAATCCCAGCCAATTTACCAGCTGTTAAGATTTCTGGGAGTTGAAGGCCAAAAACATCTGGGGACCTCAGGTTGAGAACCACTGATCTAGATTAATCGGTTCATCTATTGACCAGGGCCCCTTAGCCCTACTCATTGTCTGGCCTTGTAGCACTTTATTAGCTCCCTTGCCCTAAAAGCTGTATTGCACTAGGCCTTGCCCTGTCCTCCTAGATCTAAAAACACCCACTGTTCTCAGCTACAGGCTGATAGTTATTGTTGTTCTTATGTTTTTATGAAGTTTGTTGTCTGGTTGTATTGTTTTAATTACTGAAATAAATGTTTTTAATTTGTGCTATATTTTATTTCTGTTCTTTTGGGCTTGGTCCCCATGTAAGCTGCCCTGAGTTCCTTCAGGGAGATGGTGGCAGGATATAAGAATAAAGTTGTTTTGTTGTTGTTGTTGTTGTTGTTGTTGTTGTTATTATTATTATTATTATTATTATTATTATTATTATTATTATTATGACATTAAAATAATGCAGCTCTAAAATACAACTGTAGGTTCAAAAGCTTACCAAGGACATATTTTTTTCTTGAAACAGTGTGTAAGTTACACGTTCTGATTCTGTCAAAGTACCGCATCCACTTCTTTTCTGAAGGATTATATTTGGCTGATCTCTGGATCCAGAAGTCTTGAAGATGTCTGTCTACATATCAGCGAATAAAGATTTTTTAAATCCAAAAATTTAAGTAATGCCACAACTGTAATAAATCATGTTGATAACTACACACTCAAGATTAAGAAAAGGACCAATATTCTTCCAAAGTAATGCTTTCCATATAAGCTAAATGAATGACTAATCTGGAAAGAATGTGATTAAACTAGTTTACATTTATACACTAGATTAACTATATTCACATATTTATTTTTATCCAGGTATACAGCAAAAAAAGTTGTCTCTTGTGGGTGGGCCAAGCTATCCTATGATGCCACTGTGCTGGCTGGAATGCCACATATGCCACAGCAAGCCATGTATTTTACTGTATAACCCTTTACAAAACCACTACAAAACACACAAAACGGAGCAATGATAACAATCACACACCCTATACCCATGGTGATGGTAAGAATGCCCTCCATGGCAATTACAACCTCATGTCAGCAAGCCTTTGAAGGAGCCATTCTTGATCACTGCCATGAGATTATTTCCTTGTGGTTTTCCCCACCTCAAAAACAACAAAACCACTCTTCTGTTCCACTAGCTACATTGTGCAGATACAAAGTAACTATCCGCTGGAAGCCTCAAATGGCCCCAAAATCAATTTCTACCATTCTTACACACAGACTGCACGACAATAAAAGAATGAATCAACCAATTATGCAACACAACAGGCCAAAGCCTAGAAAGTGGGCTGTAGGAATCTGAAGGAGTCTTAGAGACTAATTTATTTCTACATCATCTTTTGCAAACCACGGCCTACTTCTTTAGATGCATGAAATGCAGCTTTTGTACACAGACAATGCTGAATAAATGGCTTTGGTGGATGCCTGCATAGAAGATACACAGGTATTTCTGGGACCCAACAAGACAAAAGGGAATATTTTACCATATAGGGAAAAATATCATCTTGGCTAGACAAGAGGTAAAACTACAATGGTATGCTTGTGGGAGTTAACCTTCAGTAGCTCAATTCTAAAGGAGCAAAGGCTGGGAAACAGGAGACCCAAATTCTAATCCTGCCATGAAAATGGGACGAACATGGCTCTCTTCCATTTTTGACTCTCTAAATTAGGCATGGGCAAACTTCAGCCCTCCAGGTGTTTTGGACTTCAACTCCCACAATTCCTTGAGTCTTCTAACCAGGCCTGTAGCGGGGGAGGGGGGGGTTAGGGGTTCAACCCCCCCCCCGAAATGTTTCAGATTTTTTTTTAAAAAACCCAGTTTACTCATGAATGTTAACTAGTTAACCAAATCTCCATGCTAAGTCTATGAGATGCAAAAAATTAAGAGTCCCTCCGGAACTGCAAGCACTATCTCAAGCAAATGTTTATTTATTTATTTATTTATTATTCGAACTTATATGCCGCCACTCCCCTGGGGCTCGGAGCGGCTTACAAGAACAGGCTAAAATCGAACACAATTTAAAAACAATTTAAAACAATTTAAAAACAGCAATATCAGAGATCAAAGGCCCATCAAAACAGATATGTCTTACATGCCCGGCGGAAAGCTGATAAGTCCCGCAAGGCACGGACTTCAGGTGGCAGAGTATTCCAGAGTGATGGTGCCACTGCTGTAAAGGCTCTGTGTCTGGTTGCTGTCAGACGCAAGGTCTTGACACTGGGAATTTCCAACAAATCTTGATCCTCAGAACGGAGGGATCTCTGGGGTTGGTAGGGGGTGAGGCGGTCCCTCAGGTACATCGGCCCCAGACCATGAAAGGCCTTAAATATTGACAATGTATTCACACTGTCATTACTTGCAGCAATAGCCGATGTAGTGAAGCAACCAAGTTGTGTGTGTGTGTGTTGAACGCTCTCATTAAGGAGGCTAGACTTGGTGGAGGTGGTTGACAGGGGTGCAGCTGCAGGCTATTGAAGGCTGCTCTGCCCCCTGCTGTGCTCTTTGCTTCAACGTGAGTTAGAAGGCAGGTTTCAAACCCCCCCCCCCGGCGAAATTTTCAAACCCCCCCCCTGAAAATTTCAACCCCTCTCGAAAAAATTTTCTGGCTACGGCCCTGCTTCTAACAAAGCTACTGAGTCGCTGTTGCCCACCTTGAAGCTTATTTTAACATTTCAGAATTATATAAAATTAAGAATTTGACTGAGGACATTATAACACAAAATTCTGAAAACAAGTCCAAAACACCAGGAGTTTGCCCATGCCTGGTTGAGATAGCAACAATTATGTCAGAGACAAACAGTGGGAGCTCCATAGATCCCAAAGTGCAAATTTCACAGAATGGCTCCCAACCATTCAGCTGCAGTATAAGGCAGAAAGCAAAGGCACAATGGACCATTTGTCTTCCCCCAAATGATTGAGCCACAATCAATGGCTCAGACAACGTCCTTCCATGGTGAACTGTTCAGATTTCACCTGCAGGAAGTCCCTACTTCAAATCCAAAATGTGAATACATCTTCCCCAGCTATGTTTGAGAAAGCTGTGATATCTGAGCCAATTGTACATGTGTCTCTATGTGGGTGCAGGGTATATTGGTTACTCATGTATTTTGTTCCATGGCTCCTCTGGGTAACATTTTCTCTCACAGTTTCCCTTCTCAGATTCCTTCACAGAGAGGCCTGCTCCCTTTCAACCCTGAGTCTGCAGAAGCAGACAGTGGAGAAAACACTAACATAGCTTATGGAGCTGCCCTCCTTGCCAGAGCTGTTGTTATTGCCATTGCTACTACCCCTGTACTATTACTACATCTACTGAATACTTTTCTGTCCATTGGCCCATTCAAAATTATATATAATGAAATAACCTAAAGTAAGTTGCCGTTACTGGCAAGCTATTTCTGTCACTTCCTGACAAAGCACAGAAAAGGGGAAAACTTGGTGAAATTCAGAGTACACAACATATGGCCAGGGTGATATAGCTCTAAACAACGTGGCTGAGATATCTGAGTTGTGGTCTGGTTTGACAGGGGTGCAACCAAATTGTCAAGCCTGAATCCTGTGCTCCAACATGACACCATGTATGGAAGAAAAGTAACTTTCTTAAACTCTGAAATCCAGTAGTTGAATTGCCATTTAAAGTACCTCTATAATCAAGGCAAAGCTGCTCTGGCATCAGGAGAAGAATCAGAGTCTGAGAAGCTACTGAAATGTCCTCAGTCTTATTGAACGTTGGTTTACCCAGCTTTTCTAGAGTTGCTGTGATATGTCCCTCCATGAATGCTTAAATTATTCAGATTCTGACACAATGCTCCCACCTTCAGAATGCTAAAATTAAGGGCTGAGGAGGATTACAGCTCTGCATTTAATTACATCTCACCTGTAAGTTATTTGTTTGAGAGAACTCCTTGATTGTTATAAGAAGAGGCTCCAACATGGCAGCTTTTGCTTCAGAAACACCATCAATTCTTTTTATAGATTCTACTGTTGTAGGCCTGGGAGGGAAAAAATGACATTCTGTGATTTAATTACTTTGACTTTCAGTGAGCTAAGGCCATATATATGATTATAATCATTTTAACAAATAACTACACACACATAATGACATTATTATCCCCAGAGCTAAAAATGTAACAAATAACTTAAAATTACTTTTGCTCCAAGCAGAGAGGATGTGTAAAACACAACTGAAAACATGTGCTCAGGCTTAATTTGCTTAGGAATGAGGCAAGTAACAGTTTTAGAAGGGCAGAGTCCTCAAAGGAAGTCTCATTTCTAATTGATGAACATCATTTTATGCTCACTCATGAATGCAAATTCATAATTTTATAACTACCAACAATAACTACATTTGAATGCGTCATTAGATTCCACTGACCGTAAACACACTGCTGACATGGTACAATGATTTAGAGACTGAACAGTGAATCAGACATTTGAACCTCCTTCATCATAAAATTACTTGCCTTGGGCACTCATCCTCAATTTCACATTTGCAATCTGGAAATAATAATACTGCCCTGCAAGGATATTATTATTCTTTTTTCTTTAGTATGATTTTTCACATTTTTTGTCTGAAGAAGTAGCCAGGAGTATTGAAAGCTTGCATGAATGTTTTGTGCACTTTCATTAGGCAATAAAGGCATCAGTCTTTTATGGATTTTATTTTATTTCACATCAATTACTGTCATATTTTCCTCAATTTCTTCAGAAACTTAATATTCTAAAGCAGAGGTGGTGAAGTGGAGCCTGAAAGATGTGTATGCCTTAAAAGTCATTTCATTTACATGGAGCATGATGGAGGCGCCTTCTCTGGAGGCTTTTAAACACAGGCTGGATGGCCATCTGTCAGGGGTAAATTGAATGCAATTTTCCTGCTTCTTGACAGGCGGTTGGACTGGATGGCCCACAAGGTATCTTCCAACTCTATGATTCTATGGGCTTCCAAGGAGCATAATGATGTTAGGTATCAAACCACGCATTCCCCAGCACAATAGTAGATAGGTACTGGTCATTATGAAAATCGAATAGCATATGGAAGGCAACTCTGACAAATGTTGACCTTCTAGATGAGTCATAAATGGCATAATCTGAAAAGTGAGATACATCCAGAATAGGGATGCTATTTCTGATGGTTTGTAATTCAAAACTGAAAAGGGCCATATAAAAGGAAGAAAGAAAGAAAGTGCTTACTGGAAAAACTGAACAGAAGGTGATTAATGCATTCCCTGTATGCAATGGGTACAGACAAAGGTATAATCCAGCCCAAAGCATGCATTCAAACACGTCACTTACCTGAAGAACTATCTAAAGCAGTAGTTCTCAACCTGTGGGTCCCCATGTGTTTTGGCCTACAATTCCCAGCCAGTTTACCAGCTGTTAGGATTTCTGGGAGTTGAAGGCCAAAACATTTGGGGACCCACGGGCTGAGAACCACTGATCTAAAGCGTAAGAGCTAAGAGATTGGCTATTAGACTGGTATATGAGTGCCCTCCCCTCTCCATGCAAAAGCACAAGGAAAACACAATTAACTTCTATGTGTAACTCACCATTAGAAATAATTAGGGCATTTAGATAACCATCTACAAGCAAGTCTAGCAAATTCAGCTGTAAAGCACTGCTTACATCGCATCAAAGCTATCACCATTAAGTACATTAGCTTGATTAAAATTAAATGTCAGCTTAATAAAAGCAAACAAAATTGAAACACCACAGAACAATTCCTTTGAGTACACCAAACTTTGGGTGATATTAAAAAAGCAGTTTAATCTGCATCAGTTTGATATTATGCCTTGAGCAGATATGGATTTCAAGGTTTAGAAGGTGAGAACAATAACAGGCTGAAGCTGAGATATTATGCCTCATGACAACACTGACGATTGACTTTAGTTGCACTGCACCATTCTAGTTTTAAAATTTTAAGACTGGAGACAGATTACAGATAGCTATGAAACAGAAAGTTGGGTGACAATCATCATCATCTGTGTGCATACACACAATTCCTCTGTTTTACTATTAAATGCTACTGATTAAATGGATTTTCAAGGTTTATTTTTAACTCTGCAGGTTTTTAAACAGAGGCTGCATGACAGAATGGGCTTGGGCTGTGATCTCTTCCAAAACTTGAATTTTATGAAGCATATACATTATAAGCAATAGAAGTCACCTTGTAGTATCTTCCCCTCTCAAAGAAAAAAATGTATTCTCCATCCCTTATTTTCTAACATATTTTTAGAATTCAGATTAGATTTTACCATGTACCTTCTCATGGTCATATCAACTAGAACTTTATTTGTTGCTAGTACAGCTGGAGGAATGTCCTTTTCATTGGCTAGTTTCTGCCTGGCTGCCACTAATTTCCCATACAGCGTTGTCTGTTGAAGAAAAAAGACAATTAGATTATTTTCAACTTTGATGCTTCTTTTTAAAAAAGACACTTACGGAAAACCCAACTATGCTGCATCTTTGAAGACAACTGACTTTTCTCTCATGCAAGAGCAAAAATGTCCATAACATACATACATATCATTTAAAAATATAGACATGGTGTATTTTTCTTCTGAAACATTTGTTTTAACCTGTACATCAAATATACCCAGATTTTGTTGACTGAAAGACAATTAACAACAATTTTTACTATTTATAATTTCCACAAAGTCAAATGTTGTACCATTTTGCTTGACATACTAAATAGACTAACCTGCAATTCCTTCTCTCTTTGAGATACTTCAGGTATTGTAGGGCTTGCTGGTGCAAGAGGCAATGGCAACTGCACTGTGGCATTGCTGAAAGATATAGGTGTTTTAATTTTACCAACCAACACATATTCTTCAAGGACTAACTCTGCATCTTCTTGAAACCTTTACCAAGAAATGAAGAAACTAAACATCTGGGCCTGAATTCAATTGCCATTCCCAACTAGAATAAATCAATTGAAGAGCACTGTTGTTTTAATTCTGTGACACAGTGGCAAGTATCCTGCTTGCAGCTGGTATCCCAAACAATGTACTTTAAGAGAGATTGGGTGAATTTGTTCATTTATTTACCCTATTTATACCCTGCCTTTCTCAACCCCGTAGGGGACTCAAGGCAGCTTACATATATAGGCAACAATTCAATGCCAAGTAAACATACATATATAAACAGGAAAGAATTAACAGGAAAAGAGATAAAAATACACAAATAGATAAGATACTTTTTGGAAATGTCACCTTTTACTTGAGAGGGTACTTCCTCTGGCAGTATTACTTGCTCCTCGATATGAAAACATTTCATGCAAAGACGTCTTCTTCATAAATACAAAATCAAAAAGACAAAACATTAATATACAATCCAAATTTAATTTTAAGTAACTATCAGTAGTAAAATGCCTACTAGTATTTCAAAAGTAGCACAAGAAACTTGGTAGAAGAGTTTCATTAAACCTCATCACAAACAAGCTCTTCGTTTTCAAGAAACATTCAAGACACAGGATTGTGAAACGTTATTTTCAACCCACCATTTCAACAAATTTGAAGACTGAAAGAATATAAGCACTATTTAGAACAGTGGTTCCCAACCTTTTTTTGACCAGGGGTCACTTTGACCAGGGACCATTTTGACCGGGGGGGGGGGGGCATTTGCCCAGGGAATACTTTGACTAGGAACCACTCTCCAACATTAGTACCAAAAGGGTTACAAATCGGTTTTGATCAACTTTAGATTCGGTTTGGGGTGCTGGTTCAGAAAATTGCATTGGGTAGACCACAACAGCTCTATTTTCTGATACAGAACATACCAGAAAGTCCATGGTCAGCGACAGGGAAGAAGTGGCAAGTGGCAAGTGGCACAAAAGGAGCAGAAATACAATAAAATAAAATAAATAAATAAATAAAGAGGAAGGAGGCTTGCGGACCAGATTTTCATCCTCGTGCAACTGGTGGTCCAAGGCCCACAGGTTAAGAACCACTGATTTGGAATCAGGAGCTAATCTTGGGAATACATGTAATCTCTCCACAAATCTCCCAGGATCAGAACTGCTCCATGAAAATGCCTACTGGCATAGGCAATTCTACTTAACTATGGTTTCCAGTGTGAGACATTAATTTATTTATTAGATTGATATCCCACATTTATTTCAGCCTGGGATAGCAATCTGAGCATTGGGGTGCCACTCTGGATTGCAGGGTTCAAATCCTCACTCAAAATGGGCAAGTCACATTCTTTCAGCCTCATAGGAAGAACATCCCCCCTCTGAACAAATGCTGCCAAGAACACCCCATAACAGGATAACTTCGCACTGCCGTAAGTTGCATAAAGGCATGTAACAACAACAATAACAAGTAGTTTCCATTTACAACAACGATAACAACAGTAGCAGTAGTTTCAATTTAACCAAGTTCTGAATACCAACAATATGTGTCAACAAATTGCTTAAATGTTATTAACTTTGGAAGGAAATTTTCTTCCCTGATATTAAGAAAGGAATTGTCTCAAGGCAAGGTTCTGATTTCATACCTCTGGTTAAATTGGAAAAGTCAGAATCATACCTCACTCAGATATATGCTTTAATACCTGAATTTCTCAAAGCGTCAAGCATACTGTTTCATGCGTTATTCATGTGTCCCGCTCATATCTTTCTAGCATTAATACTTCTGCCTTGAAATCATGAACAGTAATCTTGCACAGAAAATTGTCAAGATCCTATATACATTTAGCACAGTGTCAATATAAACCATCATAGTTATACTGGATTCCAGAATTGAGCAACTGATTATGAAATAGGTAACATGCCAATGGGTTCACTCCTTGAACAATAGCTGGTCATCTTGTTCAATGAGTGATTGGATTAAAGACGAAACACACACATCCTATGAGAAACAACAAGTTCAGATGCAACTATTTTTATTCTTGGGTAGTGCCTCAACAATGTTGCAGCCAATGTGTCTGCACATGGGCCTATATAAAATCGAATGCAGAAAATTCAGTGCACACAAACTCCAAATATCAGATCTTACAGACAATATTTTAAATCTAGAAAAGGAAATTAATTTGGGCTAATGCATACTTTGTTGCCATTGAATGTTTGCCTTATGTGTTGGAAACCTCCCTGAGTCCCTCCGGGGAGATAGGGCAGGTCTATAAATAAAATATTACTATTATCATTATTATTGTTATTATTGCGTGTGTCGGCCCATGCAAAAATTCTCCATGCAACTATTATACAACCCAAAGCAACACAAAAATAGGAGGTGACCAAGTGTGAAAAAAGCCAGATATGCTCAGTGGTAGATAGGTAAACCTAACCCTGCTCTTATATCACATATAGTCTATATTTTACAGTAGATACATACCCATGCAACCTGCAATTTATAAATTGAAACAAAACCTCTAGAAGACAAAAATTGCTTTTAAACAAACTAAAGATGTGCTATTTTTTCAGAAATACAGACCTTTGTTTCTGGCACTGGCTTTGGTAACTCTGCATTATAGAAACTTCCCTTGTCTGAAGATGTTTGCTTATAACTAAAAAGAAGAGGAAAAAGGAATGTTTTAATTACATTCCACTCCTACGGCAAGGCACAAAAGATAGCCACATCTTAAAGATGTTTTAATATTGAAGAATGCGAAGACTGAGATTTCCAGATTTTGAAGTTTAACACTTATTGGTATTTTGCCTTTTCTGCAAGAAGTCCAGAACAGTATTGTAGGTTTCTTCCCATTTTATCCACTCTACAACTGTAGCTTCCTTCCTGTGACACTACCATCCCTTTTCTTCAACAATTATGCATTCACCTCAAGATTAACATTTATATACCAAAGTCCATTTACAATGCCACTCTTTTGTCATAAAGGCTAAATATATCTAATTATATGCATACGCACAGAAAGGGAGCATATATACTGCCCAGATTTTGTTCTATTATGGCTATTCAAGTGTTTTAAAATGTCTACTTTAGCTCCTTTCAACTGTTTTAAATAATTTTCTGTTTTCTACCAAAGAATTCTGATAGGGTAGAAAGAAAGAAAGAAAGAAAGAAAGGAGGGAGGGAGGGAGGGAGGGAGGGAGGGAGGGAGGGAGGGAGGACGGACAGAAGAGAGGAGTCAGTTTTGAACATTTAATATCAAAAGAGGCATTACAAGACTGCCACAAGAGGCATTACAAGACAACAGGGCCACATTTTACATGTGGATTCTTTCTCCATGTGAGATGTTGAGCTATAGCATAGAAGAGGAAAGTTATTGCCTGACGCAATAAAAATATGTAGAACCTATGTAAGATGTCTCCAGAACAAAATGGCCTACTGAACTCTGATGAAAGCATTAGTCCAAGCTATAAAAATAATCAGCTTTTTCTAAATAGGCTTGAAAACTCTAACATATGTAAGTCTCATTTAAACAAATGATAATGTTCTTATATCGCTCCCATTCACTCCACTGAAGTTTATGAGGAAGCTATTCTTGATAGACTGTTAATTAGAAGGAGAAAGCAGATATTCAGATTTAAAAGTGTAAGGATTTGGTACAGAATAATCTCCTCCTGCTTCTTCAATACCAATGATAACTATACAATTTCACATGAACAGGTGAACCAAACCAGGAATGCAAGCTGAATATATAACAAGGTAGACATAATTAACTACCTTGGTGTCTTTAAATACAAGTCCTCATTCGATGGAAGCAGAAGTTTGGGGCTTGAATTTTCTTTAGCTCTACAAAGCCAGCCTTTCCCCTAAAAGATCCAAAACAAACAACTTAAAAAAGCAATTCCAAACAATTTTTCTGACAGAACACAATTCTTATGTCACAAACCTACCTTTGCAGTAAGTGTGCATATTGTTGAAAATTTATTTCTACCAGAAACCTCTGTAAGAAAGCCCTCCAAGACAAGAGAACGGCCCAATGCCTTCCACAGGTGCTCTGGCCAGTCCTTACCGCTGCCAAAGAGTGCGTGAGTTCGGTATCTATCTGGGATACGTTGAGAATTCTGCAATTAAACAAAAATGAAAAAAGGCACAAATGTAATTCTTCAAAATGTAAAACAAAACCAGAGTTGTGAAAAACAAACTTTATTCCCTGTTCTTGCTTGATATGACCACTTCAAAAATTGTAGGCTGAATTCCGGTGTCTCCCTAGTGGACATCCATCATTGCAACAGAAGGAGATTTTCAGTCTTCCCAAGCAAATTTAGAGTGTGCACTGGGGACCATACAGGGCATTGTCCCCTTCCCACTCTGGCAGAAGCATTTCTATCAGCAAAATAGTGGTATATCCTGCCCACGTCCTTTTGAGGAGGTGTGAACCATGTAAAGCCAGATGCTGCCAGTGTGACTGTTTTGGACTGACTTGTTTAGTGCATACTCATTACACAGTACTGGACGGTTTGGGTCCTCCCGATCTTCATGACTGCATCTTCCCCTATGAACCAGTGTGGGCTCTAAAATCCACTGGGGAGGTCCTCCTCTTGCTCCCACCACCATCACAAGCATGATTGGTGGGGACAAGGGAAAGGGCCTTCTCGGTGGTAAACCCCCCCCCCCACTTTGAAACTCCCTCCCCAGGGAGATTAGGCAAGCCCCCACACTGTCCTGCTTTCACAGGGATTTGAAAACCTGGATGTTTCCACTACCATTTGAGAACGGCTAGTCCCTAGTTATAAATGCCCAGTCAGTAGGTTACCTGATATTTCGTTCTCTGCACTTCATCTAATACCCCAGCCCTATGGTACGCTGTTTTGCACTATCCTATGTTTTGCACTATCCTTTTTATTGCCTAGTCATGTCCATTGTATTACTGGTTTTGTTGGGCATAGTTTTGAGTTTCAATGTTACTGTTTTATATTCTTATGTTTTATTTAATTGTATTTTTATCCTGATTTTTATATTTTACTATGCTCCTAATTTAATTGTGTTTTTGTTTAATGGATTGCTTTGTTTTTATGTTTTGTGGGCATTTTGACCCATATGTAAGCCGCCACGAGTTCCTTTGGGAAGATGGTGGCGGGGTATAAGAAGAAAGTTGTTGTTGTTGTTGTTATTATTATTATTATTATTACATCCAGCTGAAAAGCCAGAATTTAGAAAACAAAGAAATCAACAGCCACGTGTTAGAAAGTGCGTCCCCCACATCTCCAGGTGTTGAACTGCAATGCCCAACACCCCTACTTGAAAAAAAGCAGCAGTGAAGAATGCAGAGAATTAAACATCAACAGAAGGACAGCATAATGCCCATCTCTCCTCTATATCCTCTTCTGAGGTTGAGAAGACCGGTATATAAAACTTCTAAATAAATAAATAATAAATTTGCCACCTCTAACATAGGCAACGAGGATCCCTCAACTCCCTGAGTATTCAATGAGGTCTGCATAAAGAAGTGGGCATGCCAAAACTCATTTTCCACTCAATGCTGCAAGAAGTTTTTTTAAATCATTTTTATTGAATAGATTTTGTAAAAATACATAAAAATTCGGGGGCAAGACAATAATGGGGGAAGGGGGTTCCTGGGAAATGGGAAGAGGAAATAGAGCAAAACAAAAATGTGGGGGGGGGGGTTGTGTGTGTGTGTGTGTGTGTGTATATATATACACACACACACAGACAGACACACACACACATGTATATATGAGATAGATAGATAGATAGATAGATAGATAGATAGATAGATAGATAGATAGATATCGAATCTGATGGATCGAGTTGGAGGGAAAAGAGAGAGGGTAACACAAAAAGTTGTGGGTTGGGGGATCATTGTCTTCCTGTCCATTCTACAGGGAGTTCATTTCATCTTTCCCTATTTTGTCTTTTTATTTTCCTCATCAAACTCTCACAGTTTTAACCTGATTTTCTTCTCTCTAATCTTTCTCATAAACTACTCTAACGCTGCAAGAAGTTCACCACCCGATCAAAGAACATTTTGGAAGGAAAGAGACACCAAGTGGATTCAACTCATCACAAGCATTTATTTATTTATTTATTTATTTGCTATACTTGTATACCGCTGCTTCTCAGCCTAGCCGGCGACTCAGCGCGGTTTACAACAAAATATAACAATCGGCAATATACAGTTTAAAAGCATAAAAAACATAATACACAATACATATATCAACAAACAATCCAATTCAACTCCTGACTAAAATCGTGATCCAGTTTCGTCGTCCATATTGCCAGTCCTTTAATCATTACATTCCTTGCACTGAGTTAAGCTCGGGGGTCGCATAACTAGCATGACTTGTGATGAGTTTATTTTGTGTTTAGCTTCTGATTCAGCTTTTTATTGAGCTTTTCTCCTATAGCACTATTTTATTTTATTTTTATTGTTACCACATTATAAGTGATAACAATAAAATATAATTATAAATTATAAGTGATTGAGTCCCTCAGGGGAGAAAAGCAGTATATAAATTAAGCAAATAATAAATATATACATTCGTTTATTTGTGAATCACTCTGGGAACTTTTCAATGTGGGGAAGGAGGTCAATCACTTAAATAAATAATCTGAATATTTAATATTATAGAAATGTATACGCATACAAATGAAATGTGGCAAGTATCAAAAAGTGCCTCTATACTTTAGAAGGCATAATTTAAAGTATTGTATCTTTCTTAGTCTTAATACGGGTAGTATAAGATTTCAAGGCAACTTCTTAATTTGAAGATTCCCAAAAGGGTCTGTTGTTCACCACTGAATATTGTCTCAAATTTCAAATAACAGGTGAAATCTGATCTCTCTTGTGGCCCAGCCGAAGTCTGTCTAGAAATACACCTGTGCTTCTTTGTTATGAAAACTGTATGCCAAGTTGAACAAAACTGAGGGTATTACCATTCTTCACAAACAATAACTAAATTGTATTTAAAGATAAATTTTATATTTAGTAAATATATTTCTAATCATATTATGCTTTTCAAACCAAACTAAAAATTGCCTGCCAGTTGAACTAAACTGTGCTGCTAGAACTGTGGTTCGTTAAAATAATTTTCAGTTATATATTAGGTATTTTTCAGTTACAATGAATGAAGAGAAGCAGATCCTATAAGAATTTTGATGAAAACAAGTTTTCTTGAACTAGACCATCACACTGACAACACAAACTAATAAAGAGCAAAACAATACAAAATTAATTAAACTACTCATAAAAGGAACATTATAACACTCTACTTAAACCTTCTTAACGATTATTTAGTTGCAGCCTCCATTTATACACAAATGTACAAGGTTGTTCCTCTATAATGGCGCCACATCTGCCCTTTTGTGTGCCTGAGTGGGAAAACTGCAGGGGCAGCTGGCTCCCTGAAGCAGCATTCATGCTTTTCCCTCTCTGTGGAATAAGCCACATCTTATCAAAATCTAAAGTTTTGATCCAAAAATCTGCTCTTGACTTATACATGAGGTTGACTGATACATGCATATATATATATATATATAGAGAGAGAGAGAGAGAGAATATTCAATAACCCATAAAATAATCTGTTTTAAAACAAAATCTGAATGCAATGAACGATTAACTCAAGCAGCCTCGCAATGGACATGAGAAATTTTATGCTGCCTGAGAAGGCTGATGTGGAAGAGACATGGTCTTTGGATGCACAAAGAAAGGGCTTATTCCCAAAGTAGGCTAATACTTTATGGCCAAGTAATATGTGTTTGGTCTTCTTCAGAGACTATTTATACCTTCTGAGAGGCTGCCCAAGGAGCAGCTCTTGTCCTCTGCTCATGGAGAGGGATATCGATCTGCTTGGAACAAAGGTTGGCTACTACTGCTGGAGCTCCTCCCTGAGAGGCAACGAAGGTTCCTGCTTCTGTGGTTCTCCTGTGAAGGGTAGGGCTAAGGACACATCTGTCTGCAGAGGTTGGGGAACATCAGGATCATTCGTCCCCTCATTAGTCTGACACTGCCTTCAACACGACTGGAAATTACACCAGCCCAGGAGTTAATGTTCTTCATGCCTTCTTACTGAAAACTGGAAACAGTGGCTTTCACTTCTCCTAGTCTCCTATGCTGGCACCATGGAAGCTTGGCAGGACTTAGGGAGTAGTAGCAGCAGCTGCATTATTTCATATCCTACTTCCTCATGCCAGTTGGAGTATCCTTTAAACATGCATATACACTTGACCTTAAACATATCAAGTTCAAGTTTACATCCCTATAAATAGGGATACAAATGTGATTTCTAAGGACAACCTACATAACATGTATCAAACCCAAGCCCATGGGCCGAATCCAGCCCACCATGTCATTTGATGTGGCCCTGCAGAGGCTGGACTACAACTCATGTATTCCATATTATTAGACATCATGACTAGAGCTGATGGGAGTTGGGATACAGCCACACTTGGAAGGCCACCGTTTCTTCTGTTAAGTCAAGAAAGTGGGGTTTGAATTTAGATACAAGACTTGTAGATGTGTCTTACTTTTAAATTCCTTTAAGCTTTCCTCAACCTCAGAGCCACAAGCGCTGTATCCCCAGTCCATAATAAAAAGTGATGAGAGTTGTCATTCAATAACATCTGGGGACCCACACTGAGAAATACTTAAAGAGCATTTACCACTATGTCAAAAATATAAATTGTTGGCCCTCTTTACCCACAGATTTTCCATCCATGAATTCAATGGCTCCTTTAAGGCAACCATGTAGACTTCAATGAAAATGAATCTGACGCCCCTGCACTGCCTCATACATTTACTTCTTGCTATACATAGCATGAATGGTTTAGATTGGCAAGCAAAACTAAACTTCTGCTTTTCACATTAAGGAGGAATTCTTCTCTGTGTGGTTAAGAACAAAACCTTCCTTCCGAAGAACTCTGGGAACTACATTTCTAGTCAGTAATTTTGCTTACTGTCCATATGTGTTACACAAATTCTTCAGTTTCCACAAACAAACCTGTGCAAATTCCATTATGTGATTCAAAATGCATGTGGGCAGCAAAGCCAGAGGTTTTGTATTCTGCTTGTGGGCAATAAAAGAGCTTTATTTAGATGTGAATAGGTATATTTTAATTACTATGGCAACCTTTTAACTATGCATGTGGGTTCAGAAAATATATGGATCAAAATGTTGGAGGCTCAAGTTTTTAAACTACTTGCATTATGTAAATAATCAATGAATTGTGAAAAATCAATCCACTGTATTACTGTGCATTATTACAAACATTCAAATCATAGTTACAAACATTTATCACATACATAGTCAGCAAAACCAAGCTTGTTCTTCCTTTTATTTAGGATAAACAGCACAAAACATCAGAAGTTACCGGACTCAATCCCCAACTCCCCTTAGCATTTTTACCTTATTCTTAGTAAGACTGATAACAAGAATACTTACAGAACCCCTGAGAAACAATACTGGAACACCCATGCCGAATCTTTCATTTAAGACACATACTGCAGACATCAATTTGTATGCTTGCTGACCAAAATCTTCAGAGCAGTCTTCTTTTTCAACTGTACAAATACTCTGACTATGTCTAAAAAATAAAAACAGAATAAAATATATAAAATATTTACAATAAATGAAGTGAACATTACTAAAAGAAGGACATCGGAAAAAATTCTGAAAGGCTGGAAACCTTTTGTTCACTTTTGCACAAGGAAGAGAAGTACTTGCCAATTTTGAGTTTTGAAGAATAATACATTGTTTTCTTTTGGCCAGAACAGATTGGAGGTCATCTACATTTTATTTTTTTATTTTGTTTTCTTGCCATTTTTGTGTTCATGCTCTATATTTTTTCTTAAGCTACTTTTTTTACCTTTAATGTAACTTTTTAAACATTTTAAATAAATGTGCTTATGTATACATTTGTATTTCATGTTACACATACACTCCACATTCTATTAATATTTTAGCACTCTCAAGAGATATAAATATATAAATAAATCATAGGAAAGCCCAAGCTACGGCTTATATTCCAATGACTAGAATTACCAGCATCAGAAGGAAGAGTAATTCCTCATCTCAATGATGCAGATATATGTAGTACACCTCAGTTGAGAGGAAATAAATTCTTCCATTTTCCTCAACACAACTCTTTTCCTGTCTCATAGCAATGGCTGGCATTGAACTGCAGCACTATTAGATCTACCTCTTTTTGAGATGAAATCGTTTATATGGAACAATACTCCTTTCATCAGATTTTCCTTCTGAACAGGGACAGCTTTGCTACATATTTCTAACTTACAAGTTAGCCTACTCTGGTGTCTAGTATCTCTTGCTTGAAAATATGGAAATTTCTATTAGATATACATTTCACATTTTTAATAGAAATGTATTATCTTGCTTACTGATTCATCGACAGTCATTGTCACATCCTGTGGCAGGATATTGTACATTGTGCACAGTACTTTCTGTTTATCCTGCCAATCAATCTCACTGGTTGATCCAGAAATCCAGTATTGTCAGAGATTCCATGTAACTCTTTCCCAGATCCATACAAAATTGTAAGCTTATAGCCTGAGACTAGACAACCTTGGCCCTCCAGATATTGTTGGACTGTACATCTATAATCCCTATCCATCATAGATAATGGCAAGGGATTACAGGACCATAAAACTTGACAGGCCAAGGAATCAAACAGGCACACACTGCACAGAATGCATGAATGCGAGCTACAGCATTCTCTGTAAGTAGGTGTCACATTTGAAGATGTCTAACATTTTTCAGTTCAAGAACATCAAGGTAGTCTCAGAATACACACAGTACATTTTCCCTAAACTAAATGCCTCCCAAATATTTAGTCTTTCTCTACATCAGTGGTTCCCAACTTGCGGTATATGGTCCGCGGCCTCACCATTACTACACTGTTTCCTCGAAACCACACAGCAACAAGAGTGACTGCTCTCACAAAACCCTCTTATAGTGCCGAGGCAACGGGGATGTCGGGAGGGGAGAGGCCGACTACCCACGAAAGATTACTACTGCCACATCAGCAATAGATTATTAAATGTGGTTTTCTGTGGATGAGCAGATGGCAACTACTGGATCACATATGTTCTGTATCAGAAACTAGAGCTGATGTGGTTTATCCAATGCAATTTTCTGAATCAGCGCCCCCAAATAACCAAACCAAATTAAAGTTGACCAAAAACCGATTCGTAACCCTTTTGGTACTAATGGTGGAGAGTGGTGCCTGGCCAAAGTGGTCCCTGGTCAAAAAAAGGTTGGGAAACACTGCTCTACATGGAAGGGACTGTAATAAGTGGTAGAAACAATCACATCTTAGAGTACATCTAACAATAGACCTGATGCAGTTTGGCACTACTTTAACTGTCATGGATCAATGCTATGAAATCAAGGGAGCTGTGGTTTAGTGAGACATCAGGACTCTTTGGCTGAGAAAGCTAATGTGTTTGCAAAACTACAATTCCAAGGATTCCACAGCATTGAGCCATGATAGTTTAAGGGATGTCAAACTGCATTAATTCTATAATATAGATGCATCTTTAAATTAGATCACAGAGAAGTCCAAATTCCTATTTATCCTTAAAGCTCATTTAATAACTCTGTGCAAGTTATTGCCTCTTAACCTTATCTTCCTCAAAGTTATTGTGAGAATAAAAAGGTCAACTACAACTATAGCACACTGTACATGGTGTTTACATATGTAAACATGTAAAACTGATAGTAAAACTAAACTTGCATTCTGTGAATTATTTTTAATAGTAAATGACTGAGCAGCATGCCGTACCAATGAAACACACTATCAAGCTTTTGAGAATACTTAATTAGCAGAAAGACATTAGAGCTGAATTGTCCCTGAACATGTAAGCCGCGGAAAGACAGTTTCAAACCTCTAATCTTTCAGGAGGAACATTTACCTGGATCTGCAATTATCACAACATTTTTCTGTTCCCATGATGCCGGATGAGGCCTTTCGGAGTTGTTTGTCTTCAAAATGAGACAAAATGATTCTGCCCAAGAGAACATTGGGAATTGAATAAAAGAACAAGAATTCACATGTTAAATTCATTGAAGAAAACAATGAGCTGAAATTATCACCATTAAATGATTCCCTGTGGAGTTAATTATTTGGCTTTGAATCATCTTGAGATAGGTACATATTTTTTTCAAAGTGTGAAATTCACAGCACAATTACAAAAATGTATTAGACCCTCAAGTAGCATTTTTCAAAACACTGGAAAACACTCATTTTGATGTGTTGACAGCACCTGTTTGTTGGCAGCTAAAATATGTACAATATAACACTTACTTTCGCCTACAGCTATTCAAGTTGAGGTATTTCTCAATCTTTGCCATCATCTTCAGTTTGTACAGGCGAAATCTCTCACTACGTATCACACTAAGCAGGTGTCTTAAACAAGAGGAGAAGAGAATGAGTTGAAATATTGGTAATTCACCAATATCTACCTCCCTGTCCCTTTTCAAAAGAATATAAAACATCTGGAATTGGCATAATGAACAACACACAAATGTACACCATATGTACACCATACATTTGCCACAGCTATTCATGTAGCAAATAAATGTTTAGAAATTAACAACAAAATATCAAATTGTCACTTATATAGCACCATTAAGCCTGGCAATGCTTCATAACTTTCAATAGAGATTCAATTGACCTAAAACAAACATAAATGCTATTTAGCAGCCAGGATAAGCTCTTTGACCCTGCCTCCATTATTATACCCTTTGTACCCATTTCCACAGCCTACCACTATTCTGCCTCTATTCTGCCTTGGTCAGACCACATCTGGAATACTGTGACCAATTCTGGACACCACAACTGAATGAGAACAACTGTAATGAGAACATGATTCAAGCTGTATCAGCTCCCTGTTTGATTTAGAGCCCTGCAAAGACCAGGTCCTGAAGAACATAGTGAGTTTACATGAGTAAATAATGCTTCCTCTTGCAGATACTAATCCTGCAATATATGAAGAGTTGTGGGTGCAGTCAATGAAGGCAAAATGACTAGAAAGTGCATTCTAATCCCCTCTATCACCCACCACTGAAACTGGACGTCGGAAGACAAGAGAGAGGGGAGTGGAGAGCATATCTAAGTTCTTCATGTATGTTATGTCCACAGTCCCACTAATATGACAGGGCAGTGCTCTTTACCTATTGAAACTGAGATCAGCTGGGGTCCATAACACATGGCAAGAGGCAGGAAGTCCATCGCGGCCAGCCCTTCCAATTTCCTGATAGTATGATTCCATTTCCTTTGGAGCTCCATAATGAATAACTGTTCGAATATCTGCTTTATTGATGCCCATTCCAAAGGCTACAGTAGCTACAATACACTGGAAAACAAGCAGAATAGCCAAACATCACTGTTGAGTCCATGCTAAAAAGAATGTGCATATAGTTTTTTATGCTATACACCAGGCTAGAGTACAGACAGCAGAGGTCATAGTTTTAATTTGTACCTTTCCTACTGCTCATTGAATTTAAAGTACTCAAAGGGAATGAAGTCAAACAGAAAAAAGCTGTCATACTTGGACTGATCCTGGAATTCTGTGCCATAAAAATCATCTGAAACCACCAACAATGGACATGTTCACTCTTCATTTATTTATTGTTTTTGTTATGCTACCTAAGCATATACCAACACTCAATGGCGTTTCTATCATACCTGAATTTCATCTCTCATGAACCTATGATGAATGTTTCGCCTTTCCTTGATTCCCATGCCAGCATGGTATGTTCCACAAGCAAGGTTTAATTTCATCAGTTCTGCAGATACTTGTTCAGTGATCTTCCTGGATGGGCAATACACAATAGTGGGGCCTTCAAATTCATAGCTAGATCTAAGATATAAAATCAGTAGAAAACTGATGTATGGAAAGCTAGATTGCCATTAACACAAATAAAGTAAATTGCTCCAGAACCCCAGTAGCTAAGGAATCCATGAAGTGCAAGTGTCTTGCACAGTGATGATTCTGGAGATGAAATGGCCTGTAGTTCTATATTCTTCTGCCTTTCCCAAGTTCTGGTAGAGGTAGAGAAGAGAAGGGGTCTACATTGTTAATTGCAGCAATAATACGTTTCATGCTTATGTCTATGTTTGATGTTTTTATAGTTTTAACGGTTTTTATCTACAGTTATATGTTATTGTTCTAGATATGTGAGGCATTGAATATGCCATTTATTATGTTATAAACCGCTTTGAGTCCCCCACAGGGGTGAGAAAAGCAGTATAGAAATGTAGTTAATAAATAATAATAATAATAATAATAATAATAATAATAATAATAATAGCTGCATGGTGCTTTAGGGTAAATTACATCTGAGACTCTACCCTTAGTTGCACCATTTTGTATCCCTGATCAGAAAGGCCCTAGGGCCAAAGAGGGTTCCCCTTGCTAATTTTTTTACTATAGTTTTCTTTCATTAACATTGATGTTCTTTATCTAAGACTGTATTTCAATAAAGGCAGGAAAATACCAGTATACTGGGACAGACACCACTATCTCAAAAAAAACAAAAAAACAAAAACAAAACCCTCACACATTTTACTCATCATACAGTGGATTAGCTCTTGTTATTACCCCATTGGCCCCCTAACATATCATTCAGGTACATGGCTCTGAGATGATCACAGAAGCCCAGGTAGTAATGGTGACCAAGGTCTTCCTTGACCCATAATTCCACTTGATGAGAAAACCATACCAGTTGTAGGAGATGACAACTCCTAGACTACTTTATACTGGGGAAAAATAAAGTTTTGCTTCCAAAAGCAAACTGGCAAAAGGACACTAAACCAGCAAATTGTCATCTACGCAGATTTAATTTTCTCTTTTGGGCACAATCCAAGGTATTGCTTTTAACCTACGGGACTGCCAATATCCTACATATTAAAAGGGCCAGTCTTGAAGACTTCCTTTTCCCAACTTCCTTCTCTCTGAGATGAATGAGGTGGGCTCACTAAATGCTATTGTTAAACACAGAAACATCTAGAATTCACAGAGGCATTTTCAATGGGTATATTACAGTTCAGGAACTCACATTCAGCAAAATCCAAAATGGGGTAGATTGCCAAAATATTTAAGCCATTTCAAGCACTGGCATAAATAAATAGACCAGACCTTTTAGGACAGTGGTTCTCAACCTGGGGTCCCCAGATGTTTTTGGCCTACAACTCCCAGAAATCTTAGGCAGTTTACCAACTGTTAGGATTTCTGGGAGTTGAAGGCCAAAAACATCTGGGGAACCCAAGTTGAGAACCACTGTTTTAGGATGTTCTAAACATAATTGATTTAATAATATTTTAAAAAAATGAATACTCATGATCTGACAAGAGCTATGGGTAAGGTGACTCTAACTCCACCCATGCAGCCCTGGTAACGCCACTGCTGACATGAGACCCAGAAGGATTTGCAGGGGAAATAAAACCATGGCAGCAGCTGATGCTTTGCTTTAAAGTGCCCAGTAACACAATTTCTGTTAACTTTTTTTGGGGTGTGTGCCACGAGCAACTTGAGAAACTGCAAGTCGCTTCTGGTGTGAGAGAATTGGTCAGTAGTCCTGCCGGCACAAGGGTTTAAGCCAGGGGTCCTCAAACTAAGGCCCGAGGGCCAGATATGGCCCTCCAAGGTAATTTACCCAGCCCTCACTCAGGGTCAACCTAAGTCTGAAACGACTTGAAAGCACATAACAACAACAACAACAACAACAACAATCCTATCTCCTCAGCCAAAAGCAGGCCCACACTTCCCATTGAAATACTAATAAGTTTATATTTGTTAAAATTGTTCTTCATTTTAATTATTGTATTGTTTTAAAGTGTTATTTGCACTACAAATAAGTTACGTGCAGTGTGCATAGGAATTCATTCATGTTTTTTTCTAATTATAATCCGTCCCTCCAACAGTTTGAGGGACTGTGACCTGGTAAATAATAAGCGTCGTTGCACCGACTGGCAGTTTCAATATTCCCAGACCAGGTGCTATTGCAAATTACGTACTTCTGCACACACATCCCACAACCTAGCTGCTGTCACTGGCATTCCTTCTGTGAGGTCCCAAATATAATCCTAATCTAGACATAAAATTATCACTGGTTATCCTCCCCAGACTCTTCCAGGTGAATTAGATTTAAAATTAATTTTAAAAAATATTCCTAAACATTTATTTCAAGAGCAAATCTTGGAACAAAGAATGTGTAGGTAAAATACACTCACGTGTCTTTTTTAATAAGGAACTGCTTTAAGTCTCGGATAATATTTCCAGTTTTTCGTCCAACTTCCAAGTACAGATTAGGCCGGTCAAAACTAGTACATGTGATCTGAGGATTTTTTAGGTTCAGACAGTCTACGATGTCGTTTCTGATGGAGGGACTTGCTGTTGCGGTCAAGGCCATAATAGGAACCTGAAGAGAAAACGGGGTGAATTCCAGTGGGTAATAAGAGAATGGGAAAGCAAAGGATATCCACAAACACACATACAATCAGAAAAATCAATTCTTAGTCAGAGTTACAGAAGAGCGGCTAATAAATTGCCTTTAATTTGATTACAGAAACTGCAATGCAACTGCACTCACATATACCATGTATACTCATGTATAAGATGAACTTGTTGAGGGGAGATTTTGGAGCCAAAATTGTGAATTTTGCCATGGTTTTTGGATAAGTCAGGGTAAGACTTAAGGGCATGTAACAAACATTTTTTTCTTCCTTTTAAACATGCGTCAAGCCAAGCATATGTAAAGGCTAAAGATGATAAGAGGATCAGTTTATGTGAGAGGTTACAACTGGCCAGTAAACCAGACTTAGAAACCATTATTTGTAGGGTTTTTGTTTATTATAACACTTGTTTCTTTTTTTAGTGGTCCCTGCATTACAAAAACCAAGCTGATCAAAACCCAAGCAATTTGAAATCAAGATTTTTACATAACCTTAAAGTTCTGTGTTTAACATATGCTATGGCTTGGCATCGTGTCTATTTTTTATTTGATTACTTTCATTACATTTTGGCAGGGTCATATTTCAAAGGGTTAAATCCTTAACAATGCTGCAGTGATGACACTAACCTTGGGAAGGGTTTTCTTCAATGATCCCAAACATCTGAAAGAATTCCTGAAATCATGCCCCCATTCAGAAATGCAGTGAGCTTCATCAATAGCTATCAACGTGATACCTATAAGAAATAAAATTATCCCAGATGGTTGCACAGCCTTTATGACACAGATATTTCAGGCTTGTAGATGAGAGAATTCAAAGATAATCACATTCCATATTTCATGAGTTCTCACTTGATGTTTGGAAATCACTTGTCCCAGAAACAGCTGCATAATTTTCTAAGAATATCATTCACTAATATTATACAACTCACAAGATGTAGTTTATAATTGTGAATTCAAAATGCCATAAAGACTCAATACTGACAGAACCCTATAAAGACAGCACAATCTTTCTGCACATACTTATCAGGAACACAAATCATTTTGGGCCTGGGGAGAATCATATTTAACCAGGCAGATATTTTGAATTACAAGTCTCACAACCTCATTATTGGCTGTACATGAGGTGAGATGGACAAAAACTGCAGGCCAATGTGCCTGGAGAGCCAAAGTTTAGAGCATTATGAATAATTTATAAAAGACAGAAAGAACTAACACTTATGTAGCTAAAGGATGGGAGAAACAAATTCTGTGGATGATTTTTGTCTGCCTTTCTCCTTCTCTTGTTCAAAAAATGAAACCTGCTGCTATACGGCTTAATTCAATTTTCTTTGTTGTAGCTCGAAGTAGGGCTGCCGTAGTTTATCCTAATTACATTTATGAAACCTTACGTTATGTGTTATGAGTATGTCAAAATTCTGTAGGAATTAATGCAGACTGCCAGAGGATGTGATCGTGGGAACCTAATTACAATCTCTAAGATTTTACATTTTCATTTTAAATCCTTTTTTCGCTGTGAGTCTGTTGCTAACATAAATACCAAGTCATGTGTTATGCTGAGAATATCTGGAGAAATCTTTGAAGGCAGAGGGTTTTTATTAATGAGATTCAAAGTGATGTTGTAGCTGTCATGAATAGACCCCCATACTTCTCTATGTCTAGCAGGAAAAAAAAACAATTATGACCCCCCATATCTGCAGGAAGTATCCCTTGGTTGATACTTGAAACCATTGGTAATAGCAACTGCTGTATTTTTACTATATTTGGATTCGAAGCATACTATAGAATCACACTGCAGGACCTAGAGAGGCCCATAAACACTTCCGCTGGGAGGGGAGAATATCATCCAGGGTATCATAAATACCAAATTTGTAAAAGAGTGGGGGGGAGACATACTGCACATAAAACAAAAGAAACAATGCAGATTTTTCTAATTGATACGCACACATTGTAGAATTCAGAACTAATTGTCAAAGATTTGGGATTACAATACTTTCCATCAATCATTTATATTGTTGAGACACAAATGTACAAAAAAACTGGCTTTAGTTTTACTCATCTGGCAGAGAGCTAGATCATTGTTCTCATATGTGGATCCCCAGATGTTTTGGCCTTCAACTCCCAGAAATCCTAACAGCTGGTAAACTGGCTGGGATTTCTGAGAGTTCTAGGCCAAAACACCTGGAGACCCACAGGTTGAGAACCACTGAGCTAGCTTTACACTCTGATTTTAAAGTTCCATTCATTATTTGGATGAACAAGAAAAAAAAAAACACAGAAAGGTGAATATGTCTTCTTCTGAGCCTATCAAAACTCTGCAGAATTCAAGGTGCAGAGAGAAGTCTATTGTGTTTAATGCTGTATTGAACATAACATTGTACTGATCTTCTACACTGCCTCTTCCCAATTGTTTTCCAACAATTTCCAAAAAAAACCATAGAAACACAAAGCACAACCAAAAGACATTCAAAAAATTACATTCCACTCCAAAGCCTCCCACCCTTTCTGAAATGTTTTTGTGCTATCAACTATCCCCGCTTACCAATTGTTCGGTCAAGTTCCTCAAGCCATGGCAAATTCCCCGAACAGAATTCTGGGGTTATGTAGACAACTCTATAGTGACCCCTATGAAAAATGGGGAAAGGTAGCATTACCACCTGTCAGAAGGAATTCAAATTCATACAATGTAAACTTGAAATTAATTTTTAGACATTGAGCACTAATGTGCAAATCCACATAATGGTTTGAGGCCAAATTCCATTCCACCTTCCTGGCCTCAAAACAGTTCCAAGCATGGCAATCTTATCACTGTGCAGTAAAACCGGTTCTTCTCAAACTGGTTCCACACTGCATTATAATGCCAGTGTAGATGTGCCATATATGGTCAAAAGGACCTTCGGAGTACAATTCTATTTTTGCCTTCTCAGCTGCAAACACTAAGGACTTCAGCTAGATTTTCCCTAGGTAAGTGTGTTCAAAACTGCAGACTTGGAAACCAAAAATAGATGTTTACTTGTTTTAAAGAGAGAAAGTAAGGAATATAGCTTACGCTTTGATATCCCCTCTGAGGTTTTTTGATTGTGCTGACCCAAGTAAGCAAGCCTGAATTCCTGACATCCTGCAAAAAAAAAAACCCCAACAATTTGTTTTTTTATTTAACATGTCAGAAACGAGTTGAGGGTAGAGTTAAAATGCATTTAAAACACAAAGTTTTTTTAAAAAAAGAAGAAATAAAAAAAATCATAAACAAAGTTTAGTTGAAAAATGCAGATAAGAGCATTGTTCCTTTAACATGACTTTCAGTCATGAAATTCACAGTAAAAAGAAATTATAATAGACTCTCAGTTAACTGGAATCCAAGCAACCAGAACTCAAGCAACCAGCAAAAAATTGAAGAAATACTTTAAATAAAATACATATATAATACAGTAAAACTATGTCACGTTAGGTTTGTTTTATTTGTCTTAATATATCTGGCCCCACCCATTGTGCTGGACACACATTGGACTTGGTTTTCTGTCAGGGATGGGAGCAGGGTGGCGGTGTGGAGGAGTTGTCTATCTCTCCGTTGCCATGGACTGACCACTTCCTGATCAGATTTAGGCTCACTGCACCCCTAACCTCCGCAAAGGTGGAGGACCCATTAAGATGGTCCGCCCCAGGAGGCTTATGGATCCGAATGGATTCCTGACGGCTCTTGGGGATTTTCCCGCTCCTCGGTAGGTGTCCATGTCGAGGCCTTGGTCGCTCTCTGGAATGGGGAGATGACCAGGGCAATTGACACGATCGCTCCGGAACGTCCCCTCTCAAGTAGCTGAGCTAAACCAGCCCCTTGGTTTACTGAGGAGCTGGCAGTGATGAAGCGAAGGAAGAGGGAACGGGAGAGCGTGTGGCATTCAGACCCAAGCGAGTCAAATCGAACACGGTTTGTGTCCTTTTTAAGGGCATACGCCGCGGCAATAAAAGCCGCAAAGAAAACCTTCTTTGCAGCTTCTATTGCGTCTGCAAAGAACCGTCCGGCGGAGTTGTTTCGGATTGTCAGAGGTCTTTTAACTCCCGCCACTTCAGGCGGGAGCCCTGACAATTCGGTCACGCGCTGTGAAGCATTTGCTCGGTTCTTTGCAGACAAAGTCGCTTTGATCCGTTCTGAGCTGGACACCATGTTAAATGCAGTCTCTGTGGATGTGACACGAGCACCTGCTTGTCCTATTTTGTTGGATTCTTTTCAGTTTGTGAAACCCGAGGATGTGGACAAGATACTTGGAGGAATGAGGCCCACCACGTCCATCCTAGACCCCTGTCCATCCTGGCTTCTGAAAGAGGCCAGAGGGGGATTGGCTGAGTGGGTAACGGTGGTGGTTAATGCCTCCCTTCGGGAAGGCAAAATTCCAGCGTGCTTAAAACAAGCAATTATAACCGCTGTTGAAGAAACCATCATTGGACCCCACTAAATTCGACAACTTTCGGCCTGTTTCCAATCTCCCCTTTTTGGGCAAAGTCATGGAAAGCGTGGTGGCCTCACAACTCCAGGTATTCTTGAGAGACACGGATATTCTGGATCCGGCACAGTCTGGTTTCAGACCGGGACATGGTACCGAGACGGTCTTGGTCGCCTTAGTGGATGATCTGCGCCGGGAGCTAGACAGGGGGAGTGTGTCCCTGTTGGTGCTCCTGGACCTCTCAGCGGCCTTCGATACCGTCGACCACGGTATCCTTCTGGGGCGCCTTGCGGAAATGGGTCTTGGGGGCACTGCTCTGCAGTGGCTCCAGTCATTTCTGGAGGGTCGTACCCAGAAGGTGTTATTGGGGGACTCCTGTTCAACACCACAGCCTTTGACCTGTGGGGTTCCACAGGGCTCTATACTGTCCCCCATGCTGTTTAATATCTACATGAAGCCGCTGGGTGAGATCATCCGGAGTTTCGGGGTACGGTGTCATCTGTACGCAGATGATGTCCAACTCTGTCACTCCTTTCCACCTGCTACTAAGGAGGCTGTCGAGGTCCTGAACCGGTGCCTGGCCGCTGTAATGGTCTGGATGAGGGTGAACAAATTGAAATTGAATCCAGACAAGACAGAGGTATTCCTGGTCAGTCGCAAGGCCGAACAGGGTATAGGGTTACAGCCTGTGCTGGATGGGGTCGCACTCCCCTTGAAGGCGCAGGTTCGCAGCTTGGGTGTGACCCTGGATTCATCTTTGAGCCTGGATCCCCAGGTTTCAGGGGTGACCAGGGGAGCATTTGCACAGCTTCGGCTCGTGCGCCAGCTGCGCCCGTATCTTGGGAAGTCTGACTTGGCCACGGTGGTACACGCTCTGGTCACATCCCGCCTTGACTACTGCAACGCTCTCTACGTGGGGCTGCCCTTGAAGACGGACCGGAAGCTTCAGCTAGTCCAGCGCGCGGCAGCCATGTTACTAACGGGAGCGGGACGCAGGGAGCACACAACGCCCTTGTTGTCCCAGCTCCACTGGCTGCCGATTTGCTACCGGGCCCAATTTAAGGTGCTGGTGTTATCCTACAAAGCCCTAAACGGTTCCGGCCCAAAATACCTTTCGACCGCATCTCGGCCTATGAGCCCACGAGGGCCTTGAGATCATCTGGGGAGGCCCTTCTCTCGATCCCGCCCGCCTCACAGGCACGCTGGCGGGGACGAGAGAGAGGGCCTTCTCAGTGGTGGCCCCCCGGCTGTGGAACGCCCTCCCTGTTGACATCAGACAGGCGCCCTCCCTCATGGCTTTCGTAAGAGCCTAAAGACCTGGCTATTCGAGAAGGCATTTAATTGAGCCACACGAATCTGGTAATGACATTTGGAACGGACTATGGATTATGAGATTGGCTATGATTCTATGTTGTGATGGCGCGGATTTATTAGTGTGATTTAGATTAATGTGTAATTTGGTTGATATATTGTATGTTTTGTAGACTGTTTTTACATGTTGTACACCGCCGCGAGTCGCCCCAGGGCTGAGAGCGGCGGTCAACAAATGAAGTAAATAAATAAATAAATAAATATTCTTTTAATTATTGTATTTCAATATTAACATCAAATCAATACAGAGTTTACGGTATGGTACAGTATCGGTATAGTATTAGGTCTATTTTAATAGTAACTTCCGTTCTTCCTCTTTTCACCCCAGCTACCAGAAACTACCTTTATTCAATATCTACCCATGATCATGGATGCCAGGGAACTCTGTCTATTGTACATATGTTATCGGAGGGTGGGAGGTGAGCTGATACATTCCCTTGCACATCATTTTAAGAAGTGTATTTCTTGGGAACATTCAAAAGCCCTCAGCAATTTGGGTGGAGGCCTCTGCCCTTCAAATCTATCCTCACAACAATAAGATGTTCTATTTATTGATTTTCTTCTCATCTCCTTCAAGTAACTTTGGAAATGCTGGAACATTTTTACCACTGGGGAAAAAGGGAGCTTCTCTTAGAGAAAGTGCAGCATAAGTTATACTTCAGGGAAATTCCCATGTACAAATTGCTTTATAACAAGTACACTCACTTTATTTTCCATAGGTCCATGTTCAAGCAAAATATGAGATGCTACTGTATATGTGTATAATGTATATACAAGTATGTGTACTAGTAGCAAGGCTTCAGAGGCTGTAACTATCCTGCTCTGTTTTGTTTATTTTGAATTGTTTTAGTCTATTGTATTTCATGCCAATGAATGTTTGCCTTTTATGTTGTGAATTTTCAAGCTGTACTGAAAATACAGCTTGAAAATTCACATACTCTGCTACGGTTTTCTCAACTTCTCATCTTTCTTTCATGAGAAAAAAATAGCAAAACACTATTTGTAACTGTTTCCTTCTGTATCTGGGCATGCATATATATCCTATATAAACACATGCACATTTAAATAGGTGTTTGTATTTTCTCATATACCCATGTATATGTCTAGAAATTTTAGCAAAAAAACCAACCCAGAAAACCCGGAAAATTGAAATATTGAGTTGGTGCCAGCTAGGGGCATCTGACCCCTTGAGGTGGTGTTGGTGCTTTCTCCTCTCCACAGAATTAGAATAATTAAATCATAGAGACCGCATTGGCCATCTAGTCCAACCCCCTGCCATACAGAAAAAGTACAATCAAAGCACCCCAGACAGATGGCCTCTGTTTAAAAGTCTCAAAGGAAGAAGTTTCCACCATACTTCAAGGAAGTTAGTTCCATTGTTGAACAGCTCTCATGGTCAGGAGAGCTGTTCTTTCTAATATTCAGGTGGAATCTCCTTTCCTGTAATTACCCTCAATTTATCTATCGATTGTATCAACATCCATAGGTTTTGCCCCAAAATCTGCCCTCAACCTATACATGTTACATTATACATAACACTTCATTACATGCATATGACAAAGCAATTTCTACTCCACAAAAGTGTATACTAATTTTTATGACAACAGGAATATGTCTACATTTTTCTAGTTTGTGAATCTTGCATAATTTCGAACACCTATTTTGGGTGGCACTCTTTAAATAAATAAAATGAACTGAATAAACTGCATTAATTCTACAGTGTAAATGCAGCCTCGGTGTCATGAATCTAGCAAACACCAAAATGCCTGTAATATTCTTCTGTAATCAATCTCTACTTACTCGAGTTGTAGTACTTGGTCCTCCATCAAGGAAATAAGGGGAGAAATCACTATCCCAGTACCCCCAGTGTATACAGGTGGGAACTGGAAACACAAACTTTTCCCGTATCCTAAAAAAAATGGAGAGGATATAACACCTGAAGAGAGTTTACATTTTCATATTCCCACATCTTCAAACCATGAGCTGCCAGACTCCATTGCGATATGGATGTATTGAGGGATACAGAAGACCAATTAATTCCTAACCATCTGGACAGATACCAAGAACCACCTCCACAATTCTAAACAGATCCAAATTAAAATTTCTGTGATGTTTGTAATTCAGATTTTGTAGACATCAAAATGATACAATACATCTGTATATTTTCATGCTGTTTTAATAAATTATGTTTTTAACCAAAAAAAGTATATGACAGCACTTGAGAGTGATTGCAGACAATTATCATTTGGAGACCATTATCTTCTGTTTCTTATTTACAGTCAACAATTTTGTACAGTTCATCCAAATTGACTTTCACATAGTGACACTGTTCAAAACTATGGCTTACATTGTTGTGGTGCACTGAAACAAAATAGATACCGCATGTAACATGACATAATATAGAAAAGGAACTTTTAATCATGACTGAAAAATAGTTGCCAGTAAACAAAAAGAAGGGCAAATCCATTTTGCAGGTCACAGGATGGAGCCATGCGGGAAGAAGGGAATAGGGAAAATCCTAAATATCAAATTAAATGATCAGCAAACCAAAATCACAATGAAATTATGAAGCTTGTTTCCAACAGGTACCAAATCCATCTGAACAAATTTCTGCTGAGGATATATATTATTTTGTCCTAAAATGCAATTTTCCAAGCTCTGTACCGAAGTGATTTGATGCATTTTGTAGGCCTGTTTGATCAAGAAAAAATTTGTTTCTAAAATCGATTTGTAATTGGGGTGTTTTTTTGTTTCGATATTTAAAATAATTACAAAACTTTCCCCCAAAAAAGTTTTGGTATTTACGAAATTTTGTAAATATTAACGAATTTTTAGAATATTTTTTGTATTTTTTAAGAATAATATTAAAATAATATTAAAAAATATTTTAAAATGGAAAATTAACCAAAAAATGGCCCAAATGTGGACCAAACACAGGCAGGAGACAGCAAATGAGAGCACACACCAACAGAAGAGTCTTTTCTTTTTTAGAATATTTTTTAAGAATAATATTAAAATAATATTAAAAAATAATATTAAAAAATAATATTAAAAAATATTTTAAAATGGAAAATTAACCAAAAAATGGCCCAAATGTGGACCAAACACAGGCAGGAGACAGCAAATGAAGCAAGCAGCACTCACAGCAGCAAGGAATGAATCCAATCCAGTTGCTAGCAGCCAAGCCAACCCAATGCAAACTCCCTCGCCCTCTGCAGCAATGAGCTACGGCCGCGCGGAGCCGCTTTGAAAGGGCTCGCCGGCCAATCAAAAACAAACAGCCACGGACCCACAGTGCACTGCTTGGGAGCGCCGGATTGGCTCCCAGGCACCAGCACTCCAGCAGCCTCCACCCCATTAACGAAACGAGCGGAAGCTCGTTAAATCTATGGGGGTTGCCGGTTCGATATTTTAAAACCCTTCCGGGTTTGGAAATGTGTTTTGATATCGCTTCAAAAATGCCAAAAATAACGAATTAATAACGAATTAACGAATTAACGAACGAAACCGCACAGGCCTAGCATTTTGCTAGTTTTAATCTGTGCATAATATTCTATTCTTAGGCAGCAATATCATGCCACTATTTTTCAATATTTTTGGATGCCTTTTGGAAACAAACTCAACAATTTGGATTGCTCAATGTACAGCTTACCCAAGAAGAAGTTATATACAATACATTAGTAAGTATGAATCAGTGTACAATTTGTTACTAAAAGTGTTATTTTATGCCTTGAAATTGTTGTTTTTGGCAAGAGCCGCTCAAACAGGGTTTCCCACTGATTCCTCTGGCACTGAGAGTATGACCCCTTCTATACTGCCATATAAATTATAGATTATTTGCTTTGAACTGGATTATATGGCAGTATAGACTCATATAATCCAGTTCAAAACAGATAATCAGGGATCGGAGCCTGGGATATAGGGCAGCATAGAAGGGACCTGAGTGGCTTTCATAAGGTTGCCTAGAGCTGGACAAGTGGGGATTCGAATCTCCTAAAGTCCTATTCCAACACAAAAACTCTACACCACACTAAACAAAACAGCATGAAAAGAAATTCTTGAAAAATATTTTCCTAGTTGCTAAAGTTAATGTCTATCCATGATTCAAGATTTATACATTACCGTTTCCAATCTTCAAGATTCCCAGGTGACTAAGAAGGTTTTGAAATTACTAAAGATATTCCCAAGCAATATCCTGCCACTATTTTTCAAAAATAGTGTATGTTCTCTTTTCATTCAACTGAAACATGAAGGAGGGCAGTCTCTCCAATCCATTTAATAGTCCCTTGACATCAGTTTCCTACTAATTCCAATCACTCAACTTCGGATTCTGAGCTTCTAGTTTTGCTCCCCATTTTATTTCCGCTTCTGATACTGTCTCCCATCCAGACTCCACTGCTAATGCATAATTATATAAACACTGTATGGCATAATTACATAAACACTTATCTTGGATCCCAAAAGTTAGGAGCAGAAGGAACTTTCTCATGGGGTTAGTAATAATTATTTAAAATGACATTTCATAAGAAATCTACATATCTCACCAGTTGCCATAACAACAAGATTATCTCTTCTGTCTTGCAAAACTGAAGAGATCACTTTCCATTGGACCCTTCAAAGAAAAATATGTGACACAACATGTTCTGTTTCAGCAGTAAGTTCTGACAAGAACTGGATCTTATTCAGCAACTTAGCATTCATATTTTCATATACAAGATGTAGGATTCTTTCTTCTTTTTCATAAATAGCTGAATCTGCCAAGTGCTTCAAAAAAGCCCCATTTCCTTTGCTATAGAACTCTACTATGTGTAGTGCCTCAAATTTGAAGATGGAAGTGCAATGCAAGTCATTTAAATTTTACTACACATTTATTTTATTTATAGCCCACCTTTCTCCCAATATGGGACCCAAAATGACCATTATCAGGATACTATCTAGGTCATCATTGCTCAATCTTGTGGTCTGTGCCTGAGCTATTGACTGATCTGCTGTGAGTTTCTGAGAAAAAAAAAAGACAATATAGCTAGTCAGCACATATGTGGCACATTGCTGGCCCCCAACAACCAGCAACTTCAGAAATTGGGTTGCTGTGAGTTTTCCAGGCTGTATGGCCATGTTCCAGAAGCATTATCTCCTAATGTTTTGCCCACATCTATGGCAGGCATCCTCACAGGTTGTGAAGTCTGTTTTGTCTGGAATCCCCCTGTTTTTTAGTGTTGCTCTTTATTTACTGTCCTGATTTTAGAGTTTTTTAAATACTGGTAGACAGATTTTGTTCATTTTCATGATTTCCTCCTTTCTGTTGAAATTATCCACATGCTTGGATGGGCAATGGAAACAGAGGTGGTCAAAAATTCTATGATTAAATGGGCGAGAAACATTGGAAGAACAATTAGTTTAAAGGAATGGGAATTAGTTTGGTCAAAACGTTTAAAATATACTTATACTACTGATTTAAAAGAAAAGTGTTTAAAAATGTTACATTGTTGGTATATAACACCAAAAAATTAGGGATAATGTATAAAAATACAGATAACAAATGTTGGAAGTGTGATAATAAATGTTGGAAGCCCAGAACCCACCTAATACACAACTCTGGGCCTGCACATTATGAGGAAAGACAGCAAGCAACCTAGTCCATAGCTACTGAACTGGAAGACACAGAACAGTTTTCAAGGAGCAATGTCCAGGGACATCACAGGATGTTTCCAAGTCATATGATAGCCTCTATTTAATCATACAGTATGAGTAGTATATGTGCAGCAGGACTGCAAGTCGTTTCAGAGAACAATTACAATCCATGGGAGAGTTAGTGATTTAGAATCCAAAGAAAACAATAATACTTACGGCTTAAAGCTTGAGTGTCCAAAATACATCTTTAAGCAAGTAGTTTGTTTGGAGTTGGGACCAGGTAAGCTGGAATCTTTGGAGAAAAAACACAAAACTAATATTTAGAATTAAAGTGGACACCTTTAAAGTGGACATCTTAATTTGACAAAAACTTGCCCATACACTAATTCCTAGAAAAACAGTCTTTCCATTCCAGAAAAAAAAAATCAAGATAGCGACTTTCATACAATGTTTTCTCATCTACATTTCCAAAAATCAAAAAGTACAAGAATGGGTCAATATCAGATATATAAGCTTGCACAGAAATATTCAAAGTCAAAGATAAATTGGATGAAAGAGACAAGTCAAGAAAACAGTACTTTCAGAATATCCTGTCCCAGCCAAATAGTCTCACTTTATGATGGATCCGTAACCTGCACGGACAATGGCAGCATCTACTTTTATGCTTAAAGTCTTTTAGACCTGCATTTTAGCTATACTGGCATAAATTGAGAATTTTTGGTTTGTCACTCTTGCTTTTGATAAATTAACTACAGAGGTCAATTTCTTTAATTATTGCTCAGAGTGATTGAGATTTTATTACTTTCTCACCCCATGGAACAGAAGATTCACCATAACATATTCAAAAGTATATTTGCCTTGGTTGCTGTTGTGAGAAACAAACATAAAACCTCCTTCAATGTGCAGAACTAGCTGGGTATGCACACATTTGGGATAGATCTTGGATTTAGTACTTACCCCAACTTTCTTCTTCCTCCTCAATTCCGTCATCTTCATCGTCTTCATCATCTACAACCATGTCATTTTCCTTTTTAAATTTATCCAAATGGGAATCTGCAACATCCATGTCATGCTTGTCTATGTTTTCTAAGGACTGAAGATAAGATAACATGTCTTCATGCTATAAACATACATAATCAGAAGTAGAAATAATTGTCAATTTAAGGTGGGGCTTGTCCTTTTAAATATTATTAAAGGCTTTTGAAACCCAGTCACTATACAACTTATAGGCTTCAATATGAAATTGTACTATAAACAAACTTAATTTATGGAAAAGTAACACTTTCCTCCTCTATTTCATCTCCCAGCAAGAAAAAAGCTTTGTTGTTTAACTTCTTTATGTCATACTACTTGAAAAGTGGCAATTTTGTCCAGTAAAGTCACTTAATTGATGTTTTACTTCACTTAATGCAAGTATCTATTTTTATTCAAAATTAGTTGACTGTGAAACATATTGTCCCACTTGACCCACAGCATTAAACTACTTCTATACAAGCCCTGCACCTGAGGTGGTTGCATTGTCTAGTCCAGGGATTATATTTCATAACAAATCCTGGTTAGTTCTAACAACACCTTCATAATCTGTAGACTAAAACACCATTATTACAAAACTTATCAGGCATTTCATATACCATGATGTTCTGGTCTGGACATCACCACAAGTCAAGATTTAAGGATAGTGAAAGCAAATTTTGCTGGAGCCCTTTACCAACCACACAGGGAAAATAAGAAGAAATGTGGATCGTTTGATTCTGAGTCTTAGCAAGCACTATCAAAAGAGAAAATATGATTCACTCTGTGCTGTACCCGTTCTGAAGCTAAGCAGGTAGAAACTGACAAGGGACCACTTAAACAAATCATTGTTTTAAAATTTAATATTTCTGCCACTCAAGATGCCTAAGAGTACTAACATTTTAATAAAACCAATATACTGCAAACATAAAAACAGATTAAAATCCACCATAAGACAGACATCCATAAAAGACTCCATGTAAACCTCTCCAAACTTTCTTTGCATGGAGAAATAATAGATAAACAGAGAGCAAAGAGACCCTGTGTTAAATGGAATTATTGTAACTTAATATTCCCTGCAGTACTATTTTATTTACTGAACAGATGAGAAAGTGGATGAAAATAAATTCAATATCCATAGCAATGTCTACAGCTTCAGGAGTTATCTCAGCAACTGACATCTCAGCAAACAAGGAGAAAAAGCTTGAACTGAACAGAAGGACATGCCAAGCAACTCTAATTCCTTAATTAGATGCACGCAAAAGAATGGTGCAACATATATCCAATTTCTCACTGTTAATGGAACACAATAAGTACATAAGCATGTGCATAGACACACACATCAGACAGGAAATAAAATTCATTTTCATTAAGCAGGAAAGACTATTCCAAAAATTGGTTATTTTTCATATGAGTACTGTGGCTCTAAGGAAGAAAGCAATTGCAGCCTTACTATACAACACACACAAAAGTCCTTTGTTAAAAATAATGGTGGGCATCTGTTCGTGTGGCACTAGGCACTAGCAGAGAAGAATACTCATTACAACATACACTTGTCTTTGGTGAAAATGATTGAGGAAGTGGACAAGGAACAAGGAAGATGGTTCATATCAATGCAGTTGCCATTTTATTCAGCACTGAGCCTGGAACCCCAGGTTTCAGCGGTGGCCAGGGGAGCATTCACACAATTAAAACTTTTTTGGCAGCTGCGCCTGTACCTTGAGAAGCTAGACTTGGCCACGGTGGTCCAGGCTCCCATCACATCTCAAATAGACTACTGCAATGTGAGGTTGCCTTTGAAGACTGTTCAGAAGCTTCAAATAGTCCAACGGGTGGCAGCCAGGTTACTCACCAGAGCAATGTACAGGGAGCACACAACCCCCCCCCCATTGCGTCAGCTCCACTGGCTGCCAGTCTGCTGCCGAGCACAATTCAAAGTGCTGGCTTTTGCCTATAAAGCCCTAAGCGGTTCTGGCCCTATGAACCAGTTAGAGCGCAATTGGTGGGGCCAAAAGACAGGGCCTTCTCAGTAATGGCTATGGAATTCCCATTAGACTGGTCCCCTCCCTCCTCATATTCAGAAAAAAGCTAAAGACCTGGCACCAGGCATTTGAGGAATAGTGCAAAATGGAATGCAGCACTAGTGACAACTATGAATCAAGGCAGTATGTTCTTAATCTGTTTTAATTGTTTTTAGCTGTATTTATATGTTTTTATCTGTTTTAATTTCTGTTTATTTGTTATTTATATTTGTAATCTGGCACTGAATTTTGCCATATCTGTAAGCTGTTCTGAGTCCCCTTTGGGGTGAGAAGAGCGGAGGAGAAATATAGTAAAGAAATAAATATTTATAGTGAAAACTCTTGAGTGGCTAACAAACTTTTTAAGAAGTCATCCTTTAGGAAAGTACAATTGAGAGGAATTTCAGAATGACATTATCGTATGTGAACCTGGTATAACTGGCTAGAGAAAACAATGCACAGCTTTGAAAACAGAACCTCTGGATATTAATTTTAATTAAAATACTTGTGATAACTTTTTTGTGAAAGAGAATGCTCCTGAATTGAACTTAAGCACATAGTACATCTCCTCAACTAGACTATCAAAAATAAGGAGAACGCCAGGCAAACACGTTAGCTCCTTCCATTCCCCCCCACCCCGCAATGTACCCATTCGACACACAAATTTGTGCAATCTCAAGCAGAGTTTATTTATGTAGCCCAGTATTTGAAAGGGTTGGAGGGCAATCTCGGAACTGAGACCACTGGGTTACAGTCACTCTTCTCCAATACACACCAAGATTCAGGAGAAATGCAGGTGGAAACTAGCCACCAAGATACTTAATTTGCTTAAAATACATGGTTCAGATACACTTTCAGGCTAACCATGGAAGCAATATCCCTCTCTTCTGCCAACAGCACAAGTGGGATACAAACTACCTGCCTGTTGCACATAACATGACTGGATGCAGTGTGCAGGTTCTGCTATTATCTGTACAGTTGAATAATATCCCTTTTCTAAGTGGTTCCCAACCTTTGTTCCTCCAGGTTTTTTGGACTTTCACAATTACTAACAGCTGCTAAGATTTGGCTGGGATTTTTGGGAGCTGAACCCAAAATACCTGGAGGACCAAAAGTTGGGAATCACTGCCTTATATGAAATGCTGGTGAACAGAAGAGTTCTGTATTTTTGTTTTTTTCAGATTTTGGAATACTGGCATATAATTTCTTGGAGATGGGAACCAAGTTTAAACATACAATTCAGACATGTTTCATATACACCTCATACGCATGGCTTGAAGATAATTTTATACACAATATTTTAATAATTTTGCACATGAAACAAAGTTTGCGTAAACCAACCTGTGGTCCGTGGACCACCAGTGGTCCACAAGAACTAAAATATAGTCCACAGCCTCACCGTTACTATACCATTGCAATGAGAGCGACTGGTCTGGCAAAACCCTTTTATAGTACCAGGGCTTATTAAATATCGTTTTCTCTGGGTGAGCAGATGGCAACAACTGTATGGCTAGAAACTAGAACTGATATGGTCTATCCAATGCAATGTTCTGAATCAGCACCCCAAATAACCAAACCGAATCTAAAGTTGACCAAAAACAGATTTGTAACCCTTTTTGGTACTGATGTTGGAGAGTGGTCCCTGGTCAAAAAAAGGTTGGGAACCACTGGTGCAGACTGAACAACCAGAAAGCAAAAGGTTTACCATCTCAGCCACCTACATGTGCAATGTTTGGATTTTGGAGTATTTTGGATAAAAAGACTTGGCTGCTCTTAATAAAGAAAAAGTATTGGGGAAAATGAGGAAAGCCACATTTGGAGCCAGAATAACAGAGAAGTGGAGGAAGAAAGCTAACTATCAGGTAACATGTCATACATGGTTTATACATACAAGAATAACATTTATTAACATATTATTAGATTGCTACATTACTTTTCCGGTATGAAATGGCACTTGTGCCTCTGATATGTTTTAAAAAGCAAACAAAACAATAGAACTATTAAAGTATTAGTGAAGAATATGAACTGTTAAAATCATTAAACATGCAAAATTATTCCTTTCCTTCACAATAAAATTTCCAAATTTTCTTTTTAACAGTAAACACATTTGCATCTTTAAAGGCTTTACATTTTTCCGAACACTTATATTTCCCCAACTTACTACTGTATACATCCATAAGTTAATAAACCTACTTTAACCATCTCCATTTCAAGTTCATCATCGCTTTCAATGAGGCAAAGGGACTTCTCTTCATTCTCTGTGAAGCTTGAATCCTAAAAGGAATATTTCAGAATGAGAAGGGCTTGTTTCTTTATCTTTTACTATGTTTTACTGTTTGACTTCCTCCAGAACCGAGTTTCTCAGACTGTGCTCCCCCCAGATGTTTTGGACTGCATCTCCCATAATCCCTAGCAGCTGGTAAGCTGGCTAGGATTTCTGGGAGCTGAAGTCCAAAACACCTGGAGGAGCAGTTTGAGAAACACTGCTCTAGAAAAAGAAGGTTTTGCAGATACAATAAGGAACATGTTGTCCTCATAATGTTGATGGAAAGCAATCTCCATCATCACTCATCACTCACACTGAGGCTAGGCATGATGGAGACTACAATCCAATCACATCTGGAAGGTCAGGTAACCTCATCTTTACTCTACAAACATCATTTAGATTTTTTTTCAAATTATAATTACTAAGATTTTTTAAATTTTTATCTTTGATCTCTTTTCTAGATAACCAAAAAGACTTTAATTAGTGGGAATATTACTTTTAAATTCTAAAAAAGAACTATGTCAAGACAGTAAATCTGGAGGAAGAAGAGTGATTGTGGTCTTAAGACCAACTGAGCAGTCATGGACTTAATTCAAGTTTTCAGATGAACTGAAGTCTTAAACACCTGCTATATTCCTTTCTTGTTAGTATCCTTTTTCTATTCAAAGTGACAGATGCAAGTATTTCTTTGAAGACTATCTAGCAGGCATGGGCAAACCTTCGAACTTGGGGCTGCATGGTGGGCTGGAGCATGGTGGGCGGGCCAGGAGGGAAGGGCTCCCCCAAGTCCCCTCCCTGCCCTTTCCTCCTCTTCCTCTTGTCTTTCTGAGGCAGAAAGTGAAGGAAAAACAGTAAATGTTTGGATCCCGAATGGTTGGTCTTTGTCAGATGAGATGGTGGATGGGAGAGAAAAAAATGAATCCACGAAACCCCATATTTCCTACTCCTGATATAGAATCCAAGATTCCTAGAGCTGGGTGAGACCTCTAAGGGCCATCTGGTCCAATCCCCTGCTATGCAAGAAAGCACAATCAAAGAACTCCTGATAGACAGCCTCTGCGGAAAAGCCTCCAGAGAAGGAGGCTCTACCAGACTCTGAGACAGCCTATGCCACTCTCCAGGAAGTTCTTACTAATCCTTTCAATCCAATCTTTTTCCCTGCCATTTGAAACCATTGCTCCCTTGTGCCCCGGTCTCTAGAGCAGCAGAAAATCAGATTCCCCCTTCTTCTTCCTCAATGGGACACCCTTTAAAATCTTGGAACATGGTTCTCAAATTCCCTTTCTGCCTCCTCTTCTCCCAGGGAAACATCCCTCAAGAGGAAGGGAGGGAGGGAGGAAGAGAAGGATGGAAGAAAGGGTGGAAGAGAATGGAGGAAGAAAGGGAGGGAGGGAAAAGAGAAGAAAAGACAAAAAGGAAGGAAGGAGAAAGAGGGAGAAAGGGGAGGGAGAAAAGAGGGAAGGATGAAAGGATGAAAGGGGAGGAAGGAGGGAGAGAGAAAGAGGGAATTAAGGAAGGGAGGGAGGGAAGGGAGGGAGGGAGGGAAGAGAGGAAAGGAAGGAGGAAGGAAAGAGAGAAGGAAGAAAAGACAAAAGCGAGGGAAGGAAGGAAGGACCAAAGTGTGGTAGGGAAGGGAAGGGAAAGGAAGGGAAGGGAAGGGAAGGGAAGGGAAGGGGGGAAGGGAGGAGAAAGAGGGAGAGTGGGAAGGAGGGAGAAAAGAAGGAAGGAGGAAGGGCGAAAGGGAAGGAGGGAGGGAGGGAGAAAGAGGGAAGGGAGGGAAAGTGAGGAAAGGAAGGATAGGATGGTGAGAGAGAGGAGGGCCTCAGTAAAGAGCTCAAGGGGCCGCATCCGGCTCCCGGGCCTGGGTTTGCCCATACCTGCTATATAGGATATCTAGTATGCAGGAAAGCAGGGACCAACACATCAATGGGGAAAAATCAGGGTGGGTGACTGTGACACAGACTACACAACCTCATCCCAAAATCATAATTGGAGATGAGGTCCAATTGTAATTTCTAGCTGACCCACTACTCTTAGAGGCCACCAGAAGGGATGATGGATGTTTTTTCTCCTCCCCCCCCCCCAAAAAAAAAAAAAAGAAATAGAAAAGAAAAATGACACTGCAGAGATTGTCCATCATAGGAAAGGATATGGGTTTTTTTAAACATCTGAAAACACAATTGGGTATCTTTTACCTGACAATTTTTAAAAGGACCCTCGTCCTAATATCATGCTTCTTAGGTTAATACATGTAGAATCTAAGATTACATTATCTGTTAAGAGATGTACCTCAGATTTACAAGCAGCCTCATTCAGCAGCTCTTCCTCAGCCTGACGTTCCAACATCTGAAGTTCATATTCTGTTATGTCTAGTGACATTAAGTATCCATGCTCTGCAGAGGCTTTAGTCCTTTCATTTGAAACATCTTCTGCTTGTTTTTTCTTATTCAGTTCTTCTTCATTCTCTTCAAGGATGTCATTTTGGAAATGAACATGATGATCTACATGGTCATTTGACTCCGATATGAGCTTAGAGGGCAATTCAGATGTTTCTAATTCCTCTTTATTTCTAGTCATTTTTCCTGAATTTTCAGCATCTCCCAACTCCATCTGGCAGGTAGAGTCAACAAACAATACTCTTCTTAAGACCTTGATGTTTTCTGACAGACCAGCCAATATTTCTGAAATTCTGATGAGGGAATGTTGACATAAGTAGGTAAGTGCTGTGGTGATCATACAAAAAAGTTAATAGTTATTGAAAAAAAGATACACAAAGAATGTCAAATAATATTAAGATTAGAATGCACATTGAAACCTGAATATTACCTATTGGGATGTTTGACTCGGAACTGATTGCCGATAGTAACAAAGAAAAGATTTTTACCTACCTGATCATGGCAGCAAGAATAATTTATGCAAAAGCTTGGAAACTCGATACTATACCGGCCAAGGAAGTTTGGATAGACACGATATTAGAGATAAAGGACATGGACAGATTTACATTTTTGTGAAAGAAAAATACTGGCAAAAGTATGAAAATGACAAACTGATCCATTTTTGAAGAATATATGAAGATGCAACATCAATTATAGGACAAGGAGGGAAAGGAATCTGTAAACTAAAAATAGACTAATATTGGGAAAGAAAAACCCGATAGAATGGGAAAATTAATAGATTTGAACATAAGGAAGAAGAACGGAAGTCACCAATTTTCTAAAATATATTTCCTTTTTTATTATTTCTTAATTTTTTCTCTTTTTAAAGAAATACCATTAAAATCAACAACAAAGTATCGTTTGGAAAATACAATCCGCCAAAAGAAAGACAAAAGAAGTTAAGCTCCCCAAAATACCATTTTTTTAAAAAAAAACTATTCACCACACTTGTTTTGGTCTGTGTGCCACAAGTGAGAAGGTCCTATCCTCTATTAGTAAGTTCTGAATATGACAGGACACACAGTAATTATGGAAACACAACTTGAGCCCCACGAGACATAGTTATCCGGTTCCCTGACATTCTGGAGTGGATTTTCCGGGCATGCCAACTGTAGAAAAGAATAAGGCTGGGAAAGCTCCAATTCAAGAACAGAACTTCCATGACAAGCACAAAGCTCACTGAGCATTCAAAAATATGAAAATGTTTCAGAAACACAACAAATTAACAGAGTGTATATCACAAGGTTGTTTTAATTAAAAGATCCAAGGACTAACCTTTGAATATTTATAGATTTATCAAAAGTGCAAGGCAGGTGATCAGCCAAATCTATCATCTCCTCTGACATCGTTGCCAATTCCTTTTTTATTTCACTTGACAATAATATTCCATCTATTAAAAAGTGACATAAGCATATTTTTAACCAAACACAATGCTCTGTTCTAGCTACCTGGCTTTGAAACTTGAGAAAATAATAGTTTAATTGTTAAAGACAATTTCTAATTTCTAAATCATAGTTTAATTGTTAAAGACAATTTCTAATTATGGAAAGATGTTGTTCTCATCTTTCCATAAAAATACTACTCTCCAGTTTTAGAGAGTTATTAGATGGCTGAATGCGTAACCATAATAATAATAATAATCATCATCATCATCATCAACTTTATTTGTAAACTGCTCTCCCTCCCTGAAGGGACTCAGGGCGGTTTACACACAAAAAAGGCAAACATTTGATGCCTCAGGTGAGTACAGACATATCAAAATAATACACAATAAAACAGTCACAATAGTGAGCTTACAATGAAGAATTAAGCATTGTGGTGAAAAATAAAACAAAACAATCTAATAACACATAGTTAACTAAATAAGTAAATACCCAAAAAGCAATTTAAAACATAGTTACCTTAAAATAACCATGTCCATTATATTAAAACAAAAAGTAGATTTCTCAAGAATAAACACCAAAGCACATCAGAAAGATTTTAAAGGTTAAAAGGGGGAGAAATGACTGAAATATTGATATTTTATTTTGAAACTCACCTTTTCCTATGCTAATTTGTAACTTCTTATCACTACTCATAGTCATCAGCTTTTTATAAATGAGGAAGCCTGCCTGAAACAAAGCCAAAAAAATTTTCAATGAATAGGTAAAGATCTCAAAAATAAATATAATCTAAAGTTGTATGTCTTAAAGAAATATTTGACAAATAATTTAGCATTACACATGAAGATGTATTGATAAAATAAGTTATCACTGTGGCCAGTAGCTTTCATCTCACCTCCACCCTAGGTTTTAGCCTCCATAATATAGGAGCTATCCAAGGTTCTGAATCCTACCCATGAAATAGGTTCAGTGTCTATCATAGTATAGTTCCTTGAAATTCAGGGCTAAAAATATGCCACAGAATCACTGTCCCAATAATATGTGAGTACCAGACATTGTTGTAAGATATCTAGTTTTAAAATGTCTTAAAATAAAAATTCTCTCCAAGTATCTAATTAAGAAGATAGGAAAACAATAATGGCAACAAGCTGGTTTGCAAAGAATGCTAAACCAAGATTCAGCATTACTTTTACAAGTGATACAATATTTATAATGTAACTAAGTGAAGTGATAAAGCAGAAAGAGCCCATAAGGTTCTCAATTTAGAAAAGCTATGAACCAATCACACTTAGAGAAGAAGGCATGCATATGAGTGACATAGGCCAAAACCTAGGCATACGCTGCTCAACAGTTAGTACAATAGTTAAGAATAAAGCCAAGGTATTAGATGAATCTCAAAAGCTAAGTGGATAGCTTAATTACTGATATGGAAAGACTTTTAAATATGCAGATTCTAGACCAAACTAGTCACCATATTCCTCTAAGCACAGGCATTATCCAAGCCAAAGCCCTAAATCTATGTAATATGATGAAGCCTGAAAGAGGGACGACATCTGCAGTAAAAACATTTCAGGCCAGCAAAGACTGGTTTAATATATTTAAGACAAGGTCCAATTTGCATAATATAGAAGTGCAAGGAGAAGCAGCGTAGACGCCGCAGCTGCAGAGCCTGCAAAAATTATAGAAGGGAGCTATACAAAGCAACAGATTTTCAATTTAGATGAGACAGGCCTATGTTAGAAGAAAATGTCAGCTAGAGCTTATATTGCAACAGAAGAAAAAGCTATGCCTGGATTCAATTCTGCAAAGGATAGGTTAATGCTGTTGCTAGGCGTTATTGCAGCTGACAACTGCCGGCTAAAGCTTATGCTTACATACTATTCAGAGAATACTAGGGCCATTAAAAACTATTTCAAATTTTAGCCTTCCGGTTTATTACAAGAGGAATACAAAACATGGATAACGGATAGTTTATTAGCAACTTGGCTCTCATAATTATTTCAAGGTTACAGTTGAGGATTATTGCAAATAACAGAAAATTCTCTAAGAGTCTGCTTGTTGATAATGCTCTGGATCGAAACAAAATAAATTAAAAGCTTTTTGAAAAGGCTTCAACATTTCAGATGGAATTGAAAGAATTACAGATATATGGAGGAAAGATAAAGAAACAACTCTGAAAGGTATGCAAAAGATTCTTAGGAACCTCAACTGCAAATCACAAAGAATGTCTCTGAATAATCCCATAATGACTTGAGTCTAACACTCACGCTTTTTGGCTAAATTACATTGCTAACATTGAGGTGTGCATTAGATCCGATAGTGCATTAGAATTGCTCACCTAAACGCATCCACACTGTTGGGCAAAAGATCCCAGCTGGGGACAGAGGAGGGAGAGGCAACAGTGGCCATGAAATGGCTGGTGGAAAGGCCTCCTAACCAGCTTCCTACCAGGTATAATAATAATAATAATAATAATAATAATAATAATAATAATAATAATAATATCATACGAAAGCTGACTGGCACAACCTGGGGATCACAACCAGATACAGTGAAGACATCTGCCTTTGCGCTGTGCTACTCTGCTGCTGAGTATGCATGCCCAGTGTGGAACACATCTCACCACACTAAAACAGTGGATGTGGCTCTTAATGAGACATGCCGCATTATCACGGGGTGTCTGCGCCCTACACCACTGGAGAAATTACACTGCTTAGCCGGTATTGCACCACCTGACATCCGCCAGGAAGTAGCAGCCAATAGTGAAAGGACCAAGGCAGAGACATCTCCAGCTCACCCCGTTTGGGTATCAGCCAGCACGTCAACGACTTAAATCTAGAAATAGTTTTCTAAGATCTACAGAGACACTCGCTGGAACACCTCAGCAAGCGAGAGTCCAAAAGTGGCAGGCTCAAACCCAGAACCTCAACCAATGGCTGATACCAAATGAGAGACTTCCCCCTGGGCACACAGAGGACTGGGCGACTTGGAAGGCGCTGAACAGACTGCGCTCTGGCACCACAAGATGCAGAGCCAACCTTAAGAAATGGGGCTACAAAGTGGAATCCACGACATGCGAGTGTGGAGAAGAGCAAACCACAGACTACCTGCTGCAATGCAACCTGAGCCCTGCCACATGCACAATGGAGGACCTTCTTGCAGCAACACCAGAGGCACTCCAAGTGGCCAGATACTGGTCAAAGGACATTTAATCAACTACCAAACTCACAAATTTTGTATTTTGTCTGTTTGTTTGTTTTGTTCTGTTAGAAATGTAATTTAATTGACTGGTTGCCCTGACACGACAAATAAATAAAATAATAATAATAATAAACTTTCTTTATACCCCGCCTCCATCTCCCCAAGGGACTCGGAGCAGCTTACATGAGGCCAAGCCCAGCAACACATCAATAAACAAGAAAGCAATAAACAAAAAATAACAACAATACAGTTAAATAAATCACATAAAAAACATTAACATGCAAGGATTTAAAAACCTATGGTCGGGCCGGATGTAATAGTTAAAAATTAAAAAATAAACGCTGGGCATGAACCAGATAGGATATATCTAATAGGAGCGTTTTAAAGAAGTGAGGGGAGTGCAATCCAAGCGGATAGTTAAAGTGCATTTGAGGACATTTTGCTGGGAATTATTCCTTATTCCGGGAAGGCACACAGGAACAGCCACGTTTTCCGGCTTCTCCTAAAGACTGCCAGTGTTGGGGCATGCCTGATATCCCTGGGAAGTGAGTTCCAGAGTTGGGGGGCCACTACTGAGAAGGCCCTCTCCCTCGTCCCCACCAATCGCGCCTGCGAGGGAGGCGGGAGCAAGATCAGGGCCTCTCCAGATGAACGAAGGTCTGACAGAAGGACACTGCTTCCCACCAGTCTTTTAACGGCCACAATCGCCTCACATCATATTCAACAGCAAATCTTTTCTTTTGTAATGGATATCTTCAAAATTGAGGTGCACATTAGACTTGATACTAAAGTAAACATGCCATTGGTTGAGTTTATTTCCAAAAGGAACAATCCAAAAAAATTGAAAAATGAGTTGTAGGTGGCTGCACATTTTTTGCTAGGAGTAGAATATTATGTACAGATCAAAACTGTACAGGACTTAGAAATTTAGATTTTATAGCATAAGAATGCACATCTCCAGCACATTTTTTCAATTCCTGTAAAATTTGTTCAGCTGGATTGAGTATCATTTGGAAACAAACTCCACATTTATACTCCTTATTTACGGTAGTTTCTCCTATCTTATGGTTTGGCTTAAATGGAGTTCTTCTCATTAAAAACAAACACTTTACCAACCTAGAGCTTTTTCAGCCAAATATCTACATTGGGGCACCACTGAATATTATGCCACTAATCCAGGGATTTGTGGGTTAGAACTGTGCATTACTAGCATCCTTACATGTTTTCTCTGTTAGGCATGTCACAATTAAATAGAGCACTTTTCTGTTAACTAGCTTTTGTTTCATTCAATTCAAGAAATCACCTTTGCCCACATTGCAACGAACCAGGAACTTTTTTGAAAACAACTCCAAAGTGTTCAACCAATTTGGATGAGTACCATGAACAGCAAAAGCCTGGTTCACATATGAGCTAAACTGGGCAAAAATAGCTTTTCAAACTTTATATTAAAGATATAACTTTAATATGAATGTGTGCCTTTTTGATACATACATAAGCATCCGTGGCTGCATATAGCTTTTGCTCTTCAGTAAGTGGAAACTCTTCCCAATTTCCACAGCGGACCAATTTTTCTTTCAGAAGCTGTTTGTGGAATAGATGCTTTACAAGGTCATTCAGACTCCAGAGCTCCTTACACTTTAGCTAAAAATAAGATTATAAGAGTTCAGTTCAAAGAATTCCATAAATACCATAAAAAGAATACAGGTTGGGCATCCCTTATCTGGAATCCCAAAATCCAAGATCTTAAAAAATCTGCAACTGCCTACACGGATGTTGAAGTGAAACCTTTGTTTTCTGATAGTTTAAGGAAACAAATTTTGTTTTATGCGCAAATTGATTAAAATGTGGTGTTAGTATCAAGCTATATGTATAAAGTGTATATGAAACATAAATGAATTTTGTGTTTAGACTTGGGTCCTATATACAAGATATCCCAATGTGTACATTTATACAAATACAGGGATTCCAAATCCAGAAAGAAAAATCAGAAATCCCAAATACTTCTGCTTCTAAGCCTTTCAGGTAAAGGAGGCTCAACCTGTATTTTGTTCAGAGGAATGGGTTTACAGAAAAATAACAGATCTAGATGAGAACACTATTTGAGAAATGTAAATTTAAAATACATTCAAAACACACACAATGTAAAAGAGTACAAAATGTAGTACAGGACATAGCAGCTTTACTACAACTAGGTTTGCATAATTAAAAAACCAGATAAATCTAAATGTTGGGCAAAAGTTTGTCACAAAGAACTCGTACATGAACTATCATACTTAATGACTTGTGTCCAAGCTATCTAAAAGAGCCTATCTCCATGCAGGATTTCTTTCAGACCTAATATCATTTGTGTAGGTTACAGCCTTCTTGGTGGCAACTCCCAAGCTATGGGACTAAACTAGCCACCTCTTTTCTCTTTTTGCTGGCAGACAAAAGCATTTTTATTTGGACAATCTGTTTGGCTCCTTACTGGTTTTTGTAAATGGTATTTTAATAAAAGGAGCTGCACTTTTAGACTTATTTCCATTAAACGGTTTTAGGTTCAAGCTGTTTCTAGTAAGATCATTTATGCAATGGTTTCAAACAGGTTTGTTTTGTCTGCTACTTTTCTTGATGTTTGTAGCTATTTTCTTTCCATCTGTACTGTGAACCATCTTGGAAGGGAGGAAGCATGTTATTTTAACAAAATTCATAACCTTGTCAATTGATTTTCTGTATATTAGAAATCTATATCTTCCCCCATCAAGATAATGATTAGGGGTCAGCATGACAGGGCAACTGTGAAAAATCCCACTGAAATCGGTCCACTGCCAACTCTACTATCTTCATCACCTCTGTTTTTAGGTTTTGGGGAACAGAAGCAAGTATCAGCTAAGCTAGCATATCAAACCCCACCAAAAAACAAGGAGCAAATGACAGTAACAGCAAATAGCTGCAATACGGAGTGAGTTTGGAAGGGAAACATCAACACCAGTAGGCTTTTGATAATTTTCAAAAAGTAGACAGAATATTTATGCTTCTGCCAGCACAATTAAATGCAAGTCTATGCTCAGGTTAGTAAGAATGTCTTCATTAGGATTCTTTTGAGGTGAGAAAACAAAGGAGCACAGCCTTTACAACCTACAAATGTATTCATAGCAAGTGATGTCAGTGACACAGGTTACCCTGATTTTATTGGCAACATAAAACAGCAGTGCTTAATTAATTCACATTATCTCAAGATTCCAAAGATAAAAAATCTTAGTTGTATACAATATGGAGTTGTATAAACAAAACTGAAAGAGACAGAAGTACGTGACTAATCAAGGGCACTTTTTCTAGAAAATCTCACTGTGAGACATCTAATTTCCTTTTATTATGTAATTAAATTTAAAATTTAATCTATCACTACTTAAAGAAGCATTTAGCCATACTTTTCCAAATATTCATGACATATGGGCTCCATGGCACAAGTGACTTTCCATGATATTTTTTCTGTGGCATACCTTTCCTAGTAAAGATTGATATCTTACCTTTTCATTGGCAAGGTCAGCCAGGTCCACAAGATCTCCCAATCTCACGGCAAAATCACGCATCAGTTTCCATTTATCCCCTTCAATACCAACCCCAGCTTTTTTGATATTGTTATCTTCAAGCAACCTTTTCAATCCCCCTGGAAAACCTGAAGAGATTAAATGCAAACATACAAGTTTATTCAGTTAAGAATAACATTTTTATACAACCTACTTACAAAACTGGGGAACTAGCAATCCGCAGCATCCTCTAGTGCTTTGGATGATGTGAGTCCACTCGAAACAGCCCTGTTAAAATTACTTCCTGTACTTGAGTGTGCGTATGTATAAACAAAAAAGAGAAGTAACGAAGAGACAGAAAGAGAGAGAAGCTGGATGGGAATGATGACAGAAGCCCTGGTCAGGTATAGAAGTAAATGGGGATGAGGGTATAGACATATATGCATGCACCACTCCTGAAAGTTCCCCGTATCCACAATGGTAGTCTTCGGACACTGAGAACAAAAATCTGCAGAAGCCATTAAAACAGTGTTCAGATGAAGACTGGGAACTCCAATGGGCTCTTTGGCCTGGTATCCCTGCTGCTTCCCTGAGACCAGGGTGGGAAGAATTGGAATATAATCTTCTCTACTTTAGAGGAAATTGGGCTACAATCCCTACTATTCATTCTCTTTCACCTGAGACACAAAAACAGAGGCACTGCCATATTTATTCAAGGAGAAATAAATATTCAAGTTTTGAGATCAACAGTGGAGGCCCTTCTCTTGGTCCCACCAACCATCTCAAGAGGGGTTGGTGGGGACAAAAGAGGGCCTTCTCTGGAATACACTCCCAAAAGAGATTAGGTTAGCCCCCACCCTTGACTCCTTCCGATCTGGCCTAGAAACATGGATTTTTAAGCAAGCTTTTGGTCTTGAGTAGGCTGAAATGGGCCCATATGAGGTTGACACTTTGGCACTTTAGTTGTGATCTGAAGGCAGCTAGTTTTAACTATAGATGGTCTGTATTATAAATTGTGTTTTATTTTATTTGATGTGTTAAGTGGATGTTTTTATAACATGTATGTGATGTTGTTTTTATACTCATGTACTATTTATATTATATACTGTTCTTGTAGTGCCTTGTAAGCCGCCCAAGTCCCTTTTGGGAGATGGTGGCGGGATATAAATAAAGTTTATCATTATTATTAATCCACCAATTAGTGTAATTTCTTGTTTCTTAATTTCTTGTTGAATGTTCCCTTGCTTCTCAGCCTTTCCACTATATGCAAGAGAAAGCCATTCCCCTGACAGAGGCCTTCAAAACCAAGGCCAGTTGGGAAGTCACACCCCTCTGTCAGGCTGAGGCTGGTGGGTTCATCAACCTCGGCCTGATGGAGGGGCACAGGCATGTTTACGTGCTCGATTCTAATGCACAAACGAATCTAATGCTCATTTTTGGCTATGTAGTTTAGCCAAAAAGGTGTGCATTCGACTCTCATAAATACAGTATATGGGTGGAAATAGGCATTTCTATTAGTCTTAAACCTATATTGAGAATGGAATGGTTGAGGAAAAGCAAAATAGCTGTAAACTGATGTCCTTGCTCCTAGTCCAGTGGTTCTCAACCTGTGGGTCCCCAGATGTTTTGTTCTTCAGCTCCCAGAAATCCTAACAGCTGGTAAACTGGCTGGGATTTCTGGGAGTTGCAGGCCAAAACACCTGGGGACCCACAGGTTGGGAACCACTGTCCTAGTCCATCAGAGTAAAGTCATTTAGTGAACTAATTCCCTAGTCTTTTCCATGTGATTCGGCAAGAAAAATGATACCTGTTCCCTAAAAATATTACAGCATCCCAGCAATTACACAGCAGAAATGATCGTGGTAAGCTGTACTAGATCAGTGGCTCTTGGGACAACAGCCTATACGGTGACAACACCTTCAACAAAAATAATAGGCAGCCTTCTATACACGCAGAAGAATGACACTGGATAGCTTATTCTGGGAAGAAGGGGGTTGCATACCCCAGGGAGGTATGTTCCCTCCACATAGAAATATCATGAGAGGAATGAAGTTCTTAATATGCTTGTTTAGAAGAATTTTCAGCTTTTATTGGTAGCTCGGGTTTTTTAATTTGCATTTATTTTTAATGAGAGTAAAGTAGTCTTCGAGAAGAGTAGAATCCATTTTCTACCTTACAAAATAAATCATTCATTTAAAATTCTACAAATCCAGTTATACAAGGGGCAATCAGAAGAGTATTTTTATTTAGAAATTAAAAGGAAATGTACTGACTTGACATGGAAGAAATATGAAACAGGTAGCACTTCTCTTCTGAGTCGCACAGCTGGATTAAGGCAACCTTTCCTTCCTTTCCTTTAGTATAGACTGGCGTCCATTCAATGTCAAATCCTAGCACAGCTCCATCAGGCAACATTGAACTAGAAGATAAAAATGTATCTCAAACTTAATTCCTAAAAATCAGTTATAAGATCCAGTATGAAAAGCTAATCATGCCTCCATAAAGACGATGGTTGCCAAATCAGAAACTAGCCAGTTCAGCAGTAGAAGCAGCCGCAAGAAAACCCTCAAGCAACCCACAACTGTATAGCTCATTTCTGTACATATACTGTGATTTAACTTCCACAGATTTGATTACTTGAAGTTTGTAGCTCAGGCATGGGGCAAACTTTGGTCCTCCAAGTATTTTGGACTTCAACTCTCACAATTCCTAACAGTCTACCGGCTGATAGGAATTGTGGGACTTGAAGTCCAAAACACCTGGAGGGCCAAAGTTTGCCCATGCCTGTTGTAGATGTTGCTTAGCCAGCAATATAGCTAAGAGGTGTAGTCATAACTGAACTGAACTGTAATGTCCAGGAGCAGCTTCTGGGGGCTACTGGCTTGGCCTTCTTCCCAGTTCCCTCATTTCACTGGACCTCCATAATTTCTGCTACTCTCAACACCTTCCCCTCTCTGCCTCCCCACTGAAGGAAATATTTGCAGCATGTCTGTGGGAAGGACCTAATCATATTCATGATTTTTTCCTCTTTCAAAGGAATCCTCCATTCCAAACCCCATGAAAGTTGAGGGCCCACTCTATGTACAATGTACTATGGCAACAAAGAGGAAATGCAGCAGTTAAACTTTAATTCAGAAGCACTGAAGTCATTACTTCCTATATAATAACACTTGCAATACAAATCACAAAAAAGGGACTTGAGAAGTCAAAAGGTTTCAATTTTTTAAAAAAATCTAACTGACAATAGTAGAAGCAGGGTCCAAATGAATTACAGTAAGACACCTCATATGCTGGCTCGCTTTCCATGGTTTCACTTACTCATGGTTGCCACTCCCAGAAGTGTTTGGGGACATCTCTTGATACTTCAATGCAACTCTATAATATGCTTGGGCCAGAAGTTGACTTCCCAACTTCAAACATTTGTGCAAGCATATGGGGAAGTGGCAAGAGGAAAGTGAATCAGCAGTGGGTAATTGGGGGGAAAGGAACTCCTCCTGGCCATAGAAAGACCCCAATAACTCTTTACTGAACCCTGTATTTTCAAAAAGTGGCTGACTACTTAAACTTAGTGAGTTAGCATTCAAAACTTTCCATGGTTTTGCATATCCATAGAACATATCTCTCACATGTAAGATACTGTTACCTTTTCTATCTATAATAACTGCTTCTGCAAAACAATGCCAATTGGAAACAGTGACACAGTTGTCCCAAAGTTGATTTTTATTTCTTATCATTGCCACATAATATCAGCTAACGATAACAGAAGACTCAAAACGTCTGCTAACATTCCACCCCCCCCCCCCATACACACACACACACACTATGGGAATTTGTGTCTCTCTTAGGCTGTAAAGCTAAATGCATTTCCTGGTGGGTAAAGTTCGCCAAGTCCAAAGCTATCCCCCTGCTAGTGGCATGCTTCTGCTACAGTAGTTTGTAACTTAGCAAAACACCATAACCCAAAAAGAGGGACACTAAATCCAGATAATTTTTGTGTTTGAACATAAAAGTATCTGTCATTACATTTTTACAACCCCCAATTTCTTAATATGTGGTATGCATCTGCCTTATCCACCATTTTTCTCAAACATTAATGCCGGCCAGTACACTGTAACACTACACTGCAAAGAGTATTCTGCTAATGCTTCAACAAAAAAATGCAAAATAGATTATATAGGTTTTATGACAGCATATGTTCTAACTGCTTTAGAAATTTATTTAATTGAGTATCCCAGTGGAAAGCCCACAAAATGATATAAACAAATACCTTGGATATCTAATTGATTGACTAAAGACACACCACTGCTCTGAATAGGGATAACTTGGTCAAAAAAGACCAAACAATACTGTATGGAAAATCTGAGGAGTAAACTGTTTTACAATATTCAAAAAAGGCTGCAAAACACAAACTTATTTTTTCAGTCTCTTACATAATATCTTCAGCAAGTAGGGAGCAATCACTAGCATTATAGCTATAAACGACAGAGCCAGGGAACTCTAAGAATGGAAGGTTTTGCTCCAGGACACTCCGATGGGCTGAATTCTTCTGCTTCATAAAAAAATAAAAAGACAGCTTATAATAAAACACATTTAGCACATTATTTAATGGTTCATTCATCCTTGCATGAAACAATGTGCATTGGTTTTCTTATCTGTGAGTATTGCTTATTGGAAGCAGAGATGAGCCCCTTCCCAAGGCAGGAGGAGCACTGATCCCCATTCCAAACCACCAGAGTACGTGACCTTCCACTGTGTAGCTATGTTTTTTGTGATGCAGTAACAGCAAAAAGGCACAATTTCATTTAAGAAGACAGCATGGAAGGAGTACAGAATACGGTATTTAAAAACTGAACCATACTTACAGGATGCTACTAAGAACAAGATTTCACTTTAAAGCATGCTACACATTTTCCATATGCCTTGTTTTCAGCTAAAATTGCTGAAAATTTCAGCAGCAAGGTTAAATCTACCAACAGCATGGTCACAAAAACATACAGAATGCCCCATTTCACCAACCTTGACCTCAAAATTTTCTCATCACTATTGGAACTTTCCTACAATAATTAAACAAACTATGTAGACCTGGTCTTTTCAATACTCAATGCACCTTCAATCAAAATTCTAAGCTTTAATCAATGGCAATCAACAAATTATTTGTATACATAATAAATCTAAGAAATGCAAATTTCTTTAAGGAACTAGTAAGTACTTCTAAAGTTGGACTGAAAATGTCTATGCAGTTTATTACTAGAAACCAAATACAGAGGAACAGCCTGCAGTACACTTCAGAGTTGCCCTTCTCTCTTGTTTTGTCTCTGTTAACTCCCCTCTGAATCAGACATATACTGTATTTGTACAACCTACCTTTTTGCCAGCAACAGAATCCACTTTTTCCTCTTCAGTCATCCAATGAGGAAGTTTATTTGGCGGAGAACCCATCAACAAATTCATCTGGATGCATATGCTAATTGAAAGAAGATACAACATTTTACTAGATAGGCCAGGAGCCCCCAGTAGCGCAGTGCGTTAAACCCCTGTGCTGGCAGGACTTAAGACCAACAGATTGCAGGTTCAAATCCAGGGAGAGCGCAGATGAGCTCCCTCTAACAGCTCCAGCTCCTCACGTGGGGACATGAGAGAAGCCTCCCATAAGGATGGTAACACATCAAAACATCTGGGTATCCCCTGGGCAACGTCCTTGCAGACGGCCAATCCTCTCACACCAGAAGCGACTTGCAGTTTTCTCAAGTCGCTCCTGACACAACAAAAAAAAAAAAGCCAGGATATAATAATAACAAATTGATATTGCAATGCACTGTACCATGAGCAGTTTGCATCTCTCCTTGGATGTGCAGTGAAGCAACAGAAAGAGGAGAAGGCTAATTTCAACTGTTTCTTAAATGTGTGCATTCGGAGGGGGGGGGGGGGTCCCAGAAATTGTCTGTGCCAACAACCCCTCTCATAGTTTTGCAACAACTCCCAATGTTAAAGACTGGAATTCAGGGAATAAGAATCTTTGTCCTGATTGGCTTCTTCTACTACTGCCTTTCTTTCTTCTTCTTGCTGTCTTCTTCATATCTTCCTACCACATAATTACATTGATCCAGATATAGGACAACTATTCAGAATTTGTTCTGTGCTAGTTGCTGTGTAACCCAATCCTGTACATATATACAGCACAATACATGCTATGTCTTCTGAATAAATCTTACCAAGCTCAGCATAAGTCAGTCTCAACGTGAAGCCACAGAAGAACAGTAAGTGCTATTAACCCTATCTGCCCTTAAGTTGCATCTTAATGTAGGATGTAATAGGGTTTTCTTAAGCAAGGAATACTCAGAGGTACACGCAGCCTCCACATTTGTGGGTTTCACATTTGTTAATTTTATTATTATTGGATTTGATTAACATGCTGTCCTTAGGAATCTCTAAGCCCTCTAGAGCAGTGTTTCTCAACCTTCCTAATGTTGCGACCCCTTAGTACAGGTCCTCATATTGTGGTGACCCCCAACCATAACGTTATTTTCATTGCTACGTCATAATTGTAATTTTGCTGCTGTTATGAATTGTAATGTAAATATCTGATATGCAGGTTGGATTTTCAGTCACTGGACCAAATTTGGCACAATTACCCGATACACCCAAAATTTGAATACTGGTGGGGTTGGAGGTGATTGATTTTGTCATTTGGTAATGCTGGAGTTACTGGGATTTATAGTTCACCTAAAATCAAAGAGCCTTCTGAACTCCACCAATGATGGAATTGAATCAAACTTGGCACACAGAATTCTCATGACCAAGAGAAAATACTGGGAAGGTCTGGTGAGCACTGACCTTGAGTTCTTGGAGTTGTAGTTCACCTACATCCAGAGAACACTGAGGACTCAAGCAATGATGGATCTGGATCAAACTTGGCACAAATACTCAATATTCCCAAATGTGAACACTGGTAGAGTTTGGAGAAAATAGACCTTGGCAATTGGGAGTTGTAGTTGTTGGGATTTATAGTTCACCCACAATGAAATAGCATTCTGAACCCCACCAATGATAGAATTGGACCAAACTTTCCACACAGAACCCCATGACCAACAGAAAATACTATGTTTTCTGATGGTCTTTGGCGACCCCTCTGACACCCCCTCGCGACCCCCACAGGGGTCCCGACCCCCAGGTTGAGAAACACTGCTCTAGAGCAACTCAATAAACATCAACTACTGAGTCTCAATGGAGGACTTAGAGAGAACACTTCTCTAAGCATTTACAGCTCCTCTAGAGCAGTTCTACAGTCTACCTCCAGCATAAGGTTGCAGTAAAGGTAAAGGTTTTTCCCTGACATTAAGTCTAATTGTGTCCAACTCTGAGGGTTGGTGCTCATCTCCATTTCTAAGCCAAAGAGCCAGCGTTGTCCGTAGACACTTCCAAGGTCAAGTGGCCGGCATGACTGCATGGAGCACTGTTACCTTCTGGCCAGAGCAGTAGGTATTGATCTACTCACATTTGCATGTTTTCAAACTGCTAGGTTGGCATAAGCTAGGGCTAACAGCAGGAGCTCACACTGCTCCTCGGATTCGAACCTGCAACCTTTCGGTCAAGAAATTCAGCAGCTCAGTGGTTTAACCCACTACTCCACCGGGGGCGCCACCAGTTGCACTGGAGGATCTGCAAATACCTTTCAAGTTAAAAATCTTTTGATTTGTGGTTTTTCTACTTTCACAGAGGTTCTGTGCCTCTAGTCCTTGCAAATGTGGAGTTGACTGTAATACAGCCAACTATGTTTGATACTTCTTGGCGGCCTCTCTTCTAAGTATATGTTTTGTTTATTACTTATTTTGTATATATGTCATCCATCTCCCTCCTGCAGCATGTTCCAAGGCAGTTTTCAAGGACAGTAAATTTTAATGTTTACAGTAAAAAAAAATAAAGCAATTAAAATCACTTCATAAAATATTTTAACATCAGTTTTAAAACAGGTGAAATATTTATGCTATTTATTTAACTTACAAGTAATAACCGGGGTTGGCCCTGCTTAGTTTTCAAGGTCAGGTGGGATCTGGTGCCTTTAGAGCAGAGCTTTCCAAACAGTGTGTTGCCCGAAATCTCTAAGTCTATGTGAAATAAGCAATGAATCATATATTTTTAAAATACAGAAAGAATTTCATGAGGTAAGTTGTGTCCGCATATTTTTCGTCATGCCAACTTATATTAGAGGCATGCAATTTTTTTATTACACATCATAAGTCAGATCAAATTTGTTAAATTCGTACTTGAGATGCAATATCTGACACGTGGGTGTGGCCTGCACCAAAAACTTAAGAATTGAAAGCTACCCAATACTTTTTTGTTTGAACTTTGTAAACCTTGGAAGCCTCCCAAAGCTGTTTCATTTTCAGCGCAAGCAAGCAAAGCAAAGCCAAAAAGACTGCCATTCCCCTTTAAGACGATGGACTGATTGTTGAATGTGCAAAGAGGACTCACTGAGGGCCCTTCCACACAGCCCTATATCCCAGGATATCAATGCAGGAAATCCCACATTATCTGAGTGTGGACTCAGATAACCCAGTTCAAAGCAGATATAGTGGGATTTCCTGCTTTGATATCCTGGGATATAGGGCTGTGTGGAAGGGCCCTCAGATAACCCAGTTCAAAGCAGATATTGTGGGATTGAACTGAGCTATTTGAGTCCACACTGCCATATAATCCAATTCACTGTGGATTTTATTAAGATGTGTGGAAGGGGCCCAAATCCCAGGATTCCATACCATTGAGCTGTGTAAGTGGTATGCACTTGTGGCGCAGCTGGCTGAGTGTCAGCTGCATTAAGATCACTCTGACCAAAAGGTCATGAGTTCGAAGCCAGCCCGGGTTGGAGTGGGTTTCCAAACAATTGTGTAGCCTGTTGTCGACCTTTGCAACCCGAAAGACAGTTGCATCTGTCAAGTAGGAAAATTAGGTACCACCTTAAAGTGTGGGGAGGCTAAATTAATTTATGAGGCCATAAAAAAAAGACTCCAGCAAAGCACTCCAGCAAAAAGCATGTGGGGAATGCGGAAGTACTCCATCAGTGTCGCAGATGGACGATGAAAAGCGACAGCTGCCCTGGCGGCCAGAAAAAGTTAAATAGCCTCTGTGTATTGTCTGTATGTGTTGTATGTCAAAATTGGCAATGAATGTTTGCCATATATGTGTACACTGTAATCCACCCTGAGTCCCCTGCGGGGTGAGAAGGGCGGGATATAAATGCTGCAAATAAAATAAATAAATAAATATTAAACTACATCCAATTCTACAGTGTTTCTGGGCCCTTCCACACAGCCCTATATCCCAGAATTTCAAGGCAGAAAATCCCACAATATCTTCTTTGAACTGGGTTATCTGAGTCCACACTCAAATACTGTGGGATTTTCTGCCTTGATATTCTGGGTTATATGGCTGTGTGGATGGGCCCTGAGTCCACACTGCCATATAAAACAGTTCAAAGCAGAAATTGTGGGATTTTCTGCCTTGATATTCTGGGTTATATGGCTGTGTGGAAGGGCCCTGGGCTATCTGAGTCCACACTGCCACAGAATCCAGTGTAATGTGGATTTTATACAGCTGTGATGAAGGGGCCTAAGAGAACTTACTGCCAAGCGCGCACACCCTTGTTGTTGCTTCAGGGCGCCTAGGAAGAGCAGCTGTTTTTCGCCCAGGCGTAGCCAAACGCGAGCTGATAATGCTTGTTCCCCTCAAGTTCTTTTCCAGGAGACACTTTCCCGCCAGGCGCGCAGTAAAACCGTCGCAACAAGATCGTCGCAGCGTAATTGCGTCACGGGCATGGCAACCCTCCTTACTCCCTTTCCCTCCCTCCTCCTCCTTTTCTCGCCGCTGTCAACTCCAGAAGGTGAATTGAGGTGAGGCGCACGCGCCGTAGAGGCGGCCTGCTTCCGCGCCCGCAGGAAGCCGCCGCGGGGCATTCTGGGGTGGATAGGCCTCGCTTCTGTGAGGAAAGGAGGGGGAGGGAAGGAGGGAGGGAGGCAAGGCGCTTGCGAGAGGGAAACGCCTGGGCGCCCCGCTTCCTGCCTCGCGCTGGCGCTCGCGCGGGTGACGTCGGCTTCTGAGAGGGGAAGAGGAGGAGGAGGAAGCGGGCGGCGATAGGACCCACCTGCCCGGCCGGCCGGGGATGCTCTTGGCGGGCTCCCTGCGGGCGGCGTCGAAGAAGCGGAGGAGGAGGAGGAGAGGCGAGCGCAGCGGCGCGGCCTAGGCGGCAAGCGGAGGAGCCGAGCGGAGGAGCGAGATGGAGTAAGTGAGCGAGGCCCCGCTCTTTTAGCCACCCCCCCCCCCCCGCCACCAGGCCCAGTGTCATGGCGACGGGAAAGGGAAAGGGGGGAGGCGGCGGAGGGGAAAGCGGGCCAGTCCTTGATTGGGAGGGAGTCAGTAAGGTCTTAGGCTTCGTGCTGATGCCAAGGCCTGGATGCGGGCGGATGGGACTCCGGCAGGCTTTGGCCCCTCAGGGAAGGATGCGCCATGGGACTGGGCCCTCAGCAGCAGAGGCCTGGCGCTTCGAAAAACGGGGAGGCCTATTTCTCTGGCTGGCTGGCATAAGCCCTTCACCTGCCCTCTCTCCCTGGCCCCTTCCACACAGCTGTAGAGAATCCACATTGAAATGCATTTTATGGCAGTGTTGTCTATGGCCCCTTCTACACAGCTGAATTACATCCCACATTTTCAGCATTGAACTGGAATATATGACAGCGTAGAGTCAGATAACCCAGGGCCCATCCACACAGCCCTATATCCCAGAATATCAAGGCAGAAAATCCCTCAATATCTGCCTTGAACTGGGTTATCTGAGTCCACAAAGAGATGTGGAATTTTTTGCCTTGACATTCTGGCATAAAAGCCGTATGGACCAAGGACCCTTCCATACAGCCATATATATCCCAGAATATCAAGGCAGAAAATCCCTCAATATCTGCTTTGAACTGGGTTATCTGAGGGCCCTTCCACACAGCCCTATATCCCAGAATATCAAGGCAGAAAATCCCTCAATATCTGCTTTGAACTGGGTTATCTGAGGGCCCTTTCACACAGCCCTATATCCCAGAATATCAGGGCAGAAAATCCCTCAATATCTGCCTTTGAACTGGGTTATCTGAGTCCACACAGAGATGTGGGATTTTTTGCCTTGACATTCTGGCATATAAGGCAGTGTGGAGCACAGGGCCCTTCCACACAGCCCTATATCCCAGAATATCAAGGCAGAAAATCCCTCAATATCTGCTTTGAACTGGGTTATCTGAGGGCCCGTCCACACAGCCCTATATCCCAGAATATCAAGGCAGAAAATCCCTCAATATCTGCTTTGAACTGGGTTATCTGAGGGCCCTTCCACCCAGCCCTATATCCCAGAATTTCAAGGCAGAAAATCCCTCAATATCTGCTTTGAACTGGGTTATCTGAGGGCCCTTTCACACAGCCCTATATCCCAGAATATCAGGGCAGAAAATCCCACAATATCTGCTTTGAACTGGGGTATCTGAGGGCCCTTCCACCCAGCCCTATATCCCAGAATTTCAAGGCAGAAAATCCCTCAATATCTGCTTTGAACTGGGTTATCTGAGGGCCCTTTCACACAGCCCTATATCCCAGAATATCAGGGCAGAAAATCCCACAATATCTGCTTTGAACTGAGTTATCTGAGGGCTCTCAGATAACCCAGTTCAAAGCAGATATTTACGGATTTTTTGCCTTGACATTCTGGGATATAAGGCGGTGTGGAAAGACCCTGAGGGCCCTTCCACACAGCACTATATTCCAGAATTTCAAGGCAGAAAATCCCTCAAAATCTGCTTTGAATTGGATTATCTGAGGGCCCTTCCACACAACCCTATAGCCAAGAATTTCAAGGCAGGAAATCCCACAATATCTGCTTTGAACCGTGTTATCTGAGGGCCCTTTCACACAGCCCTATATCCCAGAATATCAAGGCAGAAAATCCCTCAATATCTGCTTTGAACTGGGTTATCTGAGGGCCCTTCCACACAGCCCTATATCCCAAAATATCAAGGCAGAAAATCCCACAATATCTGCTTTGAACTGGGTTATCTGAGGGCCCTTCCACACAGCCCTATATCCCAGAATATCAAGGCAGAAAATCCCACAATATCTGCTTTGAACTGGGCTATGAGGGCCCTTCCACACAGCCCTATATCTCAGAATATCAAGGCCGAAAAATCCCACAATATCTGCTTTGAACTGGGCTAAGGCCCCTTCCACACAGCCCTATATCCCAGAATATCAAGGCAGGAAATCCCACAACATCTGCATTGAACTGGGTCTTAGGGCCCTTCCAAAGCAGATATTGTAGATTATCTGCCTTGATATTCTGGGTTATATGGCTGAGTGGAAGTGTCCTAAGGGCTCTTCACACAGCCCTATATCCCATAATATCAAGGCAAAAAATCCCATATTATCTGAGTGTGGATTCTGGGCCCTTCCACACAGCCACATAATACAGAATATCAAGGCAGAATAACCCACAATATCTGCTTTGAACTGGGTTATCTGAATCCACACTGCCATGCATTCCAGTTCAAAGCAGATAATCCACATTATCTGCTTTGAACTGGATTATCTGAGGGCCCTTCCACTCAGCCATATAACCCAGAATATCAAATCAGATAATCCACAATATTTGTTTTGAACTGGGTGTTATAGATCGCCCTTCCACACAGCCCTATACCCCAGAATATCAAGGCAGAAAATCCCACAATATCTGCTTTGAACTGGGTTATCTGAGTCCACACCCTCAGTAGCAGATAGAACAGGCATGTCCCACAATATCTGCTTTGAAGTGGGTTATCTGAGGGCCCTTCCACACAGCCCTATATCCCAGAATATCAAGGCAGAAAATCCCACAATATCTGCTTTGCACTGGGTTATCTGAGTCCACACTCAGATAATGTGGGATTTTCTGCCTTGATATTCTGGATATAGGGCAGTGTGGAAGGGCTCTGACTCTACACTGCCATATATTCCAGTTCAAAGCACATAATGTGGGATTTTATTCAGCTATGTGGAAGGGGCCTCAGATAACCCAGTTCAAAGCAGATACTGTAGATTACCTGCCTTGATATTTTGGGTTATATGGCTGTGAGAAAGCCCCACCCCACTCCACCCCACCCCTTCAGCACCCATCTCATTGTGGGGCTTGAAGTAGCCAATTAACGCAAATGGAGAAATGCAGGTTGCGCCCAAAGTTTCCACGCATAGGAATGCACACATATGTGTGTATACTTTTCTACAACTATATATCTAGGGCCCTTCCACACAGCCATGTAACCCAGAATATCAGAGCAGAAAATCCCACAATATCTGCTTTGAACTGGGGGCCCTTCCACACAGCAGGAAATCCCACATTATCTGAGCGTGGACTCAGATAACCCAGTTCAAAGCAGATATTGTGGGATATTCTGCCTTGATATTCTGTGCTGCAGGGCTGTGTGGAAGGGCCACAGTTCAAAGCAGATATTGTGGGATTTTATTCAGCTGTGTGGAAGGGGCACATGATGGCCTGGAAAAATGAAAAATTGTTCCGGATCTTTCCCCACTCTTACTTGTGGGGTCACCTAAAAAGACTTGGGACATAGATTTCTACATCTGTCAATCTAGAGGCCCTTCCACAAAGCCACATAACCCAGAAGATCAAGGCAAAAAAATCCCACAATATCTGCTTTGAACTGGGTTATCTGAGTCCACACTGCCATATATTCCAGTTCAAAGCAGATAATGTGCTGTATGGAAAGGGTCTAGGAAAGGGTCTTATTCAGCTGTATGGAAAGAGTCTAGGAATGGCCTGCAAGATCCCCTGATCTTTCCCCACTCGACTTTTGCTTGTGGGGCCACCAAAAATATTTGGGACATGGATCTCTATTTCTATCTTTCTATCTATTTATCTATCTATCTAGGAATGGCCTGCAAGATCGCCTGATCTTCCCCCTCTCGACTTTTGTATGTGGTGTCACTTAAAAGATTTGGGACATGGATTTCTACATCTATCTACCTACCTATCTATATGAATGCCCTGTGACATCCCGTGATCTTTCCCCACTCAATTTTTGTTTATGGGTCACTTAAAAGATTTGGAACATAAATCATTTAAAGAGATGCATTTGAAATGCAATTACTTGTTTAAAAACAGATATATTGGAACATATTTACCCTGAGTGGGGGAGAGGGCTCCCTGTGCATAGAAAGAGCATATTTTGTAATATTTTGTAAATGAAGGTCCACTTAGCTACTATTTTCCATTTAACCTCTGTATGGAAACTTTTGGGATACCCTGTAATAGTGGCAATGGTTTTCTGGATGTTTTTATTAGCCCTGTGCAATGAACAACAGCATCCTCTTGAAATGTTGAGGTATAGCAGACTTGCTCAGTTGCTGTGTCTTCGTGATGGGATCATATTCAAGACCAGTTCGAGAGGGCAGCCCTGTGATATTGCTGTGATACTCTCTCTGTGCCCTTAATATCAGCCTGGCATTCAGAAATTTAGCACTATATCTCAATACCAGAGAAAATGACAAATCTGTTTATTGTAAAATTTATAACTGAACCAGCTCAGATTTTTGTTGTTTCAACCCATCTCTGGGTCAGCCATATTGCTACGTGTTAACGATGAAAGATGAGGACATTACTGGAGCATCTTTCTGGATAAATTAATTGTGCACAGAGAGACTATTGCCGGGAAAACAAAATAGGCCCATTGATGTCTACAGTGTGATGCATCTTTGTTATATATCTGTTATTTTCAGTTGATTGGTAAAGATGGAGAGAGGCAGAGGAGGAGGAGGAGGAAGGAATGTGGGGGGCTCTGGCCTACACAGGAGCATTTACTCCCAGTCCCAGCAGCAGTATCATTATCCTGCCTCCTCTTCTCAGACGGGCTGCATGGAAATCCAGGAGCTAGCCTCCAAAAGAGTGGACATCCAAAAAAAGAGGTTCTATCTGGATGTGAAGCAGAGTTCCCGAGGCCGTTTCCTGAAGATAGCAGAGGTCTGGATAGGAAGAGGCAGGCAGGACAATATCAGGAAAAGTAAACTGACTCTGTCTTTGTCAGTTGCTTCTGAACTGAAGGATTGTCTGGGCGATTTCATTGAACATTATGCCCATTTGGGCCTAAAAGGCAGCCAAAGTCATCGGAACGAACATGCTAATGGTAAAGAGCAAGACCCAAGAAGGCGGCAACACCATCACCCACCGTCACCTCCAGCATCAGTTGGATCTGAAGAGCATCTTCACAGTGTTTTAAAAACGGAATATATTGAAAGAGACAACAGGAAATATTACCTAGACCTGAAGGAGAACCAACGTGGACGTTTCCTTAGGATAAGGCAGACCTTGATTAGAGGACCTGGCATGATAGGATATTTTGGTCACAGTTTAGGACAAGAACAAACTATTGTCCTTCCCGCACAGGGGATGATTGAGTTCAGGGATGCTTTGGTCCAGCTCATTGAAGAGTATGGAGAAGGAGACATAGAGGAAAGGAGGAGTGGGGGAGATGAACCTCCTGAACTCCCAGAAGGGACTTCCTTTAGGGTGGACAACAAGAGGTTCTACTTTGATGTGGGGTCCAACAGGTATGGTATATTTTTGAAGGTAAGTGAAGTGAGACCTCCTTACCGTAACACCATCACTGTCCCCTACAAAGCATGGACAAGATTTGGGGAAAACTTTATCAAGTATGAAGAAGAGATGAGGAGGATTTACAACGGTCATAAAGAGAAAAGAATGGATACCAGAGGGGACAGTGGTGAAGAACAAGAGGGTCTTGATTAGGATGTTTCAACAGGCCAAGAAGCAAAATGAAGAGTTGGCTAGTGGTATTGATCTGTAGTAGCTGGAGGAGGTTGCCTTTGATTTTGTAAGTTATCCCCTGTTGTAAGATAATTTCAGTACATATGATATTACAAGGGTGTGCTTTTTCGTCTAAGAGTATACCCAGCGACATCTCTGTGATTCCTTACAGGAAAAAAAACTAATTGGCCAATGAATCGGATGAAATTATGTACAATAGCACTAAATTTGTTAATGCCCTCTTATGTATAAGGTTTGTGTTGCAATATAACATGATACAGCTAAGAAAGATGGAATTAATATCATTTGATGTTAACCACAGAGCACTTAATGACTAAAACTGGTATTTACATTTTAAGTGGTGTATTGGGAAGGTATCTTTAAATAAGCAAATCTTCTGCTTACTTTGCAGAAAACAATGAAGGGGGGAATCACACCTCTGTATTGTGATGGCCAGTGGTTAATTTCATGGTTACCCAATGTTATGATAGCTAAGTTATTTAAGTGTCCCAACTATATAAATCTATGTTTAAGTTAATAGGCCATTTCAGAATAATATTGACCATGCATCATCCATTCTCTATGGATTGCTTACATCATGTGAAGAGAATTTATTTAAATAGTGTAACAAAATTTCAAAAGCTATTTTTGTATTTGTGGGGTTCAGGGGTTGCTTTGATGTGCAATTTGGTATTTGATTCATGTTTAGGAATGAAATTCTAAATTGGGTGATTAAATGTGTGCATGAGAGAGAGATGTGGAAAAGTATTATAATAACTTTTGTTCTTTATACTTTTTAAAAAAGCTTTGAGAGATTTTGGTGCATCACTTAATTGGTATGAAGCAGATCTCTAGATTTGCGTTGTTGCAGCTGAAGCATTCAGCAACAGCTGCCAGCATTTCCTTTGTAGGTGTTTCCTCTTGAACACTTACTATTCTAAACCATAATCTACACTTTTTTCTTTTGTTAAAATGCATCTAGAGATAATACTAACCAAAATAATTATTTCAGTATTTTTAGTATCAAGAGAATGGTTGGAAAAGTCTATGGAAGTGGGGGCAGGATATTTGATAATTTTTTTAATTGGCAAAAACATCTGATAGAGCTGCAATCTTATGCCGTCTTACCTGAGAGCAAGACTCAATGAATACACTGGAATTGATGCCTGAGTATATTTAATTAGGATTGCACTTTACATCAAATTTTGAATTAGATCTAGAACATTCTGCCTTCAAACCATAAAGCATGTGCTTTAGACCTTAATACTGTGTAACTATTTGTGTCTCTATGTACAAAATGTTTTACATGTACAGAAATATAACCCATAGTTCTTTTCCAATTATGACCATTTAATCATTTAAAATCCAAAGAAAATTATTTTTTATAACCAGAAGCTGTGGTAGCTTCACTTTTTTTACTACATACTATTGCCATACCACAATAAATGTATGCTGTGTTCTCCTTTTTTTCAGAGTTATTTGTGAAGGTGGAAAACATAGCCCAGCATTTATTTTGGTGCCACAATATTTTCATTTACAAACAAAAGGAAAAGAATTTGCACCAAAATCATCAAAGAGCTTTAGAAATGTGTGTTACAGTTGTGACAGAGAAAAAGAAGAGTATGGACTTTAATTTCACTGTTTTAGGTGATTTGCCCAGTATATGACAATTGAACCTATTGAGAATGTGGTCTAGTTTCAGAAATAACTAATATACAACCTAAAACTAAGATTTCTAATTTGTTTGTTTTTTAAGTACCAGAGGCACACTGGGGCATAAGAAGTTATTGAAAGTTATACATTAATCTTGGTGTGAAAGAGTGTTAAGAGTATATCTGGGAAGTGAACCCTTAGATGTAAAATGAAAGTGTTTTGTATATGTTGTTGATTTGATAATTGTAGTGATTTGACTGAATCTAAATTACCACATTGCCGATTTATTGCTGCACATCTAGTGCCTGCATAATGGCAATGGTGCCAGATTCCAGAACACGGGATATACGTGAATGTAGGAACTCCTGATGCTCACATTTTCCCAGCTTATATCTTGCTAAAGGCGTTTTCTCGCGCATTTTATTTCAAAAGGACAATTTAACAGTCAATATGGTGGATATTTTTTTTTCTGCAAGTGTGGGATTTACATGGTCCTCCATGCATTTTGGACTGTAACCTGCACATCTCCTTATAAGCTGTAGTGGCTAAGACAGCTAGGATTTGTAATCAAACAATATCTGGAGGGCCACATTATTCCAATCTTTATTTCACTAGAAATTTTCCATATCTTGTTAAATATTTCACAGAAATATTTTGTATTATTTCTGTGAATTTTTAAGTGATAAGGTGTACTGTATATACTCATGTATAAGTCCAGAAAATTTAGTTTAAAATCAACCCAAAGAATCCAGGTCGGCTTATCCATGGTCAATGTAAGTACTGTACCCTAACTTCTTTGAGTAGAGTGGCAAAAGGTGAGAACTTAATCTATCCATGGAGAACTTAAAAGAAGCACCAACTGCCTCTGCTTTTTCCATCATGACACCACTTCTGGCCTTTTTGAATGCCTAGGCGGGGAAAAGATGACAGCAGCTGCTGGTCCTCTATAACCAGTTCTAGCACTTTCCTCTCTCCATGGAATAACTCTCAACTTATCTATGGGGCCTATCAAAATCCATAATTTGGCCTCAAAACTAGCCCTCATTTTATGCATGAGACCTATGCATGAGTATATACAGTATTAATTTGGGATTTAATAAATATTTGAGAAACTGCATTTCCTCCACAATTCTTTAAAACTCCAGTAACTGTGAAATGTTTTCTAATACTGCTTCATTCAGAATGCATAATAGGTTATACACTGGCATGTGCAAACTTGCACCATTGTTATCTATATCTTGTTTTCTGAATTGAGCCAAAAAGTAAGTACATCTGTTGCATGTTGTCCTTTTTCACCCAACTCGGATTTCTGTATCCTTGTGCCCAAAAATATACATTTTTTGATCTGTATACAGACACAGGGTACAGCTACAGTACAGATGTGAGCATCTGGGACTGACTACACATGAGCCTTAAAAGTTGCCACCTGCTCTATATAATGAACATATTGGGTTTTTTTTCATTTATCCATTGGATGTAACTGGTTCTGTTCTTGTCTTCAAATCCAAGGTTTATATGGTCAGATTTACAATGGCAAGAGCTTAAATGGTAATTTTGGAGAGACTGTCTTTATTCCTGACAGCACATTTACATCTTTGGAGAGTGGCAATAACACGTTAAGTATTTGTTTGTGGAAGGGCCTGTTATAATGTAAAGAAATATTCTTTGCACCCCCCCCCCCCAAAAAAATACCATGTCCCTTAAACTTGAGAAAAACACAAGCTTATTTGCACTAAAAAGCGTGGCCAAAAACAATTCTAGGAGGGCAGGGTGGATAAATCGGTTTGTACCTCTGAAATGATTTGTTCTCATGGGAGAATTTTCCATTAAAGCCCTGACCTCTCTTTTAAAACTTTATGGTCCAGACAGAAAGTCTGTCAGTTTTGTGATTTCATAATAATGCACTTTATATTTTATAACTAATAGAAGCACATTTCTGCTACTGGTTTGGTACAGTGTGTTTCAGTATAACTTCTACTCTAAATCAGTATAACAATGGCCTTCTGCATGCATGTCTGTACATGATCTGTTGCAAGGACTACATCAAATTATATTGATATGATGGAAAAGAGTAGGCACAAGCTAAAATTTCAAAATGTCGGGCCTGTGATTTGAGAAATGTTGGGTCCAATGCAATAGACTTGAGGTGTTAACATATATGAAAGTCAAATACTTCAACTGATTTTCAAATATTTTATTCCAGCAGCTGATGCAGATGTGAGTTAAACAACCCTGCAGTTTTGCTGTGTTGTCACATAATCCTCTTTTCCCTTAAAAAGTATTGTGAGGGATCAGATTGTGTGGCTTATGCAGGTAGGCCATTTGTGCGGACTGTATCTCATATTATACAGCCTTGTTTTTTTGCTGAAATACAAAAGTAGAAAGTTATTATGAATAAATAGTGATACAAAAGAGTTCCATTGTGCAGTTAAAATGCAAAGGAAGTACTTTGTATAATTCATCATACAAATTCTATAAAACCAAGGAGCTTTAGAAGAAAAAAATGTAAAAAACCATTTTGTTCCTATGCTCAAGAATATGAAGCAAATGTAGTCAATTTGTCAAAGCCTAGCACATGTAAAATTAGATCTTAAAATGAGGATATAATTTCATGTTAGCAAAAACATGTGTATTTTATTAATGGTGAAACATATTTTTCTTATAATGCATTCTTCTAAGAGCCTGTTGATTTGGATCGTTTATTTTCCATGTGGCAGTATTAGTATCTCCATAGCACTAATTAAAAAAATTAATACGTCTTCTAGCATAACCCCTTAAAGGCAATTTTCTCATAACATTTTTTCTGTTTAGATACATTTACAACTAATATGGAACAATAAACTTAGAGTATAAGACCCGTCGCAAACTAGCCTCCTGCGGGAGCAAACTGTGCCAGCACGTCCCTGACGTCATGAGACTCCGCCTCTCTCCCCGCCCCTTTCTCCGCCTCTTTCTCTGTGCCAGAGTGGTTTTTCCTTTGCTAGGGCAGCAATGCCAGCGTACTCTCGTTGTTGAATTCTGTCAACAACGAGAGTACGCTGGCAATGCTGCCCTAGCAAAGGAAAAACCACTCTGGCACGGAGAAAGGGGCGGAGAGAGAGGCGCAGTCTCATGACGTCAGGGACGTGCTGGCACAGTTTGCTCCCGCAGGAGGCTAGTTTGCGGCGGCTCTAAGAACCAAATTCTTTATGTTACTGTAACAATACAGTTAAATGGTAGCAAAATATAAAGTTACCCAGTCAATTACATGATCTTTCATATATTTCTCATTAAAGTGGCTAAAGCTGAGTCAAATGATTGTTGGCCATAACTCCTGAGTCCCTTTCCTCTAGCTGTCTGCCCAGACATGCTAAGGTGAAAGTTATTGCTCAAATCATACAAAGATGTGGCAGCTAGTGGTTGCTTTCTTAATATTGCCACTATTCTCAGCCATGACTTATCACAATAATAGTTGTTGGTATTTTCTGTCTACTGACCTTTTAGACAGTCAATTTCTCTGCTTAGTTACAGAGCAGAGAAATGTGGAACTGCTTCAGTTTAGGAGGAAAGGAATAGTGTAGACACCTCTAAGAAATGTAGAAGGCACACATGTTTGTGGTGATTTTATTTCTAATATATTAATATTATTGGATGGCAAGCAATTCTCCACCTGTACCTGATTCACTCAATGAAAAAATGGGATTTACGAATCAACCTTGATTGATCAAAAATAAAGTGTGTGTGTGTGTGTGTGTGTGTATCACACAAATGTTTACTTCACTCAGCTATTTAAGAGATTTAATCTTTACACACAGCTTTTTCAAAATAATTTTGAATACATTACTAGATTTTGTTGCAAAACACAGAGAGGCAAGTCTGTCAGTGTAGCTGAAAAGGTGGTGGGGGAATGGAAAAAAAACTTAATCTGAAATAAGGATTTTAGAGTGCAGTTAGAAGGCATACCATTGGATACAATAGATTTTTTTTACAATGGTTTAATCATATGTTTCAAAATCATATTTATACACGTATGAAAGAAATCTTTGGTTGGTGACATAGATAATATAAGCATGTTAGCAAATTGGTCTGCGTTATTTCATTTTGTTGAGTAAAAGAGCTTAAAAACTCTGTAGGGAAGAAAACCTGCATAATTCAGTGAACTTATGATCATTTACCGATAATTCTGTTAACTGAAACTGTAGTAATTTATTCCATGGCCATGTGTTTGTCTTTATTTGTTTAGCCCCACTGTAGATCATCTGCAATTTGGATAAATGAATTAAGCTCCTTGTAGGCCTACTATGATGGTAGAAATAGATATATATGCACATTTTGCATTTTCTAGTGGTTCTTCAAAATGAAATTGAGTTTTCCCATGCCCTTGCATTCAGAATTACATTCATGTCCTAAATAAAAGTAATAATGAATTGGAATAACATGACTTATTTGGTTAAGGTCCACTGAAAATTGAGGTCACAGTTTTTAAGCCATTTATGTCCAGTTCTTGAAAGCATTGTAGTGACAGATGAGATCTATATTATTATTATTTTTGCAAGCAAGAAAAACACATTTTATTGCATTTTAATACCACTGTTAGTGATACACTAGCTCACAAATTTATAGAACTGTTTTTATACATTTCTTTCCTGGTAAAGATAGGATCAGTTCACTTGTAATATCTGCCTTCCTTCAAACCATTGCTTAGAGCAGTAGACAACTTAAGGGGACTGCACCCCTTCGTCATGACCCCCCCCCCTTTTAACTTATTTTCATTGATTTATTCAAAATGCCACTCTGCTCTGCAGAATATTTGATTGGGGGGGGGGCAATTTTGACACATTTATTTGCTGTTTTGGACAGTTTTAGCTTCAGAAGATCTTATTAAGAATCAGAAAGTAATCTAAAACTAGTGGTGTAAGGAAGCCAGGGCTCCCAATATTGATGCATTGGGACTTTTTGATGAACAGCAGTTTGTCATCACCTGCTACCTGTGGGGCTTCTCTGTTTTCCCCTCACAACTGTAATTCCCACAGTGACTGAAGGTGGAATGGCTTTACCAAGTAATGATGTATTGTAGGCATCAATGTTGCAAGACCGTGGTATAGAGGACTACATTTCTAAAGGTCAGTGTTCAAATACTTGCTCAAGCATGGGAATTCACTGGGTGAACTTCTGCAAGTTGCATTCTCTCAGTCTCAGTGGAAGTCAAGGGCAAACCTTGTTTAAACAAAACCTACCAAAAACACTATGATAGGTTGGTGTTGTTGATGTTCCTTCAAGTTGTTCCTGACTTTTAATGACTCTAAGGTGAACCTGTCATGGAGTTTTCTTGACAAGATTTGTTCAGAAAGGGTTTGCTTTTGTCTCCCTTTGACGTTGAGAGAATGTGGCCTGGCCAAGAACACTTTTGAATTTCCATGTCTAAGCAGGGATTTGAACCCTGGTCTCCAGAATCATAGTTCAGTGCTTAAACCACTATAGCATGCTGACTCAAGGGTCACCAAAACTCAAAAATAACCAGAAGGCATACAGAAACTATCCATGTTGCAACCAAAATGATTTGAGTATGAATTAGTGTTGAGTGAGCAAATCCTATTTGTTTCACATAATATACAAGCAAGAGCTTTTCTTATAAAGATAGTTTCAGGCACCCATCCCAATAGTTAGTTACTCTTAAGACTTTGATTTTATTTTCCTCTCCCATTTTTCAGGTATGACTTAAATATTATTTTGTAGAACCTATCCTAATGATACAAGCCATTGGCTTGTATCTCTGTTTGCTTTGGCACTTCATCAAAATCCACAACTGATCATGGTGGTATAAACCAAGCAAGCATATGATTCAGCTGTAACATGATCAGCTGCCCGAAAATGATACATTGGATTTCTTACATTTTGCATTACAGGCTCAAAATTAGGAAACATTATCAACAATTTTTGACGATATTTACATAGGTATCTAACCAATATAATAGGAAAGGGGTTTTTTTTTAACTGAACTGAAGGCAAAGGATGCAGTTAAGACATTTGGATGTAAAATTTCCACAAACATGTATTTGCAAAATAAATTAATATTTTTATTGTGAAGGAAAAATATTAATCCTTCCTTAGTTTTTTAGCTACCATTCTCCATGCTGTGCAAGTTAAATGAAAAGGTAGCACACTTATAAAGTGAGTGCAGTTATTTGCTTCTGCAGTTTTGTCCCATGTGCATATTCATGAGTACCAGGCTCTGGATCAGAGTAAATATATTGCACATGAATAGATTTTGTGGCAGCAATGA